AATATCTAAGCTATAGTTAAGGAATGCTTAAATTATTAAATATTATAAGGATTAAAGAAATATCTTAAATAGGAATAGTAATATTATATAGTAAAGAAAGGTATCTAGTCTTTTAAATACTAGGGTATTAATCTTATTAGATATCTATTAGTAATATTAAATAGTAATAAATAGATTATTACTATTATTAACTATATAATAGGATGGGTTATTATAAAAGCTATTCTATATATTATAGATAAAATAATAGTAAAGTTCCTATATAAAGAGATATTTACTTAGTATATCATCTTTAATAAGATAGTATCTAATAATAGTATAAATCTACTATTATATATAGTAGAAATCTTTATAAAAATCTTAAAAATAAAATACTAAATAATAATACTAAACTATCCCTATATAAATAAAAAGAATAAAAACCTTAATAGACTCCTAGGATAAATACTTATAAAATATTTCATAGGGAAACTAATATAGCTATAGGATGAATATCTTTATTTAGTAGTATTTATAGTATAGATATATATCTATATAAATATTAGTAAAAGCCTCTTCTACTTACTATATAGGATTAAACTAAGATTACTAGGAGATATAAGAGAATCTATGAAGAAAAATAATTATAATAAACTTATAAAAGTAATATATATATAAGTACTAGTAAATAAGAAGCTATTAGAATATATAATTAAGAAAGAGATAATCTAAGATTTATAAATAAAAAAGAGTTATCTTAAGAAGGGCTAGTAGATTCTTATATAAAATAAGAGTCCTTAGAAGTTTAAGAGTAAGTAATTTAAATTATATAAGGTGATTAAGGCCTACCCCCTTAGAATATATATATTATAAGAACTAGGTAGATATATCCTAAAGAATCTTATTAATAAGTAAAGACTAGTAGAAGTAGAGGTAGAAGATAATCTATAATATCTATAGATATTAATAAGCCTTAATACTAAGCTATAAAAAGTAGGCTTATTAATCTTTAATCTAATTAAAATATAAAAGATACTTAATAAGACTAACCCCCTAATACTATTATATAAAAAACTATTATAGTGTATGGCAGAAGGATATAATAAGTAAAAATATTTAGGAGAAAGTTTATAATAAGTAGGGGAGGGATTAGGGATATAATATAAAATAAATAAGTAAAAAACTTAATATACTAGTAAATAAAAATTAGTAAGAAATAACTATCTTATATAATAATAAATAAAGTTACTAGAGCTATAGAATAATAAAGACTTAACTATTTTAAATAATAAGGACTAGAAGAGAATTTAAAGTAATAATTTAGAATTAATATCTTAAAAGAATACTAAAGAGATAGATTTTAAAAAATTATTTATAGTTATAATACCCTCTTATTAGGAGTAAATAGAGCAGTATAAAGATAATATATTTATATAGATAGATTAGAAAATAATACTATACTAGAATTACTATCCTAAGAAGAAGAAAAGGAATTATAGACTAGTAGATTTTATTAATTATAAAAAAAAACTAATTATAATAAAATATTAAGAATTATATTAATTAACTAAAGTAATAAATAACTACTAATTAAAAGTCTAAATTAAACTTTATATTAAGAACTCTATAAGATAAGGCCTTAGCTAACTAGAATAAATTATTATTATTACTAGGAGGAGGTACTAATTCCTCTAGGTAAGTCTTAATATAATAAATAAATATCTAAAGATCTTAAAGAACTATAAAAAGATTATAATAATTACCCTAGTTAATATAACTTACTAGCTAGGGAATATAAACTCTATTAAAGAAATTTTTATAATTAAGTAATAATAAAGAAGAATAATACTTAATAAAACTTTCTATTAAGACTACTAATAAGATACTTACTAAAGTATAAGAAGGAGTTATTATAATAGAATTAATCTAATAGAGAGAGGGAGTTAATCTAACTAAATTATTTTAAGTAAGAGAGGAAGTTACTAAAAAAAAACTAATCTAAAAATAAAAAAAAATTACTATAGTAGAATAATATCCCTTAGCTAGACTAATTACTACTATTATAGAATACTTTAAAGATAGATAATACTTCTTAGCTAGAACCTCCTCTATTTTAGGAGAAGATTCTTTACTATAAGAAATACTAGAAGGATCTATCTTTATTATAGAAGAATTAATATTATCTTTTATACTAGACTATATATACTTATTATTATCTAAAGAACCTTTATTAGCACTATTATCTAACTTCTTATTATAATTATTAGTTACTATTACTAACTCTATAGGCTAATTATATAACTTATTATTATAATTAGTAAGGAAACTAAGACTACTAGCTTAAATAATAAGTTTATAGAAGTAAAAAAGGTTAGTAACTATAGATAAGAAATATTTACTAAGAAGAATATATATTTATTAAGAGTATTAGAATTCTATATATAAAGACCCTATATATAGAATAAATATATTAATCTCTAGTTACTCTAAGTATAGTTAGTATAGGACCCCTAAAAGAATATAAATCTATTATAACTAGGAGTAGAGATATATCCCCTAAAGAGATCCTTACCTAAAAAATAATTATTATAAGCTAATATATAGTTATAAGATATATCTTACTACTAAAGAATAATAGCTAATATATAGCCTAAATAAGTATATTCCTTTATATCTAGCTTCCCCTTCTTATTAAACTTCTAGATAATTAGATAAATAATATTTATTACCTTTAATATACTTTTATTAGGCCTACTAAGATAAGCTTCTACTACTAGTAAGAGATAATTACTAAAGCTAGAAAGAATACTTACTAAACTTACTAAAAATAATTATACCCTTCTAATAGATAAGGTAGCCTTTACCCTTCTTTTATAGGGTACTTATATTTACTAAGTATAAGAAGAATATAAAAGACTAGTATATAAAGAAAGAGGTTTACTAAAAGAAGATAATAATTAATATAATAAAAAGAAAGATGCTTATAGGAGAAGAAAAGAAGAAAGAAAAAAAGAAGGAGAAATATAAGAGATAAAAAGAAAATAAGTAAGATAAAGTAGAGTTACTTAAAATTAAAATAAATAATATATAACCTTACCTTACCTCTATTATAATAATTATACTAGTAACCCTACTTACTAAGTAATCTAATACTACTCTCTAAGTATAATCTAATATTACTTATTAAGTATAATCTAATACTACTTACTAAGTATAATCTAATACTACTTACTAAATATAATCTAATATTACTTACTAAGAGTAAATCTAATTCTATTTACTATATATAATATTACTCTCTTAGACTATAAGGACCTTTTAGTAAGGAGTTAGATAACCTACTAAGGATAGGCTTTATCTTAAGTAGGGAAGGATATAATATTAGTAAATAAATATTATAAGTAGATTAATAATTATTAAGGTTAACTCTAGGTTACTAAGGTTAACCTAAGAAATCTCTATAATATCTATAACTTATCTTTTAGATAGATAGCTAATAGCTAGATATAAATATAAGATCTTACCCCAGGTAAGTAAAGAGGTATTAGCCCAGCCTATCTCTCTTCACCCCTGGTGATACTACCTTACCCACAGTAATTCCACTATTATATAAGGGTCAACACCTATAACTATATAGAAAGGTATATTCTTAATAAATACCTAGTATATATTATTATAGATAAACTCTATAATAAGGAGATAGTTAACCTAGTCTTCCTAACTAAAGTTAATATAGGCTTATAAGTACTATTTTAGCATACTATTTAGGTATTTTATCTAGTTATCTATCTATAGGTAGTAGGCTATGGAAAGATCCTTATAAATTAAGAGATAAAATATAAAATTTATCTAGAAATCTTTTATAAAGATAGAACCCCAGTCTATAATAACCTTTTCTAGGATTCTATAAAGTTAGAAGACCTTATAAATAAGAGTTATTATTAACTTCTCCCTACTAAGAATAGTCTAAATAAATATAAAATAACCTATCTTACTAAATTAGTCTATAACTACTAAGATACTATTAAAAGCTTCTTATAAATTTACTATAGAAGTACTTATAGAGAGATCTATAATTAGATTTATAGTAATTTAGATCTAGATATTTATAGAGATAGGTATAGGCTCTAGTAAGCCTTATTACTTATTCTAAGTCTATTATAATCTTTAGTATACCCTATAAGCTATATAGTATTTATAGATAAAGTTCTTTACTTTTAGCTATTAGAAGTATCTTAGGACTAATTCTCTTATTCTTTATTCTATAAAGTAGCCTATAAAGGAGTTATTATAGAGTTTTATAAGAATACTTAATCTTAAGCTATAATAATCTAAGATATAGAGTAAGCCCTTATAATAAAGGAGCTCTTTATAGCTTATCTAATATAATAATTTATTCTTTATATAATAGGACTATAATAATTCCTTTATAGCTCCTGCTTATACTATATAGATCTTCTTTATAAGTTTATCTTATATAAGTAATCTTAATAGTAAGGCCTAAATTTCTATAGAGGGGTCTCTTATATATAAGCCTAGCCCTTAGATACTCTTATAGATACTAGCTCCCTAAGCTAGTCCTTCTTATAAGTTTATTATCCCTTAGACTAGCACTATATAAACCTTCTATTCTATATCCTCTAGGGTGTTTATCTTAGTATATTCCCTTTTATAAAGTATTAATTACTATCTTAGTATATTAGGGTCTCTATCTTCTTAGCCCTAGGTATTAGTCTTTATAGCCTCTCTCTTATAATTTGCCCTTTATAAGGGTCTATCTATAGGGTTCTTCTTTCCTATATAGAAGACTATCTAGCGGAATTCACCAGACTAGTGGTTGTCAGTGTGAGTCCCAATCTGCACCATTCGATCAAAAAGGTCATATAGAGACTTCCAGCATTACAGAGCGAGATACTGTGCTTGAGATCTTCTGTCGTCACTACAATGCACATCCATTAATTCCAGATCACAATGGTACGTTCCGTTCACCGGAGGCTATTCATCATGAATGTGCCACAGAGATGTATACCTGGTGCCGAGCTCGAAACTACTTCCGGCTATGGGCGTACCTGTATGTCAATTGGTATAAGCCAGGCCAATGGGAGCTGTGGGCTCGGTCAGCAAATGCCAGAGAAATACCAGTTCTCAAGACAACAATGATCGTCGAGTCTCACTGGCGAAAGATCAAGCATGATTACCTCCACCGTTTCAATCGTCCTCGTATCGACCTGGTAATCTGGGTGCTGACGTTTCGAGTTATTCCAAATGCGCTTGATCGAATGGATGCAATCCGCAATCGTGATCATCGAAAAGCTTCTGCAAGCTGGAGAAAGGCGTTCAAAAAGCAATGGAAACAACTCAGGGATCGAGAAATCGATCCTAAGAGCATTCAAAAGTATCACACAAACCCAGCAATGTGGACATGCGCTTGCGATGCATTCCTATCAAGCCGGTTCCTAATATGCAAGCATATCATATACTGCTATGATCCTATCACAGACCCTATTGTGTTCTTCTCCAGGATTCGTAGGCAGAGGGTTAGTCCATTCTGGATCGATAAGCAGCTTGCCTTGCGTCCAGAATACAGAAAATTCCGGACCATAACGGATATGAATGCAGATTCTGATTCAGAGTCGGATATTGATCCAGAAGCCTTGGAAGAAGATGAATTAGCGGTGATGGATGATGAAACACCAGCAGCGATTGATGTGGAGAGATTTGTTTCTGTGATGCAGTCAGCGATGGACATATTCCACGAGCAAAGAGCTATGGGAAACATGAAATTCGTTGAGATCTTCATTGCTGCTAATGCGAGGAATCAAACCCTGGTGGAGGAGATTTGGAGGCGCAAAAACCAGCGTACAATGCCTATGACATGGGCCCAGAATAAGCACCCTGCAACAATGTACTATCGATAGTTCTATCTTAATGTGATTTGATCTTTCTAACTTGGGAATTGGTCTCGTCTAGTATGTATTGATGGGTAGGAAGAGCCTGGCCAATCATGATGGCAACCTGGGGGATTATTGCCTGAGGTTGCAATGATTATATAAAACTCACATGACCAGGGTTTTTCCCCCGAGAGGATTAAGGGTCGTTCGAAATATTCGATACGGTCATGTGCGCTTTCCCACAGCGTCCCAAAGCATCCAGATGTTTCCCATTACAGCTTTGTCATGTTGCTTTCCTATTGTTAACTGGGAAGAAAGTTATATAATACCTTCCAAAACATTCTGGGTTGATCTACAATGCTAACATTTGTAGCCTAGGGAATTATCTTTATGGATCTATGTACTCCGTAGCCTTAAATAGTATTGACAATGACAGCAGTCCTGATTTGACCAGATCTGGCAGTCTCTCAACAATAGGAGTGCTGTAGTCTTCTGGTTCCTATGTTTACACTGTTTATGGAACCTACACAGTAAGGTTCGAGTTAAACCTGTCAGGTTCAGCTCTAAGAATGCTAGAATCGGATCGCGACTTTCAGATCTTAGAACCTGAACCTGAGTCTTGGCGGTTCCAAGTCAAATCAAACCTGACGAGTCGCGACTCCTTACGAGGTCTAGTTGGGGGCTACCCCCTCATTTGGATGATAGTTTCTCTGAACTTCACACACGCAGAATAGAAATAGAGGAAACCGAACGACTTAGAGGAAGCCAAGCAGTTCATTCTGATCATTGCAATACATACATTTTCCCTAGTGAACCTATACATTATCGAAACACCGTAATCGTAGCAGCGACTCGCAGCCTAGTCGACGATATCTCGCTGACTAGGGAACCCCCAAAGCAGTCAACCTCCGGGCTGCTTACAAGATGGTAACTTGGTAAGCAACAATGGGAGGCCTGATTTCACTAAAGGATGAGCCCTGGCAAGGGGCCCTTCTAGTTGCAGATGGTAACTTGGTAAGCAACAATGGGAGGCCTGATTTCACTAAAGGATGAGTCCTGGGGAGGGGCGCTTTTAGTTGCAAATCCCAACATGTAAGCACCAGCCGCATTGGAGCTTGTAGATGCCTGTCAATGGTATAAGAATTATGTACACTTATAGAGTAGGGATCGCCTAGCGCAGAGACGAGGCAGGCGCCTGACTTTAGTGCATTGAGCCTGTGGTGGCAGCTGAGTGGTACCTGGACCAGGATCACAGTTGCCAACTTGACATGATAATGAATGTTGCCTTCCAATTATGAGTGATTTGGAAAGGGGAAGGTTGTATACTAATTGCTTGGGCCATCTGCCTATATAGTATTGGACCAACAAGCATGGGAAGTCCTCTCCATCATGTGTTTGAATATTAAATGTCTCAGGAGGTTACACTACTACAGTACATAAAGAATATGAGCCAGTATGCCAAGTGGACCCTCTAAGCACCTGTATGATGGCCTGATTGAGCAACGAATGCCTCACCTCTCCAAACATATCTAATAGGCGCTTGGTAAGGGCGTCAGGCGTCCAACTAGGCGTGCTACTACGTATTGATTGTCCTTGATGATTTAATTACTTCGTCAATATGGGAACATACGGTTTGATCCGGATTGAAGTTGAAGAGCCTTGGGGTATAAGAATGAGGATAAATCCATCTCTATCCTGAGCCTTCATCTCATTCTTCATTCATCAACATCTCACTCTGATTCTGATTCTACAAGATCTGTTTCTCTTTAAACTCATATATCATCATCATCATCATCATCATCATCACCATCATCATGGTTAAGACCGCCCTTCTCCCTCTTGCTCTTCTTGCTGCACTGGCTCCCTTTGCTACTGCAAGGAACTGTAAGACTGGGCTGAACTATTGTGGTTGGAACCTCTTAAACATTGGTATGTGAACTTGCCTCCCCTATCTAGACTTAACATCCCTAATAAGGCCCTCTTAATAGGTAACTACGGGGCCCAGGTTAATGGCGCCCTTGAGGCTTCTGGCCAGCCCACTGATGATGGCCATATCCGTGAATCCCTCTTCCACTGCAATGGTGGTGACAATGGTGATATCTCCTTCATCACCTACTGCGGTGGTGGCTGCAGAGATGGCGGCAATGACCGCAGCGACTACTGCTAGAAAGTTGGCTGTGCGTTGGTACCTTGACTCCTGACTGAGGGTGTGATACGGATGCGGATGCGGATATTGTATTTTGATCAATCCTCTTCTTTGTATTCAACATACGGTATAGTGGAAGCCTTAGTTTTTCAGGAATGTGATATTTATATCAGGATCAGATCCAATGCATATGTATGTGAGAAGCGCGACCTTCTACAATAGGGGTTAAGTAGCCAAAGAAATACTCCAGAACCTGGGTTAGTATAACCCTCCACTCTGGGAAACTGAATATCATAATGGAGGTAGTACTGTTATACAAACTCAGCATGAATTACTATAAAGACTAAAGAGAGTAGAATCATTCCCTAAGCATCTTCAAGGGATCTCATTTCATCCTTTTATCAAGATATCTGTAAAGGTAAACAATGGATCTAGATGGGCTGGAACATTCCATGTTCCGGTTCCAGATGGCTTACAGACATCTACCTTTAACAGCCTGAGCTTATAGCTAGCCTGCACTAGTTAATAGCCTATCCTAGCAGATACTAATAAATAACATAGGCTATAAGATACAGAGCTACCTATAGTGTGGCAGCTACGCAAGGCAGGAATCTTGGAACGATGAAGCTTAATTGAGCTAATCTAAGAATGAGGAATCGGGAAGGTCGAAGAAGCAGGCGTTGTAAAACCTTCATATTTTGGTAGTCGCAGAGATCATGCATTTCTTCATTAGCATAAAAAAAGAAAAGGAAAGGAAAAAGAAGAAAAGGTTAGTAAGTCCATACCGCCAAGGGAGACCATCACCCCAATTTCCCTCCCATCTGCCGACTCCAGAGTTTGCGGTCGAATCGTTGCTCTAGTAGCGCCTGCGCATCACCCGCGTACATGAAAACTCTACCACCGGCCTCCTTGGGCTCCTTCTCGTCTTTGAAGTAGATCCAGCAGTCTGCCACTTCGTAGGCATTCGTCTCATAATATAATAACTTCTGGGCCTCTTCGGCAGATCGCACAAGGTACGCAGATCCCGTCACCACATCCCCTTGTTTCCCATTGATCAGGGCGGGATAATCACCCCATTTCGCAACGGCGTAACCAAATACTTCCGCCTCGCGAAGTTGCGGCTCCTCCGGCAGCTCGAGAATCCTTTTCACCTGGGCCGGGGCGGTTAGAGTTCTGTAGAAGAAGTAATACACTGGAAAGGCAGGCGGGAAGTCGACTGGCTCGTCGCGCTGCGCAAGGTAGTCTGGTGGCGCTGACCGGAGCATAGTATAGAAAGGTGATAGTGGCTCCTCCTAGGCTGGGAAAAGGCCCGGAAACCGGAGTGCTCCGGAGCCCTCTGGTTTCTGGGATATTTCGCTGTGCATGGACGCCGTATGATATGAAGGCCTGACAAAATGTTAATGCCAGAAGGCTTGGATGCAGAACGAAGGGATGAGTGGGTGTCGCTTGGGAGAGAAACAGGGAGAGGTAACAATAATAGTACCCAAGGAGGTGAAGAAGGTGCTGACCCTCATTCTGCGAGTCACAACTCGCAAGTATTACGCTGCAGAACCAAAAATATATCCTGCCTCGCGTATTATTGGCTGGACATGGTAGTATAATTACCGCGAACCTGGAACAGAACGAAGACAAAGATCAACAGATTCATCGGGCCACTCTCATTTCTGAGTAATCAACGCCCGGCTGACCTTCCTATGACAAATGTTAAACCGACGGTGGCTGGCTGCTGCTGCTGCATGAATTGACTTGTTGATAGTGACAGGTGCCATCTTTTTTCATGAAGGTCCTATAGAGAGGTACAGCTATTCTTGGATACTCTAAGCACAGATGGCTGCGCTAACTCGATCGACCGAACATCATAAACTGGAGGGGTTTGGGGACAAAGCGCTGTTTCTCTCCACCACTCAATCATCCACAAAAAGTACAGCAGACTATAGCTACAAAGCTGCCATGATAGATTTTTTACTGTCATCTACTGGTATTTACTTACTGCCACTATCTCCACAGAGTAGATGTTATTAGTATATCATGAAGTTAAACTATGGTTAGAATATCCTTATTAATCTAGTAAATAGTTAGATAGTAGGGATATCAAATAGTAGGGGTATCAAATAGTAAGGATATCAAATAACAGGCATATCGAACACTAAGCTATTTCATATCCCTACTAATCAATATGCCTACTATTTGATATATATTTGATACCCCTACTATTCAATCTCTCCACTGCTTCTGTCTCCTTATCATCGCTTTTCCACGCCGCCACCATGTCTCATCCCCCGCCCCCTCCCGCGCCTCCCCGTCTTCCTCCTTATATCCCCCGTGGTGGTGGTGGTGGTGGTGGTGCCAAAGCTCCCGTTACCCGTCAAGAGGCCCCGCCGCCTCCAGGAAGCTTCGGCATCGGCATTGAACTCGAGCTTCTTCTATGTCGTAGAATTGAAATCTGTGTAATCCGGATACCTTTTTAGTGTAGCGGTATTACACAGATTTCAGTTCTACGACAGTTTCAAAGCCGATTCGATGGACGCGGGGGGTTAAGTGTCCTGTGGGCCTGATAACGAGAACCCAGGCTAATCAGACCGACCGAGAGAGCGCTGCTGAACAATATTTGGAATACATCGAGACCGCAGCGAACCTCTTTCGAACGTGCACTGGGGCATCCAAGGAGTCGTCCAGCCAAGAAAAAGATCGACAGCGCATCGTCAAACCGGGAGACCCGCTGCCAAGCTTTGTGGTGGCTGTGGCCGATGGAAAGGGAAAAGGAAAGGGAAAAGGAAAGGGAAAAGAAAAGGGGAGAGAGCAAGATACTAACACACAGCATTATCTCAAAGGGATTAGGTCTCTGTTGCATCTTTGCTTCTGTTTGTGAGGCCCCTGAAACTGGCGGAGGGGTTTCTTCTCTAAGCCACGATCTGAGCTTTGATACCTGGTGGACTGTATGTAGTCTGTAGACACTAGTGGTGTTGGAGTTTTGGGGGAGGCTTCCTGACAAGACGACTCGAGAGACTAGAGCGATAGCAAATGGGGAAACAATGGAAGACAACTAGTCTGGGCTTCTGCAAGATGAAGATGAGGTTCTTGGCGGCCATCAGGCAGAAGACATTCTACTTCTATCATCCCACCCCAAACAGATCCGACTTCAGCTTCATTCTCTAGGTACTTCTGCGAAACCACGACTCCTGCAAAGTAGTGTGATCCTAGTATTCGACATTCGAGACACTTTCTGAACCAGTCTTATGTATGCGATCCTAACACCCACCCAGCGTACAATCTGCCGTGATCTATCTATCTATCTATCTATCTATCTATCTATATATATATATACATATATCGGCCCGCCAAGAACAAAGAATTGTGACCTTGATGCATAACCACGTCGTACCCCTATACACTTTTGTATAATGCAAAGAACAAGAAGGTGTGGATCTCGAGCTTCTATGGCTTCTTGATCCCCTCCGTGCGCAATGCCGAGCAACATGATAGCTTAACGTGGACAATGGATCTTCCCGCACGTGCCTTCCATCTTCTTGCCTGCTTACCATGCACAGAGCGGACCTCAATACGGCCAAGCAACATGTGTCTCATATCAACTCTGCCAAGGGACGCATCTCACATCAAGGGGTGAGCCACGGGAGGACGAGACGTCTCTATCAACCCCCACCCCCTTCCTCTTTGCGAAACTGCGACTTGATCAACGCCATCCCGAGGTAGGGTATGCTCATCGGACCACAAGGGGCTGATGCGTGTAACCCGACCCGTTCCATGCGATTGACCGGTCAAGATGAGTATTCGTTGTTCGCATGGCTGGTGAGTTGGCTATGATAGGCGGACCTTGAGCCTTTACATATACTGATGGCTGACGGTGACCTTGGGAGAGTAGCCCCGTTTTGGTCTCGCTTCCTCACAACAAATACCTTCAGTCTTGGGGCTAGAAGGATCTAACCAGACGCTAACATTTTTTTTTTCTGGAGTGGACCCAAACGTCATGGTGCAGCGGAGACCGAAGATGATCTGATTGATCTACATGAGACGCAATTGACATTAGAAGTGAGAACAAGAATCATTCTATAGCAAAGGAGCACTAGGGTATGTGTCTGCGTCGTCATTTGTCTTGAAGATAAGGTGATCAAAAGCTAACAAGAGACAGGGAGGTACGCAACGGAACCGTGCGGCAAATATGACAGTTGACATGACAAGTGAGAGCAAATAGAGTTCGCAGCTCGGCCAGGTAATGTTATTGAAGGGGTACTGATCTTTCCCCTTCCTCGTTGTCATTCCATATACTCCCATTCCATGCATGCGTGTGTATCATATCAAGTGGATATACCATACTGAAGATGGGTTGAAGCTGTCGATATTCGAATAACAAAAGATAGGGAAAAGTATAAGAAAAGCGGACAAGAGCAGGCACATGAAACAAAAAGAGACTCTGATAGGATAGGAAAGAGAGTCATTGAAACAAGATTCACATCATCCGATAGACCAAATCCGAGGCAAGCTCAGTTGTCGAGTCCAAGAGGGCGCGGAATCCACGGCTTGAAGGCCGATCTGCTCTTCCTGGCCGCTTGTCCACTGGGGAGGCCAACGGCGAGCCGAGCATACTCTCCATCGGGGGACAATACTCCGCCAGGTCTCGCACCTTGCAGGCCGCGTAGTGGACCACCAGTTTCCGGAGCTCGTTATCTCGAAGCTGGGTGGCCGAGGTAGGTGATATGGGCTCCAGACGGGTCGTCTTGGTGTAAGTATAGTGGAGAAGGTCGAGCACGATCCTGGCCTTGCTGGTCGTCAAAGCGATTCGCTCGGGGTCTCGGTTGTCCATCTTGGGATCGGGAAACGACAGGCTGAGAAGGTCTGCGTGAAGCTTTCGAAGACACAATTGGGCCAGAGCGGGGATCAAGTAGCGCACAGCGAAGACGTACACCTTGGCGTGAAAGACGAGATATGGAAGGTCCGATTTACTCGACTCGGAGCGTGCTGAAACCGGTGTGAGAGGCCTGGTCCCGTACATTGAGCGATGATCAACATAGTCAATGGCGGTAAACTCATCCCAGAGGCCAACTCCAGTTGGGCGACGTAGAGGAAAATGCTGCTTGGCGAAAGAGGTGTCAATGAATGGGTTCATCTGGCTTCGGGGAAACACAACCTCTTCTCTGCTTCTCTCTTCCTGCTGGATATTGTCCTCCTGTCGCACTTCAGCCTGAGGGACATCCTTCATCTCCGGAGGGATGGAATCAGTTGGCACCCAGGGCTCAGCGTCCATGGCTGGCGCAACAGTGTCAAATGCATTGTCATCCTCGGTGGGCTCAGGGATTTCCACAGCCTCCTCCACCGCGCATGTCTCCGTAGGCTCTATCACTTGAAGCGGTTCCTCCGCGACCGCAGAAGTCTCCAGTGCAGGGTCGCTGATGATTCCATCCTTGGGATTCTCAGGAGGGGGTGTGGTAGGAGGTGTGAGGTTGGCAGTGACTTCCTCTGTCGGCCCAGCCCCCTTTTTATTTTTTTTGTCCTTTTTGTTCTTCTTCCCTTTCTTTCCCTTTGACGGAGCGGTCTCCTCAGTGAAGCCCCAAGGATCTCCCTCTTCCGCCGCCGGAGTAGCAGGAGGCTGTCCACTTGACTGATCGACGGCGGCTACTGGGTCCTGGAGCAGTTCACCCGGAGCGACATGATCGTCACTGGCGCTATTGTTCTCCTGTTTCGCTTCCTCTTCCTCCCCCCCTTGCTCGACCTGTGGCTGCTGCTGCTGCTCCTCCTCCTCCTTCCTCTCGGGCTTGGGACCCTCATCCTCCCTCACTTCCTGGTCCCTGACAAAATGCTTGACAGACTCTGGAGGAGATGGTGCTGGTGGAGGAACTGCAGAGGCAAATGGGTTTGAGAACATTCCCTTGAACTGGGGATCACCGACGTCGTCGTGTCTCTCATCTTCGCGAAATCCCGGCGGGGGCACGTTATAGTCGCCCGTGTATGCATACTCGGTGAAGGCCACAAAGGTCTCCACATCCTCCTCCTCTAGGACCGCAATGTGGTGTTTAGACTCCCGAGTGAGGCCACTGTTCATGAGATGGTCCAGCGGTTTCGAGACATGGCGAGCGAGACCCGACTGGATTGTCAGCTTGGTATGACTGGGCCCGACAAGGAAGGTAAATGGCGGCGAATGGACGATGCTGTATCCAAAAGAGACATTCGAAGAGTCAGCGGCAACACTGTCGTGGTTGGTAGAGCACTTTGGAATCTTGTAGCCACCGATGATTCCTTAGACATGGGGCAGGGGAATCGACTATCGAAGCGCGGCAGAGGCAATTCAAAATAAAGAGCCTTTCTTTCGTTCTTGCAGTTGACGACCCGATGAAGATGGAAAGGAAGAAAGAAAATCGAGCTCACCTGCTCCAATCCGGAGAGGACTCCATTCCTCCTCCACTGTCTTTTCCGAAGAAACGAACAGTCCCTTCAGTCCTACAGTCGAAACGGGGGAGAAGAAACCAAAAAAAAAAAAAAAATAACAATCACAATCCTTCCTACGATTCTTTCTCTCCTTCCAATGGCCAACAATAAATACCTGCTAACGTCCTAAAATAGTCCCCATCCAACTTTCTCACGAACTCGCGTTTCCCACTTTTGTGCCCTCTCTTTGTCCCGCCATCTGCAGACTGCAGCCTCGTTCGACGACTCACTACAAGTCTACAATCCCCCCTAACCCATAGCCAGAAGGGAACTGCTACAAGCGCGAAACTTGACCCAGATGGGGTCCTGTTAGTCTGCTACGTGTGCAGATATGATGGGGGCGCCGGGAATTTTGACCGCTAACTTTGTCTCCCTGCTGCTCTCCCACAGTGCCAACTGCCACCTAACTTTTTTGTGACGATGAAAAACTTCGCCGAGGGGCCATTGGCCATCCCAAGTCTAGCGTGCATACAATATAACCGTTATGCGATGCAATCGCAAGAAAGGAATGGTTGGAAGTAGCTAGTAAGACCCATATGCAAGCTGTTCATCTCGACGATTATCTGCCTCCAACCGGACAACGCAGCAGAACTACGATGCAGAAGGACATGCGCAAATCACGCGAGTGATCCGGTGTACTGTACAGCTCTTTTCTTCCTTATCATCCGAAAGGACATTCCGGTATCTATCTAGACAGACACAAAAAAGAAAAAAAATTGGTCTTGAAGTAGCATTGGCGTCGTGTTGTGTTACTCCGTCTAGTTTCCTCTACTGGTTAGATGAATTGTTGCCCGACGATGGCGATTCTCTCGCTCCCAGCCTCCTCCTCTTCCTCCTCTTCGTCTTCTTCTTCGTGGTCACCCAACTGCGGGCCTCGTTCGATTTGGCCAGCTCTCTATGAAGCTACCAAAGTATCTAGTCACAACTGTGAGTCCCGTCGGAAAGGATGCTCTTCCTAGCTCTTACTACTGGCAATATACAGTTCTTGGATCATTCCACAGGCATTGGCTGCTTGCATGTTCGCCCTTCTGGCGGTGAGATGGAGTGGATTCTCATCAGTCAATCAAGGTACCTTGAAACCTGGTGATTAGCGCTCGTTCTTGCTGACTGCAGCTGGCTCAACTAATGAAATTACGGCGGATTGGATTCGGAGGCGCGTGGGAAGCCATGGTGGGAGTGCATGCGTAAGGAGGAAGGGATAGGCTCGAAGCCATGTCATGTTGTACCTGGGCGGTTTCAAGCAGAACCGCGCTGGATTGACCAATATGCATTTCAATCTGCATCGCGGTCTCAATCTATGTTATACATCAACTGAATTTTTGGATTTGTTCGGTCTATCCCAGACGATCAACTTGGTCGAACGTCCACGCGCATTCTCGATAAACCGGTATCTACTCTATAATCCGCCCAGAATGTGTATGAGGACCTCGTAGCTGAGAGAGAGAGAAAACACCTATGACACCCGCCAATGTCAAAATAAAACAAGTCGGCTTCAATGGACCAGTCGAATCTCCGTGTGCCCCGGCTCCCACTCCCGTAGGCCTTCACCGACACTATACCAGAACCTCAAGCGCACACACTCCCGTCGCGCAGCCTCGATATCGCCTCGCTCAAAGGCCTCGCCCAAGCGCTTCACGCACCCAGCCACCCGCGCATCATTCTCCTTCTTGAGCGCCGCGATCGTCGCCTCGGCCTCCGGCCCGGCCCCAACCTCCTCGATCGTCTCCTGAACCTCCATAACCTCCATCAGCGTCACCGGGTCCAGCGCGTGCTCGCTCGCCCCGTCCTCGGCCGTCACGTCGATGCCGTGCATCTCGCGGAGGAGATACTGCGCCCGTTGCAGCGGGTCCGCCAGCGTGCGATAGGCCTCGTTGATCCGGGCGGAGAGCGCCTCCGCCCGCTGCTTCGCTGGTCCCGGCGGGTACTTGTCTGGGTGAATCACGTTCTGCAGCCGGAGAAACTCGCGTTTGAGCTCGCCGAGGGGGATGTCGAACGGTGAAGCGGGCGGTGGGCCGGCTGGTAAGGTCTCGCGGAAGATGGTGTAGTAGTTTGTGAGGTCGGGGAGGTTGCGGTTCTGGTCGCTTGTGGTCTCGGTGTTTGCTGTCGCTGATGACGTGGAGGCATATCGACGGTGGGGTGGCTGTGGCTGTTGGCTAGCCCATCGTGTAGGACGAGCCGGCTCCGGCTGACGTCGCAGCTGACATAGCAGGCAAGCGTCTGCCGAGAAGAATGAGCGTCTTGCTTCTGTTCGTGATCTGGGTGCGGTGGAAAAAGAAAGCCGCTGGACCAGCCGCTGTGAGCGGAATGAAGTCGCCATGTCCTTTTTCGGTTCTTTCTATGTGGGTTTTCTTATGGCGCTTGTATAGGTGACCCTGTTTCTGATGAGATCGAATGAATAGCAGGATTGGAGGCGTATTCTTCTCGCTCGGGGTTTCCTTCTGCTTCTTATCAATCAAAAGATGATACAAAACACGTGCTGCTTATTCAGCATCTATTGCATAATTTCGACGATAGACGACTTGTTACGTCATCTATGCCAGAGAAAGATGCATATCGAGACTAGAACGTTGTCTATTGATGGTCATCGCCAAGAAGTAACTGCAAGACCTAGTTGAACTACTTGAGGAACCGCGGGAACTATGGGTTTGGGGTAGAAGGTTCCAACCATCTCTAATGTAGAGCGCTCGTTAAAACGTTGCCGATATACATAAATGCACCACCAACCCTTTATGCTTCTTATTCTATACCCCAGAGCTTCACAGTTCGATCGTGCCCGCAGCTGGCAATCCATTGCGCATCATCACTGATATCCGTACTGAGGACATTGCCCGCATGGCCACTCAGGGTTTTCACCAAAGACCAATCATCAGCGCTGAAGATGTTGACATGCTTGTCAAAACCACTGCTGACGAAGAACGTGCCCGACTTCTTCGGTTGAACGGGAGCGGGCGGTGTCGACTGTTCGCTCGTCGTGAGGGTCGCGCTGCCGTCAACGTCCATTTGGCCAGCTTGTCCCTCGGTAGAGGGTAGGTAGGACGCCGCAGACTCCGTGCCCTTGTACCATCGCAAGTCTGAGACGACACTCTTATGCGCGCCAATCCCCCCGATGTTTCGTACCTGCCGTAGATCCCAGCACTTGATCCACCCATCACCAGATCCCGAGAGAACACGGTACCCATCTACTCCCCAGTCGAGACCGTAGATTTCTCGAATATGGCCTTCGAGAATCATTACTGTTCGACCAGTCCGCAGATCCCAGATACGTCCAATGCTGTCCAGACCACCGCTCGCTAGCAGAGAGCCGTCATTGTTGAACGCCACGGTATAGACTTCTCTTGAATGGCCCTCCTGGAGGAGAAGTTCCGCAGTAGTCTCGACGTCCCACAACCGCCATGTGGTATCGAATGATGCAGAGGCGACATAGCGCCCAGATGGGTGAAATTCTGTCCGGCACACACGGCCGCTGTGGCCCGATAGCGTAGCTAGTGGCGTATCTTTATCGAGAGACCACAATGCCACATTGCCTTCCCCACCGCCGGAGACCAGGTTGACACTCGATTCGGAGACATTGGACGTGGGAAGTGTCGCCCCGGGGAACCACGCCAGCCCACCAACGCGATCCCGATGGCCCTTGAGATTGGATTTCTCCTCCAGATTCGGCACCGTCAGCAGGCGAATATTACCTCCCCAGTTTCCAGCGGCGATCGTCTTTCCATCTGGCGCAAAGCGACAGATACTCACGGGGCGATCACCCGCGATCTGCGAACCGTAAAGATCGAATCCTTGCAATTTCTCCTTGATTGCTTTACGATGCTTGATGTGTGTCCGTAGTGGGATCGTGGATTCCTCTCGTAATCGAGCCACCCTGGCTTTGGCTCTGGGGAGAGAATACCGGGCGATGTCTTTTCGCGCCTCAAGTAGGTCGCGGGAACCCTCTGTGTAGAACTCTTCCTGTTGCTCGGCCTCCTCCTCGCCCTCTTCCACCTCTTCTGTCACATCTCGCATGGAAATGTCCCCCTCCGCCGCCTCGGCTTCCTGCTTCTCGGCGAGATCGGTCAGGAGCTCGCGTAGTCGGTCTCTCCGTTCCACTGGCCCTTCCCCGAAGAGGGTTATCGGTTCCTCAAGTTCTCGCAGACGCGCGCGTACTCTTGAATCGTCCGTCGGAACCACCATGGCCGCTGCTCGCCGTTTGCGCTCGAACTGGGATAGAATGGCCGATGCTCTTTCGGACGGGATGCCCGCGGCGGCGGAAGGAAGCTCATAATCACGGTCGACCGCTGCAAGATACGTAGGAAAAGTCAGTGGCCAAAGGATGAAGGCTTTCATCGCATCGCATATCGGGTTCAGCAACATTGCTACTTACGGAGATTGGCGAGATCAATGCCCATGTCCGTATCCTATTTACCCCAAACACCATTGGACGTCAGTGGACAGTTCCCCGAAACAAGCCTTTGAATCACATTGTGAACACAAGTTGACCAATTTGCACATCGCATAGGAGATGCACAGGCAGACAAATGAAAGAAGAAAAAGGAAAGCATACCTCCGACTCCTCCACATACGCCTGTCTGGAAGGGTGCATCATCTTGGCTGCTGAAATCGAAGGCTAGCCGACAGCTTTGGAGACAAGAACGGAGCGCACTCGGAATCAATCGAGGATGATTCGAACGTATTATTGTCTGCTGGATTTAGTCGCGACTCGCCGGGGAATAATTTCGGCTAAGGGGTTTCTGTCGCAAAGGCACTGGCCGCTCTTGATGGTGACACTGCAGTTGTGTTCAAGGGGAAAGAAAAGAAAAACGAGAAGAAGATCAGGTGAAGGCGGATTGACTCTTTTCTACTGTCAACCACCCGCCAACTTACTCTACGTCCTGGTCTTCTATCAGTCTACTTTTTCGCATTGAAATGAAATACAAGCATTCATCTTCTGGTCTTTGAACCACATACACCAATATGAAGATGATGCACTGGGTCCAGCGCAATCCTCCCAGGTAGGTCTTCTTGTATCCGCCCACTCTCTACCTCTCCCCTACACCTTCACCACGCTCAAAAGCGAGCAATTGAGGGATCCAGCAGCTAACAGCCGTCTTCAGAGGCCTGGTTTCTAGATCTTGCCCCTGAGGGAAGACGACAAATCCCAGACAGATGTCTGTCCATCCCGCCGAATCGAATCCCACGATGTCTCGTTACGCTTCCAGGCGGTCGATGACGCCAGGCGGTCGGCATTTCCGTTCTATTCTTATTTCTTTGCCATGAAAACTCAGCAAGAATAACTATCCCACGTCCTTGCGGAAAAATCAGTTGCGATCAAAGTGATCCGTTGAGCTGTGTGCACTGTGATAGGCGGGGGAGCAATCTATATCCTGAGTCGCGAAAAAAAAAAAAAAAAAAAAAAGAGAGATCTTGTCGACCACCTGTGTCCCAGCGCCATCATCCCTGTCAGCTACAGCTCGCTTCTTATCATTCCCGACGGTAACTAGTAGTAGTTGATCCGTCCAGTGTGTCAACTCGGCTGCTTGTTCGGGATCCAACCCAACAGGTCTCTTATCAGTCTTTGGATCCTCCAGCAGAACAACTTCTCTTGTCCCCAATCCATCCTGCTGGAGGGTCTTGGAATCGCGTGGGACAGGACCCATTTACCCCAGTGACGGGTTTGCTTTTCGCCGATGATCCCGCTGGCTTCGTCCGGTAGAGCCTGCGGTTCCGCCTGCAGCAGCCTACAAATCGTCGCACGAGATAGATTATTCTCGTTCGCGACAAGCAGTTCAACATGGCCCCCCTTCCCTTACCCGAAGCGATTGCGCCTGTCTCCTCCCTACAGTTCGCCGCTTTCCCGCAGAGCCTTCCATGCGACCTCGCCCTCCGGCCTTGATGCTCCGCGCATCTCCTACCGTGTTGCAGCCTCGTCCTCGGCCAAGGGCCGTCGATTCCACCCCTCCACGAATTCCTACGATTTCACACCCAGCGTGCAGGATGCTATCGGCGTGATCACGGAAGAGGTGGATTCAGCCACCAGACGCAAGAAAAGGCCTGATAGCGGGGAGGATGCATTCTTCGTGAGCCGCGTTGGAAGCCGAGATTCCGGTGCAGTTGCCTTTGCCATTGCAGACGGAGTTGGAGGTTGGGCAGAGTCCAAAGTCGACCCGGCGGACTTTTCGCACGGCCTGTGTCGCTACATGGCCGAAGCGGCCGTGTCCTGGGACTCTCCAATCGAGAAGCTGCGGGCAAAGGGTCTGCTCCAGGCAGGCTACGACCAAGTGGTGGCCGACAAGTCGATCCGAGCCGGCGGCAGTACGGCCTCGGTTGGGGTTGGACTGGCCGACGGGCGAGTCGAGCTGGCCAACCTAGGCGACTCGGGCTCGGTCCTCCTTCGTCGCGCCGCGGTACACCACTACTCAGCCCCGCAGACGCACGGCTTCAACACACCCTACCAACTCAGCATCATCCCGCCGCGCATGCGCGCCCAGGCATCGATCTTCGGCGGCGCCTTCCTCGAGGACTTCCCGCGCGACGCGGCCGTCACAACCCTGCACATGCAGCACGGCGACGTCCTCATGCTCGCCACCGACGGTGTCTTCGATAACCTGAACAATCAGGACATCCTGAAGCTCGTCACCAGCCGCATGGTCCTGACCGGCGCATGGACCGCGACCCCCGAAATGGGCATCAAGGTCTCCGACGATCTCGCCGACCTGACCAGCCCGGACGGCCTGGCCTCCCTCTTTCCCCCGCCTGACACTGCTGCCGCAAGCCCCTCCGGCAAACCCGCCCCATCCGCCCAGCCACCCACCCTCCAATCCGTCCTGGCTGCCACCATCGCCGGCGAAGCCAAATTAGCCAGCATGGACCTCCGCCGCGACGGGCCCTTCGCCAAGGAAGCCCAACGCTATTACCCAGGTGACTACTACCACGGCGGCAAGGTCGACGATATCTGCGTCGTGGTCGTCGTCGCTGTCGAGGAGGGCCGGGGCTCCTCTGCCTGATTCTTCTCTCTCCCTGTCACGGAATACCTCTTGTCTCCTCCCTCCCCCCATTCGTCTTGTACCGTTCCATTTCCGGTTTCCCATTCCAACATATAGATCTCTTGTACAGTTGCATATAGGTGATGTCTTTAGGTGGAAGGGGCGTGTATCATGTATGAGGTTTCTATCTACTTGTACTTTTTTCTTTTTTTTTTTTTTTTTTTTCTCCTACGCGATATGTTCTTTCATCCAGGCTGGATACGAGATCGAATAGAAAGAATAGATAGAATAGGATACCATCAGCAAACACCACATATCTACGGAATCTACAACACCCCTAGAGATTCAAATTTCCAGATGAAGAACGGCTACGATCCAGAATATCTCTTTTAACTTGAATAGAAACTTTGTATTGTGGAAAGCTAAAAAAAAAAAAAAAAGAAAATCTGAATTCTCAACCCAAAAACAAGTACTTCGCAGAGAAAAAGAAAAAGAAAAAGAAAAAGAAAAAGAAAAAGAAAAAGAAAGGAAACTAAGGAATCAATCTGAAAGACGTAATGAAACAGAATACATGCCCTGAAAGAAAAACACCCCTTCCCATCACAATGTGGATTTTGTTCAGTTGAAGAAGGACAGGGAAGAGAGAAGGGGAGATGAGATGCTGGAGGGATCATGGGAGGACTATTTATTGTCCTTAATACCTCCGTCGGTCTGCTTCAAATACCCGTATGCCTTCCGAGACCTTCTACATTCAACCGGTTCTCGAACAGAATACACTCTCCCGTCGCCAAAATTGGAAAAGTGAGACGAAGATGGGGCACCGAAAAGTACAGCACGGGACCGAAGAAGACGAGGGCCTTTTTTAAATGAGAAAATCTCCCAAAGGCTTTTGGTTATGCTCAAATGTGTGCATTCATTGGCCAATCCCAGCATGTTAAAGATAAAAGGAACGAGATGATTGAGGACAGTCACATAAAATGACAAGTGAACACCGCACAGAGTATTAAAGAGATGAATAAGTCTTGGGAGGTGGACGAGCAGAGAGGGAATACTGAACGCATATGGACAAGTCGATATCCTGATGTTCATGCCGCTGCTTCAGCAGTCTTTTCTTCGGCTTTCTCCTCAGCTGCCTTCTCCGCTGACTCTTCCTCAGCAGGCTTCTCCTCGGCAGGCTTTACTTCGGAGGCCTTCTCTTCTGTGGCGCCAGTCTCAGCCGTCTCTTCGACCTTGGGAGCCTCCTTCTCGGGCGTTTCCTTGGCTGCTTCTGTGGTTTCGGCCGCCTCCGAAACATCCGCATCGGGCATCGGCTCATCCTGTGGCTCGGCCGGCTTAGTATCTTCCTCCTTCTCTCCCTCAGTCTCAGTCTTTGCGGGAGTCCCGACACTATCCTCCTTCTGGGCTCCATTGGCCTTTGGCTCTGCAAGAGGCGCCGAGGTATCAGCATCGAGAACGTTCTTCCACTTAGACAGGATGCCGATAGCGCGTCGTCGGAATTGGAACTCCTCATCACGGGGGATAGAGTTGAGCTTCACAATCATCTTCAAAACCTTGTTGATCTTGGTCGCACGGATGATCGACACCTCCAGATCATCAGCTACCTTCTCGAGCTTGGTGAAATAGCCAGACATGGTAGTCATTTCCTCCTCCTTAGGTGGTTGGTCGCGCGAGATGAATCCCTTCTGGAGCCTGTGACGAACGAAAAGAACTGTGTAAATGTTAGCTTGCACTTAGGTGGCCAGGAAACGAGATATCTTACCTTCTTTCTGCTTTCTTTCTTTCACCTCCTGCTGGTCAACGGGCTTCCCGGGCTCCTTCGACGGGGCACCAACATCCTCCTCGCCTTCATCACTAACAGCAGCTTTGCTTGCCTTCTTGCTGCTTGCGGTCTGCTTAGCCTTGCTGCCTCCGGCGGCCTTCTTCTCGGCCTCAGCGGGGGTTCTCGGGGTCGTTAGCTTCAGCTTGGTGGCCGTCTTGGGTGTCTTAGCAGGCTGGAAAACAACGAAAAGTATATTAGTCCGACGTGCCCGGGTCAGTAACAGAAGAAAGTTTAGAATGTGTGACTCACCTTTTCAGCTTCACCATCAGTCTCCGCATCCTTCTTGCGCTTCTTCGAGCTCTTTGGCTTCTTGGGCTCTTCTGCATCTTCCATGTCGATATCCTCCAGATCATCGACGATCTCCATGCTCTTCCGCTTATTCTTCTTGGCCTCTCTTTCAGCCTTTGCTGCCTCCTTGGCCGCCTCCTGGGCTTCTTTTTCCTCCAGCTCCTGCTCCAACGCGCGCTGATGGTCAGCTAGCAGATCCTTGAAGTACTGCAGATCGTGGCCTTCGGCAGCAACGGCATAAGCAGCAAGAAGTTGTTTCGATTTGCCCTTTTCGGAGATATCTTTGCACGCGGCGGGTTCGATTGGGCTTAAATCTGTGTTGGGGATCCAGGCACTGGTGATTGTTAGCCTCACTGGCCCTTGTAAAAAAAAAAAAGAAAAGCAAGTATCATCACAAAGCGCGGCACTTACAACTCATTGGTCTCGAAGAACATGACAGGAAAAGTCCGTTCATGAGCTCGCTTACCGCCGTCGGCGTAATCCTCCCTGTAGGTTCCATCGGCGCGCATGGCGGTCACGGGACGCGTGCTCAGAAGCGTTTGAGGAAGAATCTCCTCGTCACAAATGATAGAGGGCCATGGGGGAAAGCTGCGCAGGCGCGCGAGATAGTATTCGCCAGGCTTCGCGTGCAGGTTCGTGATACGAGCTTGCGACTTCTTTCTGTTCAACTTGGACTTGTGCTCAGGCACTCCACTGCTGGACTTGCGCCTCGAACCTCCAGACTTCTTGGCAGACTTGGGGGTCTCGGTGGCTGTAGGCGCCGGGGCGGCGTCGGATTCTGCAGCTGCGGTGGCGGTCGCTTCCGGTTCCTTCGCGTCAGTGGCCTCTACGGGTTTCGAGGGTTCTTCAGCGGGGGCATCAGTCGACTCCTTCTTCTCGTCAGAAGCGCTCGAGTCGCCTGGTTGACAAACAGAAGCAGAGTTAGCGACTCAAGTCTTAGATTAAAAGCGAAGCTCAAAGGGTATCTGATCCCCCTTCCGGACGTCGGTGGGAACGGTGTAGGGGAGGAGAAAGCAACAGCCATGTGCCACAGTCAATTTTCTTACCGGATGTCTTTCCCTCTGAGCCATTGACCTTCTCTGATTCTTGCTCCTTGGACGTCTCTGGAGCTGATTCTGCGGGCGCAGCTTTGGCCTCAGCGGAAGGAGCGCGCTCAACGGGCGGCTCACCAGCTTCAGCAGCGGTCGTGGAGACAACAGGTGTGTCTTCAGCCATGGTATGCGATGGATCTCAGCGACAATCAAAAACAAGCTCTTGGGATGAAATGCGGTTGAAAGAAGCCAAAGCTTTCAATGGGACGGGTGTTGGAAGGATGAAGTTGATTTCAGTTGGGGAGATGTGGTGGAGAAGGTCGCGACGCCGGGAGGCGGGAAGTTCGAACAACGCGTGCGCTTGGGGGGAAAAGGGAGTTTGCCAATCCACAAATGACGCAACAACGGTCGAGCTCACCACAACAGCGTTGAGGGAAAAGATCGAAAAAATAATAGAGATAAGTGATAGTTCACGTCACAAATAACGGATGCCACTGTTCGTTCTTGTAGGATGAATAAAAAAAAAAAAGAAAGAAAGATCGCAACCCGGCTGACCGGACGATGCGTGACTCCGTAGACCGGCCTTGACAAGCTAGCACGGACGCGATACAAAGACGCGCAAGGACGCCTTTCGGACTCTCGAGGATGGTGAATAATTTTTTGCAACTTCTTCAGGTGGGCGAGTAGAATGAATGGAGGATCCGTATCGCGTCGCAGAATCCTAGAGTCGATTCGACTCGAAAACAGCAACGGTCGTTGGGGGTCGCCTAGCTTCTTCTTCGAAACGAGGAGATGCTGGGCACCGTAGCTGAACAGTTGCAGCGATGAGTCCGAATCGGTTGCTGGGAAGGTTGCAGCACCGATCGCAGATCGCGTCGCTGTTATTGTCAAAAAGAACAGTAGTAGACGGTAGATCGAGTTGCGCCACAAGATAAACGAGCGCGTCTCTTTCTGGTGTTTGATGATCCCTCGAACAGGCGAAAGAGCTTTAGTGATCAGGTGTGAGACCCAAAGCGAAAACAATCGTCTTACCTAGCAGAGTGGTTAGACAGAGCAATCGATGTGCCAAATGGGATGGGTGACCAACAACTACCTGTAGTGTCGCGATCAAGCCACTGAATCGCCGACAGACGAGAAAGGAGATTTGCACGAAACACGAGAAACTCCAGCAGCAATATTCTTTGGATATGGGTTCTTTAAATTGAAGCCAAATCACCGAATCCCAAGATCAAGCAAGTCATGAACAAAGCACGTAGCTGGAGAGAGTGTTGAGAGGGGTGGCTGTGGTGGCAGTGGGAGAGACACAGGCGGGACAGACAATATGACGGCATCCAGTAAAGCTTCACGCTATCCAATTCTCACTAATAGATGCTGGAAATCAGACAGTTCATTAATTTATTCTTGCTCTTTTAGATTCTTGGACCTGGGTCTATAAGCTTACAATGGAAATATAACTTCAGAAACTCACTCATCGTCTTCAATGCAGTATCTCACTTGCCCGCCAGGTGATCGATATCTTGTATTATATACAATGCATTGAATATTGTCCAGAATATGCCAATACCACCTATTAAATGGAAAGGTCTCGTTGTTCAATTCTTTTTCTTTCCGCTCGTGGAGCAACAATACATCGTGGATGTACTCCGTAGAGCCTCAAGAAGTCCAGGCAAGAGCATCGACAGTTTCAATTGGGAATTCATTACGTTGAATGTCCTAGTCCGCTTTCTATATGTACAGATCGCAATGCGGGTAACAATATTATGGAGAGAGAGAGAGAGAGAGAGAGAGAGAGAGAGAGAGAAAGAACGACTGCGTGGAAGCATTTAGCTCCAAAAGAGACCACTTGAAGTGTGGTAAGATGGCCGACTTCCAGGAATGATGAGCAGAAGAAGGGTTCTCGAACCCCAGGGTAGTGCTAATGCAAGGATGCAAAGAATAATATCTTCGAGATACAATTGGGGTGAAGGCTTGGGATGATGGTGAATGGACCGGTTCACTGGAAAAGAGAAGGGCGATGGAGTATCTCGTCATCGTCCCAGGAATCTTTGAGGTCGAGGCCATCCACAGCTGTTGGGTCGGGCTTGTGTATGCGGACCACGCAAAGAAAGTAGTCCTCTAATGGCAGCAGATTTAGCAAAATGCCATTGAAACGCCACCCCAAAACACAAACAACTGTCCCCGCCATGGCATCCAAAAAGAAGTGATTGGCGGTGGCAACAATCGCGACCAAGATGACGAATGGGTAGAGAAATCCGAGTATCAGGCAGGCAAGACGAGGCCACGACGGGAGCTGCAATCCCAGGGAGCGACCAAACAAGCGAGGGCGACCAGCGGGACGGCGATGGTGCGGCGGTAGTGGGATAGTCATGATTGTTAGTCCAATCATGAGAGAATAGCCAAAATGTAAGGAGGGCATAGCAGCTGCACACAATATCAGCTCGGGTGATCCATGATAGATTACAGCGGGCCAAATCGATGCTTACCATATTGGTTACAAAATCGATTCTGTGTCCAGACACTTCCAGCGCCGTTCACGCCATGCACGGTATCAACGAAGCCGTAGCTGCGCGCAAGCTCTCCTTCGGGACCTTTAACGCTCTTGTCGCTCAGGAGACGAGGAGGCATGCAGGGCCACAGGGTAAAGACCACGAATGCGAGAAGATTGCATACGGCGAGGGTACGTCGTCGGGCCTGATAAAGGCGCGGACCGGCGGGAGACCCCTTCGCAGCGCCCCAAGGCTTACCCAGTTGCGATTCATCAACTCGATTGCGCGTGGTTGTGTAGTAGTAGAGCCAGACCAGGAAGGCAATTGTGCCTGGGATATGGATGAAGGAATACACCCAATTCGTCACGGCCATCAACCGATCATGTTGAAGGAAGAACCGCTGGATCGGGATTTCCAGGAAGATTCCAAGCTCTTGTTCGATCTGAATTATCTGCAAAGCATGCTTCCTCGCGACATCGACGGTTCCTTCCTGAAGCGTAACCGCTGTGAAAGCTCGACCCAACTGATATGTCTAGAATTGACGTGTCAGTGTCCTCTTCCCTCTGCAAGAGAGAAAGAAAAGCGCAGGGGAAACGCAGTGATGTACCCAGTAAAGCAGAGCCCAGTACCAGCACTCGACCAGAAAAGGGAACTTTCGAATCAGGCGACTGAGAAGACGGCCTTCGAAGACTGTTGTGTTTGGCGAGGTCACCTCGAATTTGAACGACAGGAACTGAATCTGACGTTTGCGCCACTGACTCTGATCGAAGTCGACCAACGTAGGTGAGAGAGACCGTTCACTCAGCAGACCATCCTTTGCTGTTGGCGTTAACAGGCCGGACTCCAACGAATCTGGGGAACCACTCCGCGCATCGATGCTGGATCTACGGGTTCTGCGGACAGGAAAGAAGGCTTTGGTGGACCGATTAATCCAGGTGCCTCCGAAGAGCAGGACGATGACCACAAGAGGCTCGAGAATCGCTCCAGCTCCCATGTTGACCGTGAGCTTGATAGTGTAGGGGAAACCCCACGATAGGATATTGCATGGAAGGCAAAGGAGAGAAGAAAGGAAAAAGAGAAGAAGAAGAAGAAGAAGAAGAACCAGGAGCAAAAACCGAATAGTTTAAAGATAAGAAGAGTATGTGACACGAGAGACCCAGACACTAGAGAACTGTGTTGTGAAGTGACTATCTTACAGTAGGACGGAGCTCTCGTTGTATGCGGGAAACTTGGAAACCAAGGACGGCACCATTGCATCAGTAGGGTACGGTAATGAATGAGGGGGCGAGCGAGCATTGGCTGGGCTGAGAAGCAGACAAGGCTCGCTAGCTGTGCAATGATTGTTGAAATCAGGGCGGCATCAGATGTATACTGATTTGCTTTTAGTCAAGCAGGAGGAGACTAAGATCATCTACCTAGTGTAGTGAGTGAGAGTTGAGATGAGGCGAATGAGGTACCAGGAGGAGCAGGTGATTAACCTAGTATCAAGCAACGAATAACAAACAAGAGAGCTGATAAGTATTAGAGGGAAGGCTCAAGGCGGATATGAGTATCCAGCCACTCGTTGTCAAATGTCAATGGGAAGAGATATAAGGCAGTACCTACCTAGGTACGGTAATAGTGATGAGGACTGAGGATGTGCACGCGGGCACCTTCCGATAACAACACTGGGGACTACCTACTGTAGGTAATTACTTGTTCAGACCTCAGGGTCTGTGGGAACCTTAAGTGAGAGGGTCTAAGACGAAGATGATGATGATGAAGAAGAAGAAGAAGAAGAAGTGCTCCAGTTCTCAGCCCAATATGGATCATCCAGGAGATTAGGTCGGATGTCAGGCTATCCCCATGCTTAGTTTGTTCCCAGTATCCACTCTTTGTTGTTTAAACCTGAATGAAGATACATACGGAGCTTCTCTCGATACATGCTGTGCTTTTGCGCCCTGAAAGCCTGCGTAACTTGAGAGAGTTGAGATGGTCGACATGTGTGGCAGGACAGACTAGACAAAGGTTACAAATGCCAAGCAAGGAAATGATGATATATCCCTCCCGGCGCAACCGGACTCAGAAGGCGACTCCATTCTGCACTAGTAGTTAGAGTACTATGCATTTTCTGTTTGCATAGCATTATCAGCTAGCTACGTCGGCTGCCGGCCGTCGAGCTTGTAGTTGTAGCTTTTCATCCATGGTAGTCTGGTTCACTGGTAAAAACCACGGAACGCCAAGAATCCATGGAGACAGCTAGGTAACTAGGTAGGGAGAGTGGTTATCCTATGCTTGATTACGGAGTATGCATCCGCCTGATTAGTATTCAGTATTCATCTTGTAATAATGACTTGGCACTTGGCACTTGGCAGTCTGATTCTGCCGTCTTCTGTCGGAGTGGATGAAGCAGGATTACCTACTATTTAATATTAGATTTAGATGCTGGTACTGTGTAGGTAGATATCGTGATGTGGGGGGGTTTACAGAGTAAGGTTTGCCAAGTTGATCTCTGCCAGCAAAAGAAAAGCCGGCCAAGATTTGAAGACTGAGCGGAGATCACCAGCCAACTTGGAACAGCCCTATCAAAAGACTCTTCGCTCTTCAAACTTCATCTCGGAGCTCGGAGTTACAGGCTTACAGCAACCATCCGAAACAGTGTGCTCTGTGCTGCCATGGAGTGTAGCACAGCAATAATAATATAAATACTGAAAGGACCAAAGTCAATGGACACAGTACCTAGGTACCTTGTTTGCTTCGAGTCATGTATGTACGTATTTAAATGTACCAGCATATGTCACGGTCACTGTACCAAGAATACCTAATGCATTTATAGGTTTCGTTTTCTGATCTTATTACCTGAGGGTGACGGTGTGATTTCCGAAGGAAGTTATGCAACTGCTTCAATCATTTCTGAAGAGAGAACGGAGAACGGATCACAACAATCCCGAGGAGGAAGCAGGCACAGGCCATATTCCGCCAGCACTAGTAGAGTGGATAGTATCATAGTGGGGATGAAGTTGATAGGATCAATCTATGTTATAGATCATCATAAACAAAAAAAAAAAAAGGCCCCAAATCCTTGAAATTAATACCATACGGTCATAACTACCAGTATTGTTCCATATTATTATCCTGGATAGATTCACCATGCTGAGACGAGCTCTTGCATGATTGCATCAACCATAACCGGGGTCAGGAGAATCATGGGATGTGCTGTCACCTGCAGGGCTCAGAAGTCGGAAGTCGGAAGTCAGAACCTACCTACTACGAGCTTGGTTTGGCTGAGTCGGCGACCTTCAATTCCACTACTATAGACTGTCCATCTTGATGCTTATTCCTTTTGACTCCATCATAGTTTTTACTACTACTTAAAAGCAATAAATCAGCAATCACTAGGGATATCAGACTCCCACATAGCCATACCTATTGGGAAGGCAATGTTGAACTGGCTATACCAGAGAAAGCTCCCCTTAAAGCAGATCATACCGCCAGTCAATTGATCTTTGACCACATACAACTTTTTCCTATGGTAACTATCATCCCGTCAAATAACCCTCTATGCCTTCCAACTTCAAAGTATCTTACCTCTCATCTTAATCTGTCCATATTCCATAAATCCATATCCCCAGTCTACCTCGGTCCTATTAGTGACGTCACGGCCTTTGAGAGCTGTCGCCATCTTGACTTCATGGCAATCGTACTTAATACAGTAGACAGTAGGTGACATGGAAGGAGAGCAGAATATAGATATGATACCAATAATGCTCTTTACCTTAAAATCGACTATCCGTTTGAGTTACCTATGTTTGACGTCAAAATCCTTCATTGACGTCCTGTCATTTGACATCGGGGGACAACTGTTACAGGTCAGAATAGCAATAGAGTGTCAAGAAAATAAGTGACACATTCTCGTCTTAAACCTAGGCATCATACAAGGCTTTACAATGTTAGCACGCACTCAGGTCACTACCGCGTCCAAATGCGCCGTCGGTTCGGCTGAGCAACAGCTCCTGAGAGCCACGACTTCAGCACCCCTCTCGAGAAAGTTCACAGCCTCCTCAGCGTTGCAGAAAGAGCTGACACTACTTCAAGATAAAAAGTATGGGTTCGGGTTCGCACGCTCGAACCCTCGGCCTCCCAAGCCAAGAAGTAAAGGGGTCACCGAGATTAGAGGTCCATACTATACAGTATGCGCGATGGAGATCCCAAATCGAGCACTCCAGAGCTGATGTCGGTCTCTGTTTACAGGTCATGGGCAAGCGATATCTGGCTGATGTGCTGGAAACGTAAGTATCAGGATATATGCCCGACAGTCACAGCCCAGTGGCTGACAGCATTTTAGCATGGAGACACACGTGGATGGCCTGAAGTTTGCTGGAGGTATCCGCAGCACCAATGCGGGATGCGTCCGACAATGTTAGGCTAACCTCAGGCAGGCTCATTTACCCTTTTCCCGGAGAAGCCTCTGAGGGAGTTAATAGATCTTGCCCATGAGCACGGCGTCTATGTGTCAACAGTGAGCCCGTCAATCGCAGAGAGGTTTGCAGGAAGCGTGAGTAACTGAAGATTCTTGCTGAGCAGGGTGGATGGGCTGAGCATCTGCTCACTCATCCGGATCCAAATACTGTCTTTGATAAGTATCTCAAGAAGTGCAAGGACCTGGGGTTCGTTGGTCCGCTCTCATCACTGCGTTCAGAAAGGAGACTAAATGATTGAAGGTTTGATGTTGTCGAACTCTCCTCTGGCTTCTTGTCGTTGCCCGAAGACGACTGGCTCCGCCTGGTTGATAAAGTGCATTCACACAAGTTGAAAGCAAAACCAGAACTTGGCATCCAGTTCGGTGCCGGTGGGGACACACCTACTTCTAGTCTTGAAGCCATTGGGACATCGGACCCGGTCAAGCTCGTCAATATGGGTCGAAAATTTCTTGACGCTGGTGTCGAGCGTCTGATGATCGAGTCTGAAGGCATCACGGAGAACGTCGAGTCCTGGAGGACGGACGTTGTATCCACAATCATGAAGGAGTTACCATCCGAACGTGTCATGTTTGAGGCAGCAGATCCCAAAGTGTTCAACTGGTATGTCCGCGAATTTGGCATTGATGTCAACCTGTTCGTGGATCATAGTCAGATCGTTCAGCTGTCCTGCCTCCGACAGGGCATATGGGGCACAGCTGATACTTGGGGGAAAGTGGTATCTTTTCGGCCAGACTAGATAGGCGAGTATCATATTGGGATATAGGTCTGTAAAATTAGGCATGTGAGGAACAACATTTCCAACCACTTGCCTCTGGGACGATTCCAGGTGGTCTGGAATGTGTCACCAAGAACACAGCATGGCATGTTCATCCAAAAATTCGAATGACATTGATTCGACACGCCCAGACTTGAAGGATCACTATGTAGACAGTCCAATGCCTATGACCAACCGTCCAAGTGTAATAACATAAACTGATCGCCGGGGGTTGTCAATACTTTGATATACAGTTGGGGTCGTGCGGAAGTGGTGGTTAGTCAGCCACTTTTCTCCGCAGATCGTCGCAATCTGCCTTCGTACTTATGCTTCAGTTCTGTTTTGCTATCTTGTTCGCACGAAAATAATATCGACCAATACCTCATAAGCTTGCGAGCTCTTGATAAACAATGCCCTTTCTAAACGATTGATAGCCGGTCCGATCTTTGACCTGTAGTGCGCCTCCAACATCCCAGCGACGGGCGGACCCCGCGTTTTGGCTCAAAGCATCCATGCAACTTATCGGGCCTCATCCCTTGCGTACGGACGCCTCAACATCTGCACGATGCCTCGGGCCAGTACAACTCCTAGCGCGCGACTTCGCTGCCGGAGAGCTTGCGACAGCTGTAAACGGAGGAAGCAGAAATGCAACGGAGAACAACCGTGTACGATCTGCGTCCAGCGGCGCAAAGAATCAGAATGCAACTTCTCCGACATACCGGCGCGCTTGCTGAAGCCGAATGGCTCCAAAGAAGCCATGCTTCTGACCGAACACATGGTGTCCACTCCACAGCGACAGACGGCCATGGATTGCTTATTGAACGCTCTGGAGGATCATAGCGCGGACATGGAACAGCGAACGACAGACGACAAGGATGGGACGGCACCGGTGCCCAAGGTAGCCAGGCTGCTTCGCGATGGTCAGGGGAAGTTTATGTACATCGGTGACTCTGCGAGCTTGTCCTTCCTACAAAGTGTACGGCGCATTGTATCGTTGTCAATCGGACGCTGCGAGTTCACTGAAGATACCTCGCGGCATTCGATGCTCGAGGCTTTCCAGAATAGTCCCGCCACTCAAACAGGAGCTTTAGTCCCACCACCAAGCAATGACGAGGCACAGCGGCTGGCCCGCCAGTACGTCCTTGCTACCAGCCCGTTGATGGATCTATTCGACCTCGAAGAGTTTCATCCGCGTCTTGCCAGCTGGGTTGGCAACACGACGGGCGATGAAGACACTGTCAGCTCGACATTCTACCTTGTTCTCGCCATTGGAGTTCAAGTGTCCGAGATCAACCAGGATCTCGCCGAACAGTACTTTGTCAGTGGGCGCCAACTAGCATTCTCGGCCATCACCGAAACCCCCAGCCTTTACACGATACAATCCTATATCTTGATCTCAATGTATATGCTTGGTGCTTGCAGGCGCAATGGCGCCTTCATGAATTTGGGGATTGCGTTACGGGCTGCATATGCGGTTGGAATTCACAGAAAGGATGCAAATGCCTTGTTCTGCACTCGGGAGCGACGAGCTCGTGAACGTGTGTGGAAAAGCCTACGGATGATGGATCTATATCTCAGCGCTTCTCTTGGAAGGCCCCCAGCGACGTCAGACTTCGATTTCGACGTACGTGACAGCGCCATGAGCCCCGGGGAACAACAGCGTCTACAACCCGAAGAACAACTATCTCAATGTGTGGTTGCATTGTGCAGTATCTTCGATCATATCCTGACAGAAGTCTACATGAGACGGGTCGTCTCGATCAATGTCGCGGAAACGATTTCTAATCAGCATCGCACCTGGGTCCGGAATCTGCCCCTGTTTCTGAGCGTGCAAACGGAGCGGCTGAATTCAAATAACCTAGAGAGTACGTTGGCAGCAGCGCATATATTCAGCTCATATTACTGGTCGATTATCCTATTGACTCGGCCCTTTTTCATCTTCCGCGTGTCTCAATACGTGAGGAGTAAGAATGATACGGTCGCAAGTGCCAGCGACCCGAAAACCAGCACCTCCCGCATCGCACTGTTCGCCGATGCGTGCGTCTATTCTGCGCTCCGCTGCCTCAATATCGTCGACGACCTGTCACGGTTCGAGGATCTACCTCGAAAATTGCCTTTTCTGATCAATTCTGTTTTCAACTCGTCCGTCGTACTTGGGGCAGCATTCTTTGCTGAATATGATAATCTTCTTCCCTTGGAAGAGGGAATGGACAAGGCTGAGAAGTTCTTAGGACTCTTTGTACCACACGATCCCCATGCATGTCGCTTTTATCAGATTATCAAGTACTTAAGAGGCGCGGTGGCTGAGTATGTCCGTCGTCGGAATCGCCAATGGATGGAACGCCGCAGTAGACAGGTCGATCAGCTCTTTGGCCAGGTAGGCGTTTCGAACGAATCTCCAGCGTCCAGTGACAACTTGAGGTACAACCGCGGCGGTGACCATCCCGCTCCCTCCCCACTGTCACCGGAGAAGCTCGCCGCGGGTTCTTTATCCGTCCAGGCTCCGGAGCCTACAGTTGCCACAAACTACCCAGGGAATGATCTATGGAATGCCCTTTGTGGCACCAATCCCACAGCAGCATTACCCTACGATAGTGCTATTTCGACCCTGACAACCACGGGAATGCCCATTGGCTGTTCACCGGGAGGTACCATCTCGGTTGGTCAGCTGGGGATACCGTCCGAGGGAGGAGGCCAAACACCCCTGTCGGACGTGATCTTTCCAGAAAATGGTCTGCTTTATATGGCGGAAGATCTTCCGGTGTTTGGTCTTTGGGGAGAGACATGAACCATTGCGCATCGAAATATCCTCTCAGTCCTCACCTTTTCTTCCATACCCTTTCGGTGCGGAAAATATGTCCTTGGGTTACATTTCCTTCGGTGCATTATTTGGCGTTCACGAGGCGCTATGTTTGGAACTTACCAATAGCGCATGGCGATTTAAGCAATGATGTCTCACGATGTCCTCTGAAACTTTCCTAAAGCTTCTTTTAGCTCTCTATCGAGCTCAAGTCATTGGTGGATGAATGTTGGCAATGATCAAGCAGCAAATGCTTCGCAAATAGTATACTATAAGCCATCACTTAAGTGCAACTTTTTATAATCACATCAAAGACGAGGTCAGAATAGTAAAGGCCACACAAGCTGTTTATGGCTTTTTATATGCCACTTGTAGCGATCATGGTCCTTATCCACGTGTCGATAAGGCCACACCGCGGATCCGCACCAATGATAACGGAGCGCGGACTGATAACCGCTCGATGTTCACAGCTGTCATGTTTCGGAGACCCTGGCGTCATCAAACGGATTCCAGTGCGAGCACTCAATTGCGCGCGATAGAAATCCAGTCCCCTGGAAATAATGAGGCAGGACTGTCATCTTGTGCTTTCTTAACCTCGAACCGCCGATAACGGTTAGACGGAAGTTCTCAAAAGTCAAACCTCCTCCCCCTCTCTCCGCTCTCCCCACGGGGGACTATCAGTACCGTATTTCTCCACGTTTTATCTCATCCCGCTATAACGACCACCTTCCTTTCCGAAGGTCGAAGGGATTATACGTCATGAGCCGGCGCGCGCGGGTTCTCGCCCCTCTGCTGGCGCTGGTTTGTGCCAGCTCTGGTGCTTTGGCTAGCAAGAAGGCGTTCAACATTTACGATGATCTGCTGGCGTATCCCCAAGTATGCCTTTCTACACCTTAAGCTTTGAGTTGATGTATTATTGCACAAGGTAGCTCATACGCTAATCGCTTATCCACTGTAGTTCCAAGTCTTCTTCCCCGATGAATACATCCTAGAGTCACAAGCAAGGGAGTTACTCCAGACGCCACACGGGGGCGCACCAATCCGCGATGAGCAATTCGACGAGTCCAAGCACGCGCAGGTATCCCTGGGGACGAGACAAGAGGCAGGTAACGAGGAGGCGACAGACGCAGGGTTCCTGACCTACAAGGAGATGCTCCTCGACGGGCAGCGATACCTGTGTCAGATCCCGCAAGTCGAAGGTGACGATAGGAGCCAGACGAACGAGACGGATAACCTGAACGAGGACGACGAGCAGAAGGAACTGGCCCGCGCGACGGACCGCGGCCTGGAACTCCTCCGCGAGATGGAGGGTAAATGCATGTACTACATATCCGGATGGTGGTCGTACTCCTTCTGCTACAAAAAGCAGATCAAGCAGTTTCACGCGCGCCCGTTCGGGCCCGGGGTGCCCAATTACCCTCCCCTTGAGGACCCGGCGACTCATTCGTTTGTACTGGGTCGGTTTCCCAGCAGCAGCGGCAACGGTGGCGGCGCGGAGGACGTGGAGGGGGTCGCAGAGCACAAGAAGGCCTCCACGACGGACATCGCTGAGCTTCAGACGAAGGGCGGATCACGGTACCTCGTGCAGCGGCTGGGCGGAGGCACCAGGTGCGATCTGACGGGCAAGCCTCGCAAGATCGAGGTGCAGTTCCACTGCCATCCGCAATCGACCGACCGCATTGGCTGGATCAAGGAACTCACGACTTGCTCGTATCTGATGGTCATCTACACGCCGCGGCTATGCAACGACGTCGCGTTCTTGCCGCCCCAGCAGGACAAGCCGCATGCGATCGACTGTCGCGAGATTCTAGCCGCGGAGGAAGTTCCGGAGTGGGAATCGGAGCGGGCGTATCATCTTGCCCAGCAGCTCGTGGAGGCCGCAGCGACGCCTGCGTTTCCCGTCGTTGGAGACATTGAGGTTGGCGCCCAGAAGTTAGTGGGCGGCGAGGGCAAGCAGATCCAAAAGGGCCGAGTGGCATCCGTGGGCGAAGATAAGGTCGAGGTCGTGGCGAAGCGTGAGAACGGCGAGATTCAGCGCCTATCGAACGAAGAACTGAAGAAGTTTGGTCTTGACTCGGAGAAGTTGGAGAGGCTGAAGAACCAGATTGAGGCGGAGGCCAATGGGAAGGATTGGGCTTTGGAGATCGTTGAGTCCAATGGAGAGCGGGGCATACGGGGCATCATTGACAGCGACGAGGATGAGGTGGACGGAGCAGATCAGAACGCGCAAGACGCTGGGTCAGGCCAGCATGAACAGGAAGCGGCCGCAGAGCCGGTCGTGAAAAGCACGCAGAGCACTGGGAAGGATGCTCGTCCAGCGTCCGAGGAACAAGGAACGGTAACCGAGGAGGTCGAAGACGGCAGTGAGGAGGTTTTCTACAAGGATGAGCTATAGCGCTCGTCTGTATGTGTTCCTAGGAAGTATGGCCCCTCCTGAGTACAGTTCATCATGTTTTCTCTATGTATATCGTGACTGGAACTATCAGTCACATATCAATCATCAACTCAAATGTAGAGCGCATACGTCCACTCGAGGTTCTGCGGTAAATAGAAGAAGCTCGTGCAGCGAGCATCTACATCAATCTTCACTAATTTCCTTGGGCTTTCAAGTGTCCATACGGAGTACATCAGCTCGGTATATCAGAAACAGCGTCGCCTGATGGCTCCGGGGTTTCTTAGTTGCTATTTAGCGTCAGCCTTAAGGCCTGTCTTAGGCCTTTACCCCGGCCCCCGTTCGGGAATTTAGGGGGAGGCGTAACAGCCTAGCTTGGTGAAACCCAGGGCAGAATCTAGTCTACATATGTACAATCACACTGTGGAAAACATCCACGCATCTGATGGCTGTGTATACCTGTGATTTGTACATTGAGCGAACATCCTAGCTGCTATCACCGGAGCAGTTCTGAATAATTCATCCCGTCATTACAATTCATTTGTCAAGCATCAACTAGTCACTGGCTGTGCGTCAGAGCTGTCCGTCCAGCGGGGCGTGTTGGTGTGTCTGGATATCGTAGAAGAGAAGGCTTGGATGGTATCAAATGTCAAGTGATGCAGAGACGTTCTAGTCTGGGATTATGGGCACAGGGCTTGACAAGACGTCTGCCAGTTTGAAACCTGGCTTTACAAGTGTGATAAATGCGGTATTGGGAAAGAATAGTATGCCCGGGCATGATTTTATCCTTGATGGTCGAGTGACTTCGAAATCTACTTTGACACACTTCTGCGCTAAACATCACCAGCAGCGTTGCCTTCGAACCATTAGGGTATAAGAGAGGTGATGCACCGTAGAAATATAAACGCATTGCGGCTCCTGGAAGAAGAAGAGATCGGCACGAGTGAGGCCGAGGGACCAAAGCATATTGATATTGCGGCGTACAAGGCGATTCAGCACAGAATGGGACTGCTGAAAGGGCTGGTTTCGTGACTTCACCCCTTTTGGATCGAATGGCAATGGTGACATGGGTTAATACAACAGATTATCAGTGACCTGGTGAGGATCTCGTCATCTTCAGGCACTGGCGGCGCAATTTCGCTAGGAGCGTGCAAATAGCCATCCTTGCCGGCGATATCGCCGTAATTGAAAAAAGCTGCTTGGCATCTGGGGAGATTCAATCTGAGGGCTGCAGTTTGGTTTTGATAGTGAAGGATTTCGTCATATTATCGCTCGTGAGAGCCTCCGATGACTTTGGCATGTATACTTGCCTGTCGGCTCGTAGCACGTATCTTCACTGACTAGCCTGAAATTCGAGCCCATAAGGGCTCTTCCTCTGTCATTACTGGAATCATCTCTGCTGGATATCATCAAACATGACTGGGAAGATTCTGTCGGCGAGGTAGATAGCGAGGTCCTCATAGGGAAATGAGTCCCTGTCTTCAGATATCTTTACTTTGGCATGAAGTTGACTGGAATTGCAGATTGATGAAAGACAACCTCTCTTTCGTCGTTCCCCAAGGAGTCCGTTAGAAGACCTCTGATCTTCCAGATATTGCAAAGTCAGATACTTAACATCAGATAGCCTCACTAGGTCACTAACCACGCGCGAGAAGCCATGTGCTGAGCAGTTGGGACCAGGGATGCGGAAAGATGCACGACAGCCGTACACCCGTTAGGGGGGACTCGTGCTCATTAATGATGTCAGGTAAAGGCGCTGGCTGTGGGTAAGCCAGATGGATAGGGCAAACAGCGAACTCCTCCTTTATGTGTATGGGTCTGGATACAGCAGAGTAGTATGTATCAAATAGAATGTGAATAAAGCTTTGAGAAAGATACGAAGGGAGGATAGAGAGGCAGCCTGATAACCATGGCTGTGTACTCCGTAGTAGAACCGTCAATAGAATGCTCCGTAAGGTATCCAGGCTGCTCCGTCCAACAACTTACGTATCTTCACTCACACTAATCTCTCTCTCTCTCTCTCTCTCCCTCTCATCTCCCTCCACATCCTCCCCATCATCGCCTTTCCGAATTATTCTTCTCGCCCTTTGTTTCCCGGCTGGTTTCAATTCACTTTGATGTAATTGAAACTTGTCCACCTTCGACTCTTCTCTGGTACAATCCTTAACCCCCTTTAGCCTGTTAGAATTGGAGAGGGGATAACTACCCAATTGCCAAGGCTGCCGATTCCCCCCCGTTCATCAACCAACCAACCTGCCTCCCATCATCTATTATCACTCTTCGTCGTGACTGTGTCCCAATCCACCGAATAGTGGACTTGTCCCGGTTTCTTCGACAAATCCTCATTGGTGTTATCCGACGACAACCTTGCCTCGGAAGCGGTGGAAACTAGTCCTTTGAGGGAGACGGCGCTCGCCCGGGGGTTCGAATTCAAAAATGGGGTTCCTCGGGGTATACCAAGCGATCTACGACTACCAACCCCAAGGTGATGGGGAACTCGAGTTACGAGAGGGTGATCTGCTGTGCGTCCTTGAGAAGAACAACGACGACGATTGGTGGAAAGCGAAGAAGAAGGCCGATCGAGACGATGAGGATGAGCCGGAGGGACTTGTACCGAACAACTATGTCGAGGAGGTAAGCACATTGTCTGGAAACCACTACTTGGGCACCAGCAATCGAGACGTTCGAGTCGCGCTGGGAACTCCGGAGCGTGCGACGGGAGAGTCGGACATCATTGTCGCGTTCTGGCTTAGAAGAGGACATATGCTAACAGAAGGCCCATTTGATCCACTATATAGGCTCAACCCGTCAGTCAGGCTAAGGCGCTCTACGATTATACTCGTCAAACAGATGAGGAGGTGTCCTTCTCCGAGGATGCAGAACTTGTGGTCTACGACATTTCCGACCCAGATTGGACATTAGTTGGAGTCGGTTCGGATTTCGGCTTCGCTCCTGCAAACTACATCGAGATTCAGGAGACCTCGAGTCGCGACGTTCCTGCTACTACCGCGGCCACTGCAGCGCCCTCCCTTCCCTCTCCGCCTCCGATCGAGCCGCCAGCCCCGGCCCTCCCGCAACGACCGGTTGCTGTACCCGAGGAGGAACCTATTGCGCCCGCGTCAGCTTCGCCAATTGGCACGATTCAGAATCCTGCCGCGGCAGCGATTGCCAATATCATTCATAAGCAGCATGCATCTCCCGTGGAAACCGGACCCTCCAGGGAGATTCCTCCCCCTCCGCAACCCCAGCGATCAGCCTATGAACCAGAAGACAACTACAGCCACCAACGGGAACGCTCGCCGCCGCCGCCCGCGTTGCCGCAGCGTCCTCCATCCCAGCATATCTCCTCGCCGGTCGAGCGCTATTCGCCTCCCCAGCCCTCTCTGTCTCCTAATTCTCAATATGGCGCGGTGAAGGAGCGCGATGGCCAAGGAGTGAAGGAGTCTCCTCCTTACAACAGGATCGGGCAGTCTACGCCTCGGTCTCCCTCCGGATATCATTTATACAACATCAATGAAATGGTTGAGGTTATGGGCAAGCGGAAGAAGATGCCCACGACACTGGGTATCAATATTGCCACGGGGACGATTTTTATCTCGCCAGAGGGAGACGGAGCCCAGCAGGAGTGGACTGTGGATCGGCTTTCGCATTATTCCATCGAAGGCAAACATGTCTTTCTCGATCTGGTACGGCCCAGCAAAAGCATTGATTTTCATGCTGGCGCCAAAGATACCGCTCGAGAGATCGTCTCTGCGCTGGGTGAAATTTCCGGAGCCTACCGCGCTGAAGGTCTGAAGGAGGTGATTGCGGCCGGTGCGGGCGGTGGAGGAAAGAAGAAGGGGCAAGTTCTGTATGATTTCATGGCCCAGAGCGATGACGAGGTGACGGTGGGAACTGGTGATGAGGTCGTCATTCTGGATGACACCAAGTCGGACGAGTGGTGGATGGTGCGACGCATTAAGAATGGCAAGGAGGGTGTGGTCCCGAGCAGCTATATCGAAATCACTGGATTTGTCTCCAGTCCACCTGCCGGCGTCGAACCGGGCCTTTCGACTGTGGAGAGAAACCGGCTCGAAGAGACACGTCTGGCTAAGCAGGCAATGCGAGCTTCGAGGACAGACTCAATAGATTCGCGAGGCTCTGAGGTAGGTTCTGCTGTGTTAATTTACCCGTGCCGTGATGGTTCAATGGCGAAGGAAATGATGCTGACGAGAGATCCAACACAGCGTCAAAAGCGCGACAGCAAGATGAGCACAAAGTCCAGTAAGTTTACTTTCTTACATCACTCAAATTTATACGGCATGAGTTTTTTCTAACTGAGGTTCCCCAGAGCCCGACCCCACCAAGACAAGGCAATGGACCGATCGTTCCAAGACGTTTACTGTAGAGGCACAGTTCATTGGTCTACAGGATGGCAAAATCCATCTTCACAAGGTGAATGGAGTCAAAATTGCAGTCCCCATTCCCAAGATGTCCGTTGAAGACCTTGAGTATGTCGAAAAAGTCACCGGCGTATCGCTTGATGAAGACAAGCCCCTCTCAGATATTCGCCGTCGAGCTCAGAAAGCTGAGCAGAAGCCGGAAGCCAGCCGGTCCGGTGCTTCAGTTCAGCCAGAGTACGATTGGTTTGATTTCTTCCTGAAGGCCGGAGTCGGTCCCCATCAATGCGAGCGGTATGCACAGAATTTCATCAAGGACTCCATGGATGAGGGCGTCCTGCCAGATATCACTCCTGAAACACTCCGGACTCTTGGGTTGAAGGAGGGTGACATTCTGCGGGTCATGCGCCATTTGGACAACGTGTTTGGTCGAACTGGGGCCAAGTCTAAGCTTCGCAATGTGAGCTTCGGGGGAGAAGAAGTCATTGGCAACGGGGAAGCTGGCTCTCCCGGTGGTCTATTTGCTGGTCCCGGAGGCATGCTGCGCAACAATACTCGCAAAGGCAGGCCAGCACCGACCGTCCAGGCCGGTGATGTGGTCGATCCTAAAGCGTTTGAGCAAAAGGATGAAAGTGCCAAACCCCACGAACGTACCGCGACACCCCCAACCCCTGCTGCTGCCGAGAAGCCGGTGCAGCGTGGCTTTGACGATGACGCTTGGGAAGTGAAGCAGCCGAAATCTGCCCCTGCCTCCGCGCCAGCTCCTTCATCTCCTCCACCTGGTACGGCTTCACCCGCGCCAGCCCAGGCTCCATTGCAGAAACAACTTACGGGCGCCATGGCCGACCTATCGCTTCTCCAAGCCCCGCTTCAGCCGACACCTGCCCAACCGGCCCCTGCAACTACTCCTCAGGCGTCGCAAGCCCCTCCGGCTCCTCCTGCTATCCAGCCGCAGCCGACTGCGGTGCCTACGCCACAAGTACAACCGCAACCGACCGGCGCCACCCCTGGTTTCTTCAATCAAGTGGCCCAAGTCGGACAGCAGCCTATGCCGACTGGCATTCAAGGGTTCAGTCCTCAGCAGACGGGTTTCCAACAGGCATCAAGGCAGCGCCCTCAGCCTCCTCAAAACATGGCTCAAAGCTCACTTCTTCCACCCCCTCCGCAGCGACCGCTCTCGGCACCTCAAAACTTCCCTCAGCAACAAAATACTTTTGTCCTTCCTCCACTGCAAGCCCAGTTGACTGGTGTCCCTCAAGTCGGGCCGCAGATTGCTCCACCGGGTCAGAGTCTGGCAGACCTGGCCCAGCAGCGATTCCAACCACCGTTTCAGCCGCAGCCCACGGGATACATGCCGCAGAACCAATTTGCAGGTGGTTTGATGCCACAACCAACTGGCTTCCAGCCACAGTCGCAGTTTGGAATCCAGCAACAGCAGACCGGGTTCCAGGGTCTGGCACCGCAGCCTACAGGATTTGGCGGCTTTGCGCCTCAGCCTCAGCAGCCGATGGCCACTGGTATCAACACAATTCTTCCTCCAGCCCTACAGCCTCAGCCAACAGGCTTGAATGGGGCCGGCACCTACACTCTATCGTCACCCCCACCAATTCCTCCTATTCCCCAGCAGCCCACCGCCACACCTTTGCAGCCACAGAAGACTGGGCCTGCTCCCCCCGTCAGATTCGGAGTCAAGCATGACGCCCCTAAGAAACTGGCTCCCCAGCCTACAGGCATGAGGGCCAACCTAGCACAAGCCAGTGAGTTTGACTATGTCATATTTGTATGTTGCTCTGTTGAGTATTGTGACTGACTGCTTTATCTCTAAATAGCCCCCACAAATCCGTTCGGTTTCTAGAGCGTGCGGTGTATATAGTTTGGTTCGCTGTGCGGCACAAGATCTATTTTCCTATACATTACTTTCTTCTCTTTCTTGCCGGCGAGCTTGAACGTACCTCACGGATGATGTTTCCTTTTTCTGTCAAGATTGATGCTGAGACGCGTACTGCAACTGATTCATGGCATATTGTCCTGTTTCGACCAAGCGAGTTTTGAAGCAATGCCTCGGATTCATGTATTACAGCCTCAGCGAGCTAGATCGTTTTTTTTTTTCTTCTTCTTCTTACCCGCTGTCTGCTCTCTACCGAGCTTCTTGGGGTCATACATAATGTTGGAAGACCCGTACCCCTCCTAGCTCTTTTGTGCAACGTCGCCTGGCCATTGTCTCCCTTCCCGAAGGATGCCCTTGCCCTATTTTGGACAGTCCGTGTGCTGCATATTTATCCTGTCGTGTTTTCTTGATGAGCTGCGTTGGTGAAGGTCCTCCGTTTTGACTGTGCGCCATTCCCATCCATTGGCCATGTTCTTGTTGTTTTCTCCCTGTCGCATTATCATGCCATTTCCTTTCCTTGTCTTTCTATCCTCGAAGTGTATGTACGGTACATAGCCCTTGGTTCAAGAAATGAGATGTTCAGACTAATACGAGCCGACTTATTAAGAGGTTGACGAAAACGAACAGGGACTGGAATGTTGCAAGCAACCTAGCCTGATAGGAATCAATAGTAGGCCGATTATTACTCCGTGGATAAAAATGCAAGCAAGCACTGAGGAAATGACAAAAAGATAAAAAAAAAAAAGGAAATCTCCCCGACAGGGAGTCGAACCCTGGTCTCCCGCGCTCGTTCTCATTCGAGTGACAAGCGGAAATCATGACCGTTAGACCATCGAGGACTTCTTGTTTGGCGTGTCGGAAAATTGACATCATCACTGGATTGGCAAATCACGAGTCCACTGAATAATCCGTTAGAAATCCGCTACGGAGCACAGATCTCGGTAGATAGCCGATTTCATGCCTGAGTACTGAGGCTTCCACGGGCCAAACGTGGGGCAACGGGAACTTCTTCCCATTTCGGCTTAGCGCCTGCTGACGGGGATCTTGGTAATCGATACTCTCCTTACCTAATCCACATGCAAGCAATTCTGCGTCCCCGAATTGGTGCATCATCCAAGCATCAGTCATGAACTAATAAGCATACGAAGATGGAGCTCAGATCGAAACCAAGGGGTATATAGACCGTAATGACTGACTAACCGCTGACAGCCTGGATTTTTTCATCCATCTCAAGCTTTCTATACTTTCTATAACTGCTCCAGGCTATTCTACAGCTTTCCTGCTACTGTACACTCTTGGGTATAAATAGCTGCCGTCTGCATCGATGAGAGTCCTTCTGTCTTTTCTAACTTGCATCGCAGCAATCTTCTTCTCGTATCAGTTCGCTTCGGAGTCTACTTATCTTCACAGCTTGAGATCGTTCATATCAGAGCAGCTTCCAGCTCGTTTGTCGCAGCACCTGTCCTTGCAAAAGAAGACAAACACCACCACAACCCCCAACCTCTACTACCTCACCACAGACTTTGAACCCATCGTCCTCCCAGTAACAGACATGGCCGTCCCACGCGCAATCCGCCAAGTGTTCCTTGCCATTGAGCAGGCCGAAGGCGCCGGCGCCCGTGTGCGCCGCTCCATCGGCACCGCCAAACTCCGCAACTTCAGCCCCTTCCTCATGCTCGACCACTTCACGATCGGGCGCGGCGCCGGGTTCCCCGACCACCCGCACCGCGGCCAGGAGACCATCACGTACCTGCTCTCCGGCGGGGTCGACCACGAGGACTTCGCCGGCAACCGGGGCACGATCGGACCGGGCGATCTGCAGTTCATGACGGCGGGCCGCGGCATCATGCACGCGGAGATGCCGCACGAGAACGCAGACGGCAGCCCCAACGTCGGCATGCAGCTGTGGGTCGACCTACCCAAGCCGCTGAAGATGTGCGAGCCGCGGTACCGCGACCTGCGCGCATCCGAGATCCCGCGCGCCGTTGTCGACGACGGCCGCGTCGCCGTCAAGGTCATCTCCGGCCAGTCGCACGGCGTCGACTCCGTCCGCGACCTGGCCTACACCCCCGTCTGGCTGCTCGACGTCACCATCCAGCCCGGCGGCCGCATCGCCCAGCCCCTGCCCCAGGGCTGGAATGCCTTCGCCTACACCCTTGCCGGCTCCACCGTCTTCGGCTCCCACGACGCCACCCGCGCCGTCAAGGAGTTCCACAACGTCGTCTTCGAGCAAGGGGGCGACTTCGTCGAGGCCTCCGTGCCCGACAACGCTGAGTCCGAGTCGCGCTTTATCCTCGTCGCCGGCCAGCCGCTCGACCAGAAGGTTGTCCAGTACGGACCCTTTGTGCTTACCACCGAGGAGGAGGTCTACCAGGCCATGGTCGACTACCAGACCGCGTCCAATGGCTTCGAGCGCAGCCGGGGCTGGGAGAGTGAGATTGGCAAGAGAATGACTCGCTAGGTCTGGAAGTGGTGGTCGATTTCTTGCATTGCATTGGCCTTTTCTTTTGTCGCAGCGATGGTAACTTGAGTCTTTGTATGTGATACTCCATGGAATGGCGTTCGTTAGATTCTGTATAGATTTTAAGACATGAATTCAATCGTGTGGTTTTACTGGTGCTTCACTTGTCCCATATACTATAGACTCGAAAAATATGAATCAAATTTTCATTGAATTGGAATGACACGGATATCAAGTACGAAGAAAGAACAAAAAAGTGTTGAATAGCTATGGACTCGAAGGTTGGGAGGAAAATGCACCGGCCACACTAATGTAGCTCGACCGCAAACATTACCCGAGAACATCATCTCTGGGAGAAAGAGAAACAGAACAAACATCACTTAACGTCATCATCCGCCATACGAATTGGACCACCTCCCTGGTCAACAAACCTACCAGGGAGGAAACCTCAATCCGCTAAAATCTCTCTATCTTACACGGTTGGGCTGCACAAATGCCTCGTCCAAAAGCGAGGCAGCGTGTAGTCTGTTTGAGAGCCATTTATTTGGCAAAATGCAGGTCATAGCCCAGCCACTTCCGCGAATTCACGCCCGCAACGTCCAGACCAGGAGTACCGTAGGTCAAGGGCGCGTAGAAGCAGAAGCCCCAGATGGTCACGCTCAGAATGACCAGGGTGGCAACCCACGCCGCAATGAGCGACTGGCGACCCATGCGCTCCTTCGCCGTGACGAAGTGGCCGGGGCTAGCCTCCGCCTTGGACTTGCCCGTGGGGTCATCCTCCTTGACAGGGCGAGGAACCGAGATCGGCTGCAGGTTGAAGATGAACTCGATCAGAGCACCGGTCACCATGGCAGAGGCAACATGAGCCGGCAGGTAATGGTGGAGGAAACGCTGACGACCCATCAACCAGAAGGGGAAATAGTGGGCGGCCCAGCAAAGGAACAAGAAGGCTGTGCTGTTGTACAGGCGCGAACGAGAACCCCGGCCCCAAACTGAAGCAAAGTTAGCTTAGGTTCAAATAAATATAAAAATAAAAATAGGGTGGAAGAGTTGCAAAACTCACTTTCTTCAAGGGCATCGACTCCACGTCGAAGAGACAACTGGTCAGCGCCAATGACACCGGCAAACACAGCCAACAGACTGCTGGCAATCCACCATCCAATTGGATTACCAAGGAAATAAATTTGCTCCCGAGTGTCGTTCTTGGTCCAGAAGCTGACACCACGAAGAAGGAAGGGCCACTGGAAAGGCTCGCTGGCGTACGGGTGGCTGCTGGTCAGGGCGTTGTTGTGGAAGAACATGGCGCGTTGCAGCTCAAGGTACTTGCGCCAGAAGGGCAGATGCTTGACCTGGCGCACCTCCTTGGAAGCCCGAGGGTTGCTCTCATCCAGCGACTCAATAGACTCGACAAACCAAAGGTTGCTGGACTGAAGAACGTTCTTGTTGCCGTTGATCTCAGCCTGCTTGAAGGCCCACTCCGGCAGCGGGTTCGTGTGAGTCCACATAGCCACCCGAGTGGGGACATGGATGAGTTTGAAATGGCTTGAAAGAGTGCGGAATTCCTGTTGAGCCTTGCCATTCTCGATCTTGATCTCGAAGAGCGTGTCGTTGTGACGCTCGCCATTGGCCAACTCGTGAGAGACGGTGGTGAATTCTTGGTTGGTGGGGTAGTAGGGAGACGCAACATCGTGGGTCAGGAGAACGGTATCGGTACCAACGTGGCGGAGTTGAATAATGTCGCCGTTCTTGACGCTGTGACCCTTGTCGTCGACACCAGGAAGAGGGACGGCAGGCAAAATCTGCCAGTTGTTGTTGGTATCGTTGAACGGATATCCGGTGACCTGCTGGCCCTGACTGGAAATACGTCCATCGTCGTAGCGCAGCGGATACTTCTCCCAGTGGCTGTGTAGCAGCACCTTGGTATCCTTGTGCCTGATCGTGATCGTGTCGAAGTACTCGATGCCGACGGACTGTGCTGCCATTGCGTTGTCACTCAGGGTTTCCTGGAACTCTGGGGTCATAAAATCATCACCGGGTCCGGAGCGCGTGAGAATGGCAAAGTGGACCTGGAACCAAAACAGGTAGAAAAAGATAGGCACAATGATGAGGGCAAAAGCGCGAGCGGCAAAATGCTTCCCCCAATGAACCATGCTGAGAGATCCCGAAGGGCGGTTGATATCCAACAAGTTCCACAGGTCAACCAGGACCGCAGCACCGATCGTGACAAACGTGAAGACGCCGACATATTTCGTAGAGATGACGCAGCTGAGACAAACACCGGTCAAGAGCAGCCACTTCCACCACTTCCGTCCAAAGGGCTCATGGCGCAGCTTATAGAAGCGGACGTAGCACAGGATGCTCAGGGCCATCGTAAGCACCAAGCTAGCATCGAGCAGAATCAACCGGTCCTCTCCGACATGGGCATTATCAAACAGCACAAGGCCAGCGGCCAACACACACGCTGGGAGGGAATATCCGGACTCCCACATGATGAGGAACACGACGGGAATGGTCAGAGCGCCAAGGGTGGCGGGCATGGCGCGGAGAGCAACGTAAGGGACTTTGTTGTCGATGTAAGAGTCGCCAATGTTATCAAACAAGAAGTGGCCGTCGTAACCAACCAGCCACCCCATCAACGCGAAGAGGAGCTTGCCGAACGGGGGGTGCACATCGAAGAAATAAGTCCGTTGTAGGTAGTAAGAAGCAAACTAGAATAAGAAAGAAAAAATGGATGCTCAATCGTCAGTTGATTTGACCAACAAGAAAAAGAAAAGAAAGAAACTTCGTAATCCTTCCGGAATTGACGGCTACACTCACCTTGCCAAAATGCACCTCGTCGAACACGACCTCATTAGGGTAGGATATCTTGTAGAATCGAGTGATAAACGCCAGGACGGTGAGGACGACTAAGGCCAGCCTATAGTCCCATTCCGACTGGCTTTTGGAAGCGACGGGCAACTTTGGCGAAGACAAAGGAGAGGAGGAGACATCGTCCGTTGGGACGGGGGGGTAGGTCTCCTTCTTCCCCCCTCTCTTACGAAGAGAGGACGAAGGAGATTGAGACATGATCCGAATGAAAAAGGAAACGAGGAAAGGAGCTCAGAGAACGACGAGTGATCAACTAATATACCTGGGACAAGGATCAGCCAACGGAACAGATGCGATAAGCCCACCATCGACAGATCGGCCATCAGATAATGATTAAAAATAACTTACAATAATGATGATCACGGAGAGCACATGGTAAAACAAGCAAAGGTTTGGGAAGAAGCGTGGGGAGAAGGGGAAAATCAATAGTAGAAGTAGTCAAGTAGCGACTTGGAAGTCGTTCGCTGGCTGGCGATAAACTGGATTGCGTGTCTTTATGGGGGAATTTACGCGGAACGGAACAAGACCAGCATCCGAATTTGGCATAAGTTCATCAGAGTGAGGACAAAAGGAGACTACTACTACGAGTATACTATACTAACTATTATTATGATTAGGAGCAATATTTATACAGAAGGAACACAACAATATAGGTGTGGTTCTTGTATCACATATCTCAAAAGCTAGCAATCTGGTCCTGACCAAATATGATATCCCAATCCGACAAACCCATGCAAAACCCGCCAAACGCTCAGAAAATGGTGAACAACTAAATCGAAGTAATATGTACAGGCTCCTAAGATTTATCACACAGAAAACATAATCAAGCCACGGGGTTTAATCGTCATGATCAGACAAATCCAACATCTCCAGTTCCGTCTTGACGAGGGACTGGAACTCGGCGCGTGAGATACCGGTGATCTTTGCCAGGCGGAATAGGCTCTTGATGTTCGAGCTGATGTGCTGCTTCACACCCACTTCACAGGCTGACTGGTTTTCTGCCTCCTGCTCCAGCTTTGCGATCGCGTCGGAGCTGGTTGAGGATGCCGAAGATGGTCGCGGATGGCTCAGCGACGCAGGGTGGGCCTGATCCGCAGATGCTCCATTGGCGGCATGGCTGTCGGGGCAAGTTGTTTCCTCCGCGTTCGAGCTGTCCACCTGCTGTCGCAGGAGACTGGCCAGCATGTCTCCGTTGAGGGAGGACGGACCCAACTCCGACTGCTCTTCCGATGGATCGTGGTTGTCCATGGCCGGCTGCACATCCGCATACCGGGAGAAATACGATGCCTCGGACGTGACCTGGCGCTGCAGGGACGAAACTGGATTAGGGGCGGGCGTTTTGACATTCGGGGTCCTTCCGGGAGTAGCATCGTATTGGGCCCAATAATCATCATCATCGTCCGCCTCTTCCTCCTGCTTTGAGTCCTGCGACGGAATCTGCTCGTTGTTCTCCGCTTCTCTAAGAGCATCCTCCACCAGCTGCTCCTTTGCCTGGGCGTTAGCCTCTCCAATCGACGATGACCAGACTCCATCGGTCTCGGCGCCACCTTCGTGAGGCATCAGCTCCGCCAGGCGCCAACCGGGACCCCCTCCTTCCTGGTCATTGGGACACCACAGATAAACCGTTTTCAGGCCAAATTCAGGCAGCAGCATCTGTGAGTGTAAAGTCTCTTCGTCCACCCGCTTGTACGCAATCGAAACGTCTCCCGGAACTTCGATCTCTCCTGAAACGGGGTGAGGCTCGAAATTCGCCCGGTCAACCAACGTCTGTAGATGCTCCGCCTTGTCTACATCCCAGCAGAGTAATCGTAGCCATGAATCGGTTGGAGAGGTGGAAACTGAGCTGAGGATCTGGACTCGCTGGCGAAGGATGGGGGATAGTAGAGGAAGAAGCGCTGGAGGAGGCCGTGTGGAGACGAAGGCCGTGGGGAGACACGCCAGAAGAGGCGGAAGCAAGGTGTGAGGATCAGGAGGAGAGATCAGTTCGACCATCTTGTCTGGGGATTGTCGATATTCAGGCTGTTGTTTGTTGTTTTGTTCACTATCAGTTCCAGATTCTTTTTTTGCTTTTGGCGGTGAAGCTGTTCAAGTGGGGTCAAACAATAAATATCTCAAATAGAAGAGATGAGTTTATATCAAAGGATCAGAGGATGACAGAAGAGTTGAGGATGTGAATTCGGGGAGGAAGAAATAGAGAGATATCTACGGAATAGATCAGGGTCCCATTTATTATTTCCAAACTTATCAAGCTAGATAAGTGATCATGAATCGTCAATCTACCCCATAATCCACAGGACTCCTGGAGAAAGTGGACAGCTCGTCCGCTCCCTTCGCCCGAAATACAGCACAACGTGGGTCATTCGAGCTCTGCGGGGTCACAATTCGGACCAGACTGGTAGGTGATAACTGGTAAGTAGATGGTCTGGGAAGCCAGGAGACTTGGAATTACACCGTTGAGGTGTTGAATGTTGGAGTCGGTGCTATCCAGACCAAGTATATGTTAAAAGACTGCTATTGATGTCAGTCCCGTGGCAATGCGGAAGATGTTGCTGTTTCTGTACTTTCTCCATATACGGAGAGAGTAGTAAGGATATATATATCTGTATGTTTATAGTGTACAGAGTAGAATATTCCTCTTTTTCCCCCTACCTTCGGAGACCAGCTAGCTGCATATATATATATATATATATATATATCCGAATCCTCACCATCATCATATTATTATACTACACTACGGGGTATTCATACTCTCTCTAAGCCACGACTACTGCAAATCACTTGAGATCATTCCTCTGCTCATAAGCAATTAGTTTTGAAAGTCCGAATCATAATCGCAATCTCCGAGTCCGAGAACCGACAAATGGAGTCTCTAATAATAATGGGTTGAGAAATGAAATCCGAGGATGAAGACTCCTTAACTAAATCATCGAAGCAATCATCTTCTTCGTCTCTCTCTAACCAACTAACTACTAGCAATCAATATTGATGATCATGATCTTAGTGATACTTGACAGACCAATAATGAACCACAGAAAGAGAAAAAAACAGTTGAACAATCAACGCAGCTTCGATCGGCTTCCAGAACCATTCAATAATCAGTCAATCAATCAATCAATCACTCAATAATGGATCTCGTAACCATCGCTGCGTGCTGACAATACTATGCACAATGTAACACAACGCTGTCGGAGCACGCGATACTCAGAAAATTCAAGATTCAGAACTGCTTGCATCTATCGTCTGGACTCTCCTCGGTCCGAATCCGTTCAGCTGTAAAATCCTCCGTCGGTTTCCTTTTATGGCACGACTAGGTACTAACTACTAACATATTCATTCTTCCCATGATGCATTGAAGCGGAATTCGCACCTTTTCTTTTGCTTCTCCGGGTCTATTCTCATCCCCCCCCCCTCCGCCTATAAACTGTGAACGATCAAGGAGACGGTGATGGAGCAAGATCACACTGCCACCAATGCTACTGTCGAAAAGAGGGGACTCTCCCCCGATATCATCCCCAGGGACGTCGGGATCTCCTCACAGGACGGTGACTCGGAAAAAGAACGTGCAGCTTTGGAGCGGCGCATTCGGCTCAAAGTAGACATCCGTCTCTGCACCATTGCCGGAATCCTGTGCAGTCTCAACCTCCTTGACTCGGGCATTCTGTCGTCCGCATCGGTCACAAGCATGTTCGAGGACCTCGATCTACACGGGTCGCGATACTCCGTCTCTATCTTCATCTTCACCATCGCCAGCGTGGTCGCCCAGCTGCCGTGTACCGTTGCCGTGCGCTTGGTCGGCCCGCGCCTCTGGTTCGCAATCATCACCTTCTGCTTCGGACTGATCACCCTCTGCACGGCGTTCATCCAGACGTGGAAGCAGATGATTGCCCTGCGCGTACTGCTGGGCTTCGCCATGTCCGGCATCTATCCAGGACTCACGTACCTGATCAGTACCTGGTACACGCGGAAGGAACAGCAACTCCGCTTTGCGTTTATGCAGTCGGGCGAAGTGCTGGTCCTGGCCACGGGCACCATCGTCAACTACGGCCTGAACAGGCTGGACGGCCGAGCAGGGCTGAGGGGCTGGAGGTGGATGTTCCTAATCCAGGGTCTCATCACCTGCGTCCTAGGCATCATCACCTACTGGTGGATGATCGACTTCCCCGAACGATCGCAGGACAGCTTCCGCTTCCTGTCCAAAGTGGAGGCGGAAATCGCGGCGCAGCGCATCCAGGCGGACCGCGATGATGTGGTGGCCGATCCGTTCTCCTGGCGTAAGATCGCGGTCAACTTCCTGGACCCCAAGATCTACGGGTTCGCGTGCATGTTCTTCCTGCTGAATCTGGTCTCGACCTCCCTGAGCTACTTCCTCCCCATCATCCTTCAATCGGGGATGGGGTTCTCCAGTAACCAATCGATCCTACTATCTACTCCGGTACGTCCCTTCACACCTTCACTCCAACTCCAACTCCCCCAGCCATCGAAAAAAAAAAGAAAAAAAAAACAACAACAACCAAACTCCCATCTAACAACACCCCCCACCCGTAGCCCTACTACTGGTCTGTCCTCCCCGTTCTCTTCACTTCCCTCGTCGGGGACACCTATCGCCTCCGCGGCCCGCTCATCACCTTCAATGCCCTCTGCGTGATCGCCGGCTTCCTGATGTTCGGCCTCCCGGCCTCCACGCACGTCACCGTCCGCTACATCGGGACCTTCCTCGCCACCGGCGCCTACGTCTCCAACTGGGCCGCGCTCAATGCCTTCATGGCCAACAACGTCGTCGGCCAGTGGAATCGCGCCACCACTGCCGCCGCCGTCGCGGCCTGCAACGGCCTGGGTGGCGTCGCTGGCAGCTATATCGTGCGGCAGAACGAGGCGCCGCTGTTCGCCACGGCCGTGTGGGTGTCCATCGGGTAGGTTTCCTTTCTCTCTCTGTCTCTCTGTCTCTCTGTCACTGTCTTTTTTTTTTTTTTTTTTTTTTTTTCCCTGCTGCTGCACGGCATCTGGAGCTGCAGGGAGTGGGATCGTCGCGTGGCTAGAAACTGAGTTGGTTTACTCACGTTTTTGTTCGAATGTAGCTCGCATATCCTCATGATCGCCATTGTGGGCGTCTTCACCGTCTGCTTCTATATCCGGAATCGACAGCAGGCTTGTGGCCAGCGGGTCATCCACGACAAGGTATGCGTTTATTCATCTCACCCCGCCTGGTTCCAGAGAGACTAATTGTGTCGCGACAGGTGGGATTCAGATATACCTATTAATTGAATTTTGTTCGTGGAGATTTTTTTCTTTTTCTTTTTTTTTTTTTGCCCGCTTCTGAGCTTCTGATGATTGTCGGATTATACGTATACCAGCCCTGCGGGCTATGCTTGAAAATGTTCATGAGCTTAATGATTCTTAGAAATAGATACTAATGGTGTTGGGTCCAATGATAGCATTCCGTTCTGTTTCTAAACCTCTTAGCTTTGAATACATGCATGCATACACGAACATGATTGTCCAGGGGGGGTATATGGTAAGTAAGTAAGGAAGGAAGGAAAGGCGCGTGCAAGAAAACTCGGAGGAGATGGAAGCCAGAGACAATTAAACCAGCCGAATGGAGCGGGGAAAGGATGCCAGTCAGGAACAATTTGCATTAGATGTCTGGGGGGCGTTGCCAATGACCAATGGGTAGGGGGTTGGCCTGCTTAGTTCGCGCGATCCCTCTGCTCTAATTTCCCTGCCAGGCGCTTCATCGCGGTCCATTCTTCTGCGGGCACGTCCTCGGGGGTGCCGCTGAGGCCCTTACCGACCTCGAAGATAGTCACGACACCATCCAGCCCGCCGGTTGCAATTCGTTTGCCCTCCCGCTCTTCCCAAGCCACCTTGTTCAGACTCCTGGTCAGAATACCGCCACGACCCCTGGACGGCGAGGTTCGCACGACGGGGACTTCGGTGTCCGTGCAGAGATCCCAAACCTCGAGGTTGCCAGCACCATCGACGAGGGAGAAGACACCAGGGCGGTGGGGCGACCACCGGGCATCGTAAACAACATCCTCGCGGTTGAGATCGAGGATCGGAGATACCACTTGGTTCGTGGCAATGGCCGCCGACGTGGCCGGTGCCGTCGTTGCGGGCGGCCGCACGCGCCAGAGCTTGACGCTCCAGTCCAGACTGGAGCTCAACATTAAGTCGCCGAGGTCGACGGGGCCCCTGGCAGGATGGAAGGCCGTCGACATGATCGGCGCGGCGTGGCCGCGATACGCGAGCCGCTGATCTGTACCCGCCTTGGCTCCCGCACGATCGTAACGGTGGCAGGGATAGATGCCTCCCTCTTCGGTGCCGACAATGAAGAAAGTCGGATCGGATTGAGGGAAGGACATGGTTGTCGGGGCCAGGTCTTCTGTCTTGGACGGCGGTGGTGTGGCCAGTTCCAGGTACTCCTGTGGCTGTGACAGCATATCAACTGTCCATCCGCAGACAACGCCGTCTGTAGACGCTGTCAAGATATTGTGCGCATTCTGTGTGCCGATAATGGAGATGCTGTACACGGGATGGGTGTGCCCAGAGCCAGTCAGGGGCGTCTTCTGTACTGGGGCACCACCACCTGCCCGTGACGATCGCGTATCCCATAGTAGGACCTGCCCCGAATACGAACCGCCGACAATGAGGTTGGGGTGGAAGGGCGAGAACTTGGCCGTTAGGATATCGGAAGTCGAGTGGAACACATATTCGGGGCGGGAGTGCAAGTGCTGGTTCCAAACTTGGACGAGCCCATCGGGTTCGTGAGGAGCAGAAGGATTCTTAGTGTATGCCGCCAGCACGAGTTCCGGGAACTGTGTGGACAGTCAGTCAGAGATCCTGCCAAAGCTCAACAGGACCAAAGGGGCCACTGACCTTGGGAGAGAAACTCAGATCACTGATCATACGTTTCTTGCTCCACCGTTCATCATAGAACTGACAAACCTCTCGGATACTCTTACGTTTTTTCCCATGCTCAACATCGTCTTCCAAATCTCCATCAATCCCCCCAAGCTCATAATCCGCCAACACATCATATTCCTCATCCAAGGCCCGCTCAATAACACGAGTTGACCGCTCCACAAAGTCCAGGAAGTCGTCTGAAGATGTGACCGCCTTCAGCTCATCATCATCCAGTGTGCGCAAGGGATAACGCAGGTTCGTAGACTCAGCCCCTGGGCCATCAACAGCCTGCTGTTGAGTGGCCTGTAGTTCCTCCTCAATCTCCTTGCGGAGCTTCCTCCTGATTTCCTCGTCCCGCTCGCGGCCCCTTTTACTGTGACGTTTGCTTGAACTTGTTCCATCTTCCAAGTCTTCTGTCTCTGATTCTGAGTCTGACTGGTGTTTTTTGGATTCGTCTGTTTGCACTCCTTTACTGTATGTGACAACTTCGGGTTTGGGTTCAGGGGGCGGCGGGGGTGCAGAGGAGGCAACGAAAGGCTCTGCCACATCGGTTTGAACGGCGATCGACTGATGAAACGCTCTTGTAGTAGGATTCAACGCTTCAGTATTATCTCCGCTCAGCTGGCTGGCGCTTAGAACGGAGTTCGGCCTGCTACCTCGTCGCGAGGGACCGTCGGCATGGCTAACAGAGGCGGATCCCGGACGATCGACAAGGCGGGAGATCAGGTCATCGAGCTCAGCTCTGCTATCGGAACGACTGGGAACAGGCGATACGATCTTCGTAGAAAATATAGAATCAAAATTTGTTCCGAACTTTTGACGTTGCGGGGCCTGCCATACCTCTGAAGCATCTCCGCTGTTGGCCCGACTCTGGGAGAATTCCTTCTGTCGCAACTCTCTCTGTCGTTTCAATTCGGCGAGTTTCGCTCTCTTCGCAAGAATCTCAGCTTTGCGTTGCTGCACGGATGACATGATGAAAGCAGAATCGCGCACAGAGGTCGACCGGACCTACTCTGTGCCTTTGTTTATCCAGGTCTTAGCGATTGTTATTTATATTTACATCGCAGCTTCGCGTTGGAACTACTCCGTTCCCGCAACCAGAAATCCGGGCTGGCGGATGACATAAGCGCTGAAGGGGCCGACGGGCCGGAAAAACTCGCGAACAGGAACTTCGTCTTGAACCAAGCCCTCTTGCAGTATCCCCAGTCCGATTGCCTGCCATTGACAGTCGATACCCTTTCAAACGGTCGCTCGGTATCCGACGTTCTATTCCATCTTTCTTTCGAGTTCTTTCCATCGCCGCTCCGGAGGACAGGATCTTCTCAAAATGGCCACACAAGGTGTTAATGTGAGTGCCCGCAGGGACCCGTGCTCACCCCAACATCCGCCCATATTGACTTGACGTCCGTCGCGCTGCAGGTTCTCCGTTATTCGGCCCTCGTTGCCGGTCTCGTCTACGGCTTCTACCACCAGAACTCGATCACAGCCCAGGCTAAGCAGGCCGAGGCTGGCCGTGAATATGCTCGTCAGGAACGTCTGATTGAGCAGGCCAAGGCGGAATGGAAGAAGAAGACGGCGCCCAAGGACAGCAAGACAGACAGTGGGGGTATGTATTTCATTACCCCGGCCTGGAATCAACTTATGTTGTCGCCGCTGGGACTCTCACGCAGCCGGCTTATTATGCGCGTTTGATACTAACTGGCGCCACACAGTCATCACGGATCCTAACGACAGCCGGTTCGACCTGGAAGCCTTCCTGAAGCTGAAGGCTGGGGAGCTATAGATTGGAACATGTCAAGGATACTCAGATATAGAAGGATCGGTGGTTTTTACCCTCGTGCGAAAAGCGTACCTCCCTAGGGTACAACAAGGATGGCTCAAGTCGGCCTCCGGCTATGTATTATTGTTTGGTCTAATTTCCCAATTTCGTGTTGCGAGCGAAAGGAATGATGTTTTTTTTTCAGTTGTTTGTCTCCTAACCTATAGACCTTTTTTCCGAGCCTTGTACATACCCTGGGGTACCGTGCTTCTGTACACTACAGTTGGGCCAGAAGAGCAAGAAAAATGCCGTACGCTATACCTGTCGCCGCTGATCCTTATATCTTTCCAGCATGCGTTGACCGGGTGTTCCGTGTCGGCTCTAAATGGTTCTGCGGTGTGTGCTCATAGAGAAGTGGAAAGCTATCGAAATGGGTCTCAAGGGTTGCCGGTCGCAACAGCTGATGCCGTCATTTCCCTCTTGATTGAGTTTATCATCTTAAAGAGTTTTGTTCATAATGTTCATTGATTTCCCATGCTTTCTCAACCCGAGCGTGTACCAAGTAGCGCCATAACCTCCCCCAGGTTGTTGGACAAGTGTCCGATCTGGTCCGCAGGCGAGATGATGGGCTTCGGGTAGAACAGCATGGTCTTCTCATCCCATGCCCACCCACAAGCAGTGAACTTCTTGATGATCGCGGGATCACCCTGCTTCGCGGCGGCTACATCGAGACCAAGGTAGTTTGCGGCTGCATCGGGCCGTATTGCTTCGTAGACCCTGCTGACTTCCTTTAAGGTCTTTTCTTGAAAATGCTCTAAACCAAAGAGTAAGAGATGAGTAGTCCCAAGCTCCGGGACGCAAGCTGAGCGACTTACGGTCGTATCGTTGTACTATTGGCTTCAGAGACTCTGGCCATGGTAGCTCCCTCAGGATGGTGTATACCTGCTCATACTTCCTCTGCCACACCGCCCGCAGAAGATTCAAGCAGTTCTGTAATGAAGAATCGGTGTGCGCTAAGTCCTGTGGCATCCGTTTCGTCATCGCACGAGCTTCGTAACTATTCAGAGCTGTGTTAGCCGTGACATGGGGACCCCCAGCGTGCTTTGGGCGAACGTGCAACTTACATGTCGTCAAGGAGGAGGTGGGAGAAGAAAAACATCGAGTAGAATAGGCTCAAGAGCTCTGTTTCTTTGCTATTTGGTGTTGATAGAAGACAAGCTTGAGCTTCATACTGTGCCAAGGTTTCATAAAGCTCAGAAGGTGTACGGGCGGACGTGAAGACCGCGGCCAGTTGCTCCTGAGAGAGAGGAGGTAAATTCATCGTTATGTATGGTGCGAGCTAATAAGAGCCTCTGCTCAGTTTCTAAGAACGTTGTCTATCAACCTGTTGAATAATGATAGATCGTTGATACAGTGCGGGGACAACTCGGAGGTTTCCCCAATATTAATTCGACTGTAATAATAGTACTACTACTACTGCTACTACGTACATGCCGCAACGCCAAGCCGCCCGAAGAGACCACCTTGCGAAGCTCTGCCCCCATAACTAAACTATCTATCTATTGTCTATTATTATTGAAAACCACGGAGTATTGTCGATTTCCATCCGACACTGACCTCCCTCTCATCAGCTGCAGAAGCAGATCGAGAGAGACTTCCTCTCTTTTCCGTCTTTCCTTGTCCTTCGTATTTTGTTTTTCTTTTCCTTCTCTGGCCATTATGGCCGATAAACCCATCGATGTTCTTCTAAAGGGCAACTCCGGCAGGAACACGCGCGGTCTTCTGCGGATTATCATCCTCTGTACCATTGCAGCAGCAGCAGTTGCCAGTCGTCTGTTTAGTGTCATCCGTAAGTGACGGAGGGAGAACCGATTGTATTGGAATGTCAATTGACCAACCATACTGATCAATTGCTTTGACTAGGTTTCGAGAGTATCATCCACGAATGTATGTATACAGCCAACCCGTCCGATGCCACCGTGCATGCGGCTTGCGAATACGCAACTCCCCAACACTTGCAAAACCTGATGGATGCTTATGGATGAATTCTGTCTATGCAGTTGACCCTTGGTTCAATTTCCGAGCAACAAAATATCTGGTGGAGAATGGCTTCTACAGCTTTTGGGATTGGTTCGATGACCGTATGTACCATCCCCGCCGTGGACGAAGGAGTTCATCATGGACGACTATCTCGCTATCTCTCGCTATCTCTCGCTCTTAGAACTAACGGGATACCTGTGCAGGAACATGGCACCCTCTGGGTCGTGTCACCGGTGGCACGCTCTACCCTGGACTGATGGTGACGAGCGGCGTCATCTACCACGTCCTGCGATTCCTCGCTCTCCCCGTCGATATTCGCAACATTTGTGTCCTGCTGGCGCCTGGATTCTCCGGGCTGACCGCGCTGGCAATGTACCTTCTGACCTGCGAGATGACTCCATCGCCCTCGGCGGGTCTGCTGGCGGCAGCTTTCATGGGCATTGTCCCTGGTTATATTTCCCGGTCCGTTGCCGGCAGCTACGACAACGAAGCCATTGCCATCTTCTTGCTTGTCTTCACATTCTTCTTGTGGATCAAGGCTGTTAAGAATGGCTCTATCATGTGGGGAGCGCTGACTGCGCTTTTCTACGGATACATGGTGTCTGCGTGGGGTGGTTATGTCTTCATCACCAACCTGATCCCTCTGCACGTGTTTGTACTGTTGTGCATGGGTCGGTACAGCTCCCGTATTTACATCAGCTACACCACATGGTATGCGCTGGGCACTCTTGCTAGTATGCAGATTCCCTTTGTGGGCTTCTTGCCGATCCGCAACAGCGATCATATGTCTGCCTTGGGTAAGCTTGCTCTCTCGCATGTCAAGGTGATCGTGAAGCTGACAACTTGCCAGGTGTCTTCGGCTTGCTTCAGTTGGTGGCCTTTGCCGAGTTTGTTCGTGGCTTCGTTCCTGGCAAGCAATTCCAGAGACTGCTCACCGCCATGATCATCATCACTTTTGGACTCGGTTTCGTTGGGCTCGTTGTCTTGACTGTCACCGGGGTGATTGCTCCCTGGAGCGGTCGTTTCTATTCCTTGTGGGACACGGGCTATGCTAAGATCCACATCCCCATCATTGCCTCGGTCTCGGAGCATCAGCCTACAGCCTGGCCCGCCTTCTTCTTTGATCTGAACTTCCTGATCTGGCTTTTCCCAGCGGGTGTCTATTTGTGCTTCCGCCAGCTCAAGGACGAACATGTCTTTGTCGTGATCTATTCGGTGCTTGCGAGCTACTTCGCCGGTGTCATGGTTCGATTGATGCTGACCTTGACCCCTATTGTCTGTGTCGCGGCGGCCATGGCTCTTTCGTCGATCCTGGACACCTATCTGGTGGCCTCTTCCCCTACCCCGGAGTCTCAAGCAGCAGCGGAGGAAGACGCTTCTTCGGAACCGCTTCGCTCTGCGCGAAAGCCGACAGTTGGGATCACCTCGTATCTGTCGAAGGCCATTGTAGCGGGCTCCATCGTCGTCTATCTGCTCCTCTTTGTTGCACACTGCACCTGGGTTACCTCGAACGCGTACTCTTCTCCTTCCGTGGTTCTGGCCAGCCGGATGCCCGATGGAAGCCAGCATATCATTGATGACTACCGTGAGGCGTACTACTGGCTTCGCCAGAACACTCCTCACAATGCCAAGGTCATGTCGTGGTGGGATTATGGCTACCAGATCGGTGGTATGGCGGACCGTCCCACCCTTGTTGACAACAACACATGGAACAACACCCACATCGCCACTGTTGGTAAGGCGATGAGCTCCCGTGAGGAGGTCAGCTACCCGATCCTCCGCCAACACGATGTTGATTATGTGCTGGTGGTATTTGGCGGTTTGCTGGGCTACTCTGGCGACGATATCAACAAGTTCCTGTGGATGGTTCGTATCGCGGAAGGTATCTGGCCCGATGAAGTCAAAGAGCGGGACTTTTTCACTGCCCGAGGAGAATACCGTGTGGATGATGGAGCCACTCCCACCATGCGCAACAGTTTGATGTACGACATACCCATGCCTCCTCTCTATCGTGCATCATCACTAATGTGGACCACAGGTACAAAATGTCTTACTACAACTTCAACTCGCTCTTCCCGTCCGGCCAGGCCGTGGACCGTGTCCGTGGCTCGAAGCTCCCCGCCGAGGGACCCCAGCTTTCGACTCTGGAAGAAGCTTTCACCAGTGAAAACTGGATCATCCGTATCTACAAGGTCAAGGACCTCGACAACCTTGGCCGAGACCACAACCAAGCGGTGGCCTTCGACAAAGGTCTCAAGAAAAAGCGGAGTATTAAGAAGAAGGGCACTCGGGTTCTGAGAACCGAATAGAGTGTAGGATTAAGAGGAATTGTTTTTTGTATGGTTAATAGCAAGGCGAGAGTGCCAAAATTATCTCTCCACCTGTTTAGCGTACCCTTTCTTCTTCAACACAGTATTTATTAGTCGGACGTCGCCGCGGGAGTCTCAACACGATCCGATCCGATCCTGTTTGTCTAGGCATTTCGCACCCTAAAGAAAGCAACCCTAACGATGTTGTCGATGGGGGCAAGGCAATGCATAAATCCCTTAACAACACTGCGGGCAAACGGGTTAATACAGAAGTAAAGGAAGAAAGGGAAGTGAGATGTATAATTCGTCTAAAGATGTAGCAAGTCCCGTGTCTTCGTCTGCGTTGCGTCTTCGGCCATGCGCCTAAGATTCCACTTGGACATCAACCAAGCCCTGGCGACGCGCTGAGGACGAAGTTGCACGCAAGGTGCCCAAGAAGAAGGCCATTGGACTCGCAGACATACGAGCAATGCTCCTAGAGAGCGTTGCGGCACGGAACGACTGCGACAAGCGAACCCAGTATAGCATGTACAGTGTAAGAATTGAATAAGTCACCCTATGCGCCGTACCCCAATACACCATAGCTGATACATAGATCAAACAGATGGGCCGTAACGGCCCGTAGAGATCCCACCCCCCATCCGTCGATATAGACCGAGCAGAGGAAAAGAGAGGGGGACATTTTTATTGCTTCTGCTGCTCGGCTTTGGCGGGGGCATCGGGGACCTTGACGTCGGAGAACTCATCCTGGCCAACGGCACGGATGGTGTATGCGTCTGAGATGATTTGCAGGTTAGTACAATACAAGAGTTGGGTCTTCTCGCCCTTTATCGGACATCGGAGATATCGGGACGGTAAATGCACGGGTTATACATACAGACACTAATGGTGAATGCGATCAAACCGAACCCGGTGAGAGCATTCTTGACAAGATAGGGGCGACGCGCGCGCAGAAGGGCAGCACCGGCGCGGTAGTCCTTGCCGTAGTACGTGGAGTTGAAGCTGCAATGAACGAAGATGGGTTGTTAGCGTTCCATCTGAAATGGCATGGGCTGACTGGGACTGAGGGAGCTGGGGAAGGAATCTGCCGGAGGAAGCGTTGCGTGGAGGGTGTACGTACATTCCTGCGGCCATTGTGCACGAGTAGAGTCTGATTAGTCAAATATGAGACGAATGATAATTGGAATCCAACGAAAGCCGATGTGAGTATGTACAGTGAAGCGAGAGTCGAGGATGATGGCTCGGTATAGGAAAGTGTTCGGAGGTAAACGCAGTCTTGGCGTTGTGGTGGTGGGCTTTTTCTGCCGGCAGAATCAGAAAGCGCGATTTGCTTGGAGGAGGGTCAATGTGGCCTTTTTCAATCCTGGGAAGTCGTGCCTTTTCCCTTTGAAAAAGGCTTACATGAGTATCGTAGTGCATATATTAATCTGGACAGTTGGAATAGTTTTTGATGCGCTTCGGCTGGGGTCTCATTATTGACAGACATCAATCGCCAGGTCGGCCAAACTCGCGTCCGTAGGCGGAGAGCAGAAACAACTCGCCGTCTGTTGAACTATCATTATCATCATCATCATTATCATCACCAACTGCCATCTTCATCTTTTCCATTTGAGCAGCGCACATCCATCTTCCGAACATTTGCAGGGTCGTAGAATTGCACCATTTTTCTGTTTGGAACCCATCTCCAGCCTCGAAAACAATCCCTATTCTTCTTGAGGGAGCCGGGTCATTTCATCGCTGGTTCGGGTATTCCAACTATTCCTTCAACGCGTTGTATTGAATCTGTCTCGTGAGCATTCAGTGGTCCACTGGATTGCGTGTCTCATGCCTGATCTGTTACAATTGCGATTCCCCTCCCACATTAAACATATCCGGCGTAGACAACACCAAGGAGATTGACACGCCTGTCCGACTTGCTTTTTGTCCATACACCCACCCCATTCTGGCTAGTTCCTCGAGTCGTTAAACGAAGCCAACATGGCGCAGGCTGCGGCGAATCACCTCGTCGAACAGATCGCCCAGCTCAATGCTGCGCGAAACCTTGTCCTCGGCGATGCCGCTTTCTACCCACAGATCGTGAACGGAATCATACCTATCATCGGTGCGCACGCGCGATTGGAACTGCGACGATGGGGATCGGAGTTTTTGGCAGAGACATTCGCCAGTCCTGCGTTGGCGGCGACCCAGAAGGAACAATTGGCACCAGTTGTGTTGCAGACAGCACGAGAGATCCTAGATCTGCCCGAGGGAGACACAATGGTCATGAAGCATATAGTGCAAATCGCAGCTAGCTTGTATCCGCTGGCTTTTAGGCACATGTAGGTTACAATGCTCTTCGCTTACCCCGGTGGATATCTTTCGAGAATCATACCTCGTAGATCCTCGCAGACAGAGGACAACCCAGTCAAATGCTGGTTACTTGGCGTTGCTTGCTGACAGTTGTGCCCCCAACTCAGAATCAATCATCCGCAAGACAGTGCATTATGGGAGAATATGACAGCCATCAAACAGGACATCTTGCGCCGATGGGACACCTCCCCTTATCCAGTCAAGATGTGCTGCATCAAGTTTGTGCAGCGAGTCGTCCAGGTCCAGACACATGGCCCCATAGCAGACCCTAGGGTATGTGTCCATTTGTTTCTTGGGTGTCTCGATAGGCAGACCATGATTGAGCTGACAGCTCCTAGCGTCCCGAGCAAAACGAAACTTCCCTGGCCATTGTTCCTAAGAATCATCCCGTCTTAACTCTTCCCCATTTGGAAGCGGAAGCCTCTGGCCTGCTCGATAGGCTGTTGTCTGTCTTCCAAGAAGACGCAAGGTACCGTTCTCCTGTCCTTGTCCTGTCATAGGAACCTGATCTCGCTAATGTTTCTCCATTTAGCGATCCAATCCTTGTTAATGCAACGCTGAACTGTCTGGCGGTGCTAATCCGAAGTCGCCCATCCATTGGAAACAAGATTATCAACACTATCCTCAATTTCTACCCTGCGAAGCAAGTGCGCCCCCCGATGACACCCACCACCCGAGTCAGCGTTAAATCGATGGAACGCACAGCCCGTGCGCTTTTCATAAATGTCATGAAGAGGTGAGAAATTGCAGTCGTTCTTGGAATTGGAACACAAGCTGATCGTTCACCAGAAACCCCAATCATCCACTCGCGGGTAGAATGCAGCAGCACATCGAGCGACTCATGCAGTCCCGTTTGGAAATCGTCGATGACGCTTCACGGAAACGTGGACTTCCCGCCGAGCCGACAGATGGCCTTGACAATGCCAAACGTGTCAGACTTGATGCTCAGACACCCCCAGTCCTCAAAGTGCCCCCACTACCTGCTGGCCCCATCAGTTGGGCGCAACTGTACACATTGACCGAGGACTCGGGGCTCTCCTCATTTGATGTGAATCAACTACCCGCCGATCTCCTTGTTAAGATCGCGGTCCCTGTTCTAGCCAGGGTCGACCAGTTTGCATTGACTCAAGCTGTGGAAGTACGTGATCTGTGAGGCACTTCAATTTCAATCTATTACTAACATATGATCACAGGCTATCAGAACACGATACAAGACTCTTTGTCAACAGCAGGCCGCGAGGCCTCCAGTGGCAGTGGCCGAGGAGGAAGACGATGACTATGAACCGGAATATCAGCCTATGGATGCGTCTGCTGCAGCTGCCGAACAGCCAGAGACAATATCTGCTGAAGTGGCAGATTTGCAACCGGACCTAGTTTCTCTTGGCCCATTCGTATTACCACAGCCTCCACCTCTGACCGAAGATGAGGCGAAAGAAATTGGCCGCAGCGCAGTAGGAAGGGTTTTTGAAATGGTGACTGCAACTGCGATGGCCCCGAATCCGGCGAAAGGGAAAGGCCAGCAGCACCTGGGCTTTTCCAGGTTGGCCGGCAGCACTTTTGATCGGGATGCTTGGGTGACCTTACTCGCCCGACTCGCCACAAGAGCTCCTGCCGGGTTGGAAGTTGACGACAAGAAGTCCGAGCAAAACGTACCGGCGAGAAGAAACCCGACGATATCCAACTTCATCCGAGAATCATTATACCGGCACATCCTCGAGGACTTTAGAGCGCGGGTTAATGTGGGAATCATGTGGTTGAACGAAGAATGGTACAATGACCGAGTTCAGATGAAGTATGCCGCCTCTCAGAGGACCGAGGAGGATGAGGAGGTCTCTGTGCTGCTGCACTACGATACTTGGGTCTTGCGACTTCTTGATGGTTTTCTACCATACTTGGACTCGCGAGATACTAAGATCTTCATTCGATTCCTAAGCGAGATTCCAGAGGTGACGATTCCAATCACGAAGAGAGTGGCTAGTCTTGCAAAAGACCCTGAACGAGTCAATCTTTGTGTTCAATCCCTACTGTAAGCGCCCACTTGCCGCATTCCTCATTTCCTCTCCTGCGTCTACTCTATATTGTCAGTGGTGAGTCCATGAACTAACCGGCTGCTCAGGTATCTCATCATGTTTCGCCCTCCCGCACGAGAGATTTGTCTGAACGCCTTGGAGGATGTCTACAATACTTGTAAGTGTCACCTTTCCGCATCTGCCTCAATTCCACCAAGCTCACCTCCATTTTCTTCAGACGAGGAATCGAGACCAGCTGCGGGTAAAGTCTTGGCCAGATGGCGGCCGCAATCTATAGAACAACAGCAGCCACAACAACCGCCACAACCGGAGCAGAAAACTCTACCGAGCCGTATAGCGGCGGCAGAGGGCGATGCATCCCTGACAAATGGCGGTGGGCAAGAGCAAGCTCCTGCAGCCTCTTCAACACCGGAATAAACATCCACAGACAGATCTGCCGTTTGAGTCAGCCTGCAGCCCTCGATGACATTTGATTGCCAATGTATGAATAGATTATGCAACTGGAAGGATGCTTGTGATTTGTTCCTTTTTAATGCACATGATACCTTGCGGGTTTTCCTATTATTTTTGGTATGCAATGTGTTTTGACTTGACTTAATATGCACAATCTTACATACTGTCAGCATCTGCGGTTGTAAAACGAACAGGCCTGATATTCTACGGTCCTTTGTCTAGAGAATCATCGAAACCATGAGGTTTTTTTTTTGGTAATCGAAAGCAGCCAGTAAGGGACAGATAGGGTCCTCCAGGCAAGAGACAGACAGTAGGCGATAAAGACTCGGTGACATTTTACCTCATCTGGATATGTACATGATTCAATCGATAACTGTGCATCTTTGCAAAATATGGCGCGAGAGCGAACCTTTCTGATCCTGCTCGAGAACACATCCTGACTCCATCCATCAAATAAACTCCTAATTTCCTTTGCCCATCTGGGGGAAAAATAGATATTTCACGTAGGCCCCATGCAACCGAAGCAGAACACCTCACACCTAGACCAACAGACAAAAACCGCACCCAGGCCCCAGCAGACTATGTATTGTGTGGTAGACACTTCCTGGTACACCCATGAATGCACCCATTCGCCAATTATTCACAATGCTCAAAGAACGAAAGGAAGAAGATTAGACCAGCCACCGTTTTGAAAAGATGTTTGGGAGAGCAGTGAGATTCGACCTTGTATCTCTCAGTCGTACATGACAAGCCATTCATACATAAATTCGACTCTACAACACTTGGCACCCTATACAAGCTCCCACCCAGACACTCCTGGACATAGGAGGAAGTGAACACAAAGTTCGTGGTTAGAAAGAGGAAAGATCCTACCGGGCTGTCATTTGACCGGAGCCGGAACCAGTGAGTATCCCCGACGACGAGTGTATAGAATTAACCGGTTTTGGAGGTGGGGGAGGCGATGAATCTTGTTTTGAAGCAGCTGAATGGAAAAGCCCAATTCGTGCGGGTGGTGGTGACCAGGCGGAGTTGCGAGGCGATGCTGCCTGGGGAGCTCGATGATCTAACGTAGCATACGAAGATGGAGGTGGTTTTCGTACGTCCAGCGGAGAGGAAGTTAGTGATCGAAACCCAGATTTGCGTTCAGCCTCATAGTCGGGATGCGCGAACTGCCCAAAGCCATGATGCTGGTGGTCCTGTTCTGTCCCGTACGGCGTGTTATTTGCTGACGAATTCGCAGCCGAGGGGTTTTCCGCAATCGTCGACGCCGAGCCATTGGGAGCATTGATGTCCACAACGCGTTTCTGAGCAGCTGGAGTTGTAAAGGACGAGTTATGTGGATTTTCAAATACGCGACTCTGTGGTCTCGGTGGTAATTGTTGCTGTTGATGGATGGGATGTTGCGGGTTGGCCCATGGAGTTTGTTCTAAGAAAGCCTCCTCTGCAGCTGTGCGAAATGCGTTCGAAGACATGGCTGGCATTGCCCCACGTGGTAAATGTGACGAAGCATGTGAGATGGGCACTCGCGTTTCGATCGAGATCTGCGCGCATGCATGTGTTAGTTCCAAGCGGTACAATTTCAAGGCTTCACCGAGACCGACTTACGCCCATCTTTTCCATGTCTTCGTCAAGCTCGGAGGGCCGCGCAGGTGACAATGATGGCGCGGCTGGGAAACCAACATATTTGGCGACACCGGCCATGATAGACACTTCTTGGTTGTACGCAGTTTGATGTGCAATCTGCTGTGAACGTCGGGTGGGGAAAGGTATGTAGTGTTGTGCGCTGAGCTCTTCTGTCTTGAATCGATCGTGTTGAATAGCGTAGAATTGCTTGCTGACGGCGCTGGAATGCCTCTCACGAGTGTCCCGGATCCGTTGGAAAAACGTACTGTGCGTCTGAGTCCGCTCCGCCAGACTCTTGTTCATCAGAGCCTGGAGACGATATTGGAACAGAGTGTGTTCGTATTGAATCTTTGCATCACGGTGTCGCTTCACACACTCAAGTTGTCGCAGAAACTCAGGATGGGTCGGATTAGGTCCGGTGAGCATTTCCAATTCCCGATTCAGTTTGGATATCCTTTCGTCATATATCCTACGCGAACATTGTCAGCGGCCGGAAGAGGAGCAGAGTAAAAAAAGCGGCGAAACTCACTTGTCGCGCAAGGTTGCAAATTCCTTCTCCAAAACTGCTAAAGACTCCATGGCGGACATCCTCTTAGCTGCTATGAGTCCTTGTCAGTATGCCCAAGTAATTTGCGATAAAATGGAGCAGGAGAGCCGCTTACATTCTTCCTCAAGTTTTGCAGCCGCGTCGCCGTCATCGGCGTCGTCCGCGCGCTCTGCTTGGTCATCTTCTCCTTCATCACCAGGGCCCTCTGCACCAGTATCAACAACACCGCTATCAATGTCATCATCAGCGGCATCACGGGGTTTCCGCCCTTTTCGTTTTCCCTTTTTGCCTTTCTTGCCTTTTGCTGGTGCTATGGGTAAGTCGGACTCGGGTATATCATCGGCCGGAGTATCTTCCTCGATGGCCTTAGACGATTCTTCAATTGGCTCGGGGGTCAGGACGATATCATCGGCAGGAGGGTCACTCAGTTCGCTTTTCACGGATCCACGGCGCTTCTGAGGTGGCTCATCGTCACCTGACTCTGCTTCAAATTCCTCAGCAGATTCAGGCCGCTTGCGCTTCTTTCCAGCTCCTTCGGATAGTGTAGAGTCTTCCAGGTCTGGCAACACTTCGGTGAGGTCGGTAATCCCATTGGGCTTTGAGCGAGGCTTGGTGGGGGAATCCTCAAGATGCTCGTCCTCGATCTCCGCGTCGTCATATGTCGTGGACTGAGCCAATTTGCTAGGACTGGGGCCATAGCCGCTTACAACGATGTTTGTTTTGCGAAAATGGTTGGGGGAATCTTCGATGCGCTCCGTTTCAGCCTCCGAGTCGTTCTCGGGCGCCAACCTCTCGGGCTTGGGGGACACGTCATAGTCCGAGGGCTCATTGTCCAAGTCGTCGTCGATCTCGCTCAAACTACTTGATCGTCCATCATCCATGAGCGAATCATCTAGCAGAAGATTTTCATCGCCATTGGTGAGAGTAGCGTCAAGCCCTGTTGGCGGGCCAACAGAAGCAGGCTCTCTGCTCTCGGCCACCTCCATGAGCAATCGCGCACAATGTTCGCAGTATTCAGGGAGAAAGAGAAAGGGAGATTCGACAAAGATAGGTAGATGATGTAGTATAGGTTGACAGACAGTTCGTAGGGTGAAAAGTCAGGCGGTCAGGATTGTCAGAATGCGGGCTTGATCTGCAACACTGGATAGTACTGTTAGAGAGGTATTACTGCAGGGGATGAACAGCAAGCAGGAGAGCACGAATGACAGCAAAGAGAGGACTGAGGGGCCTTCGAAACATAGCTTGTTCGGGCTGCTTCCTGTCTGCAGAGACGAAGGCGGTGCGGAGATTTGATCATTCTGCTAGCAACCCGGAACACACCCCGGAATCACCAGCAGGTGTCAAAGACTGCGCGGTGCCAACGATCATGGAGAACAAACTTTTGCAGATGGACTCAGACAGTTGGGCTATAGAATAGACCAGATGAAACCACCATTTATGCTTCGAACCATCAAAAAACGTACCAATCAACAATGCGCCAGCAGCGAAACAAGTAGTGACAACACTGCCCGCGACCGAGCACGATTCACTTAGCCACCGCGCTCACAGGGACAAGCCACAGGAACACAGGACTAAGATAAATCCAGCTGGAAGTAGTTGTCCCAATCCAACTCAGGCAAATATCTCTTCAAGAGTATCCGGAAGCGCCGTATGTAGGAGGATGGAGAACGTAGGAAGAGGAGGAGGAGGAGGAGGTGGTGGTGGTGGTGGTGGTGGTGGAGGTGGACTTCAAGAAGCGGGCGATACGACACTGCAGCGCGAAAGGAAAGGCGGCATGGATAAGAGGAAACTTGATGAGGATTGCGAGTAATGGATATTGAACAGTGGTATCAAGAGCACAAGAAGCAGAAAAAGATCGACAGATGTGCAAAGCAGGCTGCTGGTGCTCCAGAACTGAACGGTCACCTGGGAGTTGGTAAGAAGGTGAGGGAGAGTCGCAGAGCAAAAGCAACTCTTTTGCTTGTCGCGGTATTCCGGGGCGTATTGCTGTTTCTGCCGTATTTTTATTTCTTATTTATGGCAAGCCAAAAGAGCCTCACCGCCCTGGTATCGATAGTTACACGTCATGTGACGAGCGCTCCAGAAGCACCCTTTGACCGGAAATATCTCCTACATGATATTCTAGGTAAGGCACATTTCTGGACTAACGAGATATATCACAAAAAGCGATCCCATTCTTCTGTTCTCAATCCAAAACTCGTGCCCAATGCCCGATGTTCGTGGGTTATTACCCTCGAGCCATTGCTTCCAGTGATATCATTGCTGCTAACAGCGGATTATCTCTCCCCGTTCTCCGTGCGCCTGCTGATAAATAAATGGGCTGGGCACTACAGACTTCGAGGTACCTGTCCTCAGATGTAGGGTAAAGTGGTTTCTCGGACATTACGATCAAGTAGCCCCGCAAAATATTACAAACTTTGAAAAAGAGTCCCCTGATAGCAGAATAAAGTAGAAGGAGAATTGGGTGGTCACAGATGCAATATGCCTGTTGGCTGCGTGGGCAGTTTGCTGATAACCCGAGCACGTGACCTTATCAAGCTCCGGTCGCCAAGATAATTTTTTTGCCAATGTAAAAAGACTGTCGCGAAAAACGACGGCAGACAGAGGCAGCAACCAACCATCAGCAATTGACTCGTGTATTAATTATCTGATCAGAAATTATTGAGTGAATTGCCTCACAAAATGGGGAAGAAAAGCAAGACACAGTCGAAGGATGTCGCCCAGTCCAGCAAGACAGATGCCTCTTTACCTTTCCTCAGCGGAAGTGCCTCCATTGACCCAACTCTGGCCTCACTGTTCGAGCAAAGTGTATGTGTTCACTTGCTATGATTCGTGGACCTATTACTAACATTTCTCCATTTGGAATAAATTAGGCTGGCCCAGTGAAAACTCCTGTTCAGACATTCATTCCTCAAAGCAAGGATGAGGGAGAAGACGAAGAAAACGACGAAGAATTGTCCGAGTTAGAGGAGGACTCTGCCATCGAGGATGATGAGGATATGCAAGATGCCCCGGAAGACGCCAGTGAGCTCGACAGTACGCCGGTTCTGGAGACCCAGGCAGCTTCAAGCAAAAAGCGCAAGAGGGTTGCTGCGGAGGAAGTGGAGGAAACTTACATGCGACGGATAGCAAAGGAGGAGCAGAAGGAGGAGGAAAAGCGTCGTGCGGAGAAGGCGAAGAGACAAAAGGTGGAGGAAGAAAAGGATGCCGAGAAATCTGCGGATGAGTCCGCGGATGATGACGAGGAGAGCTCGGAGGATGAGGAAGAAATTACCGTTCCCAAACATGAGAGTCAAGGCGGCGACAAGGCATCTACGGAACTCGAGAAGAGCAACCGTACCGTGTTCCTCGGCAATGTCTCGAACGAGGCCATCAAGTCCAAATCGGGGAAGAAGACTCTGTTGAAACACCTGGCTTCGTTCCTCTCCACACTGCCAGAATCTACAGGGCCTCACAAAGTGGAGTCGATCCGTTTCCGCTCTGTGGCTTTTGCCAGTGGTGGAAAGGTGCCAAAACGAGCGGATTTCGCTAGACGTGATGTTTTGGATGATACTACGCCAAGCACGAATGCGTATGCCGTGTATAGTACGATCCAGGCGGCGCGCAAAGCTCCTGCTGCTTTGAATGGTACAGTCGTGCTCGACCGCCATCTCCGTGTCGACAGCATTGCGCATCCGTCCCCGGTCGACAACAAACGATGCGTGTTCGTCGGCAATCTGGACTTCGTGGACAACGAAACCAACCCAGACGACGACGAGAAGAAGAAAAAGAAGAGATCAGTTCCTGCAGATGTCGAAGAAGGCCTCTGGCGCACCTTCAATGTTCAAACGAAGGGATCCAAGGACAAGAGCTCATCCAGGGGTAATGTCGAATCTGTTCGGGTGGTCCGTGATCCTATCACGCGTGTGGGAAAGGGATTTGCCTATGTCCAGTTTTACGATGCCAACTGTGTAGAGCAGGCGCTTCTACTCGACGGCAAGAAGTTCCCACCCATGCTGCCTCGCAAACTTCGTGTCACGCGGGCGAAGAAGATCTCCAAGAAGCGTGACGGCCCTGAGACTTCTGCTAGAGACCGAAAACTCGGAGAAGCGTTCACGACTCTCCAAGGTCGCGCGGGCAAGCTGTTTGGCAAGGCTGGTGCGTCCCAGTTCAAGGCTGGAGAAAGAAGGTCGGTTGCCCAGAACTCGGTGGTCTTCGAAGGCCATCGGGCCACCGAAGGGAGCGCATCACGCATCAAAGTGAAGACCAAGAGCCGTGGCTCCAAGGGCAAACCCAAGAATCGGAGTGCCAAGCGAGCTGCGGCCTACCAGGCTGCTGGAGGACGTAAAGGAAAGATTGCGGCGAATGCAGCGAAATAGGTGGTCATTCTGTGAGATAACTGTGGCATATTTTGTCTTATTGTGCATTATTTTCTTCCATTTGGGGCTGTTTATGAAGCATCCACAAAAAAGCCCAGCGTCTTCTATACCTCCTTTCGACGTGATTGAAAGAATATTTTCTCTGAAGTGACCTTGGCAGTGCCGGTCTATTATCAATCGATCCTTGTATTGTAGCCAATATATATATATATATATATATATATATATATTTGTTTCAGTTCCATAGCACTTCTGATTCCTGACTCTTCAAAGAAACTCCAGATAGCCATGGCTGACGTCATCTGGTGCCGCTATATATGTTGTCTTATCAGCCAACAGTGCAAAATGAGGATCATTACGACTTCAATTCACATACCTCGTTCAATTGTCAGATACAAGGGGCTGCCCTCTTTCTTAAGGTTACCAAATTACAAGATCAATGCTATATGGCTGATTCTGATCAGTGTGCTGCCTGTTCATTGAGACTGCCTTGTTTGATGTTTACGTTCATCTCAGCGCTCTGAATTTCCCCGCCTCAACGTGGAGATAACAGCAGTATCAGCACAAGACTGCTATAAGCCCAATCCAATAACACAACCAGTCCAAGATTCTTGAATTTCACTATCAATATCTTGTGGCTACTGAGTGAGAGGATTTTCTTGAAGAAATACTGCTGCTTAACTCAGAGTCAAGTGGTGTCGCTTTTGTATTGGTGCCTAGGCTGGTTCGAAACATCAGCCAGTTTTGACAGTCTCGAATTGGCCTTGCTGCGCTGCAATACTTGATTCTCGATATATTCATACAGTCGTGCAATTAGACGATACTTCCTATTGTATTATCCATCATGAATCACTTTCGCGGTCCCCGTCCACCACCATTCCGCGACTCGGACAACCCGATGACCCTTTCAGGGGAACCTGTCGACGAACCCACAGTCACGGAGACCGAACCGGAATTCTTCTATCCGGAATTGTTTGATGTGTTCAAAGTTCGCTATCTTTTACAATGGAAGATTGTCGCAGCAGGCTTGCCAGCGGAGATTGTGGATTTGATACTTGAAGCTGCGGAATATTGGCCTTCCGTGGAGACACGAATGGATACTCCGAGGTTCATCAGGCAGGACCGTGATCAGATCTTGCTAGAGACAGTCCCGTTATGTCATGATGAGAAGGTATGTTGATTCCTACAGGTGGCTCCCACCCTTCGGGCGTGGTTCTCCCCATTGACGACTTTTAGATCCTAGAAGATGCCTCTCCGAAGATTCTCCCTCATCGGACTATACATCCATGTCGCAAAATCATATTCACAATCAAGTCTCATGATCAGGGCTGGGGAGGTGGCCCTAGAGGCGACACCCCCTTCCATGGGTCCTACACCTGGTTCGATACCGAAGTCATACACACTGCATCACGACATGATAGCGATGAAACAGGTGGGCAGCAGGGCGCGGAGGCAACGCGGGAGGGAGAGACCAGTCACCAGAATTCTCACTACTTACCGGGGCCTGACAGAATCCAAGCGAACAAGACCGCAGTGCCGGAGACACAAACCTATCACATTGTGTGGCATTATCTTGACAATATTGACAGCAGGTCGGCAGAGGCAATGGAGATTGAGCATTTATCTAGTCGAGGGCGGGATACACTGGATGGACGAGTTGTCCGGACGTTGGAAGTTGGAGATTCCATTGCTGTATGGGGGCGAGCAAGATTCCCTGGGTGGTCGAATCACGTTGAATACATGTCTGTCCGGGTATTCTGGGCTGTATAGTGATTTGATCTCACAAGGTTGGATGGATGCCCTTAATATGAGCCGAGGAGGAATGCAGTTGACAGCATCGTTTGAGTGCGTATTTGAGCGCCTTTGATATATCATAAGAATGAATATCATCTATTTCGAAAGATCCAAGTGACTCGAGAGAACCAAGGAAGTAGTAGTCAGTAGTTAACTTATGTATATCTAGTTGTCACTTTGTTCAGTAGTGACCAAGTTGATCGACATTGACACCGCAGAATGGCAGCCTTCATGCTCAGGCAAGCACAGGAAAATGGCCTCATTCCCCATCGAAATCACGCAATTGCGCCAAGACCGCCATATCCCGCAGCCAGAACACTTGAATATAAGCAGCCTGCATCCTCCACCGCGACAACGGACGGCAAGGAGAACTTTTCTACAAAGAAACGGATACGAATGTCGCCTTGACTCTTTTGCCTTATCCGCCTGCTCCATCAGGATCTCGCGTGGGAATCCCCATGACGCCCCCAGCTCCAGGGTGATGGTGACAGTGACACACCCTAAGGCCCTTCTAACCTAAGTTTCACGCCCGACCCCGACGGAAAGCGACCCCCGGCGATTCTCCCACACGGACAGTCTGGAAGTGGGGCCTTGATGCGTCGTTGCACAACGCTCATTGTTCAGCCACTGAGCGATCAGGAATGGAAGCCCGTCAATCGCCGATTGATGCTCTCCGCCGGGGTTTGAGGATACAGGATGTACACTGAGAACGACACAGTAATTGGAGTTGAGAGACGGGAAACGGCGTCTCAGGGAGGGTCATCGCTGCCTGCTCGGCCGCTTCCTCTGCTCTCTTTGGACGGCTGGGACCCTATCTTGATAATGGATGACGGATCATGCGCTCTCTCGCCCGAATCCCTTGCTCTGGCTTCCTTTTTGGGCGGTTCTCATCGGTTCTCGCCTGTCCTCACATGGGATGGATAGGCGGTAAACAAGTGATTCTGTGGCTTGATGAAAGCCAAGAAGATATGGGAATGTGGTTCTATTGCTTTGCTCACGTCAATCTGCCCCGTTTTCTCTTCACGAGATCTCTGGTTGAATCATCCCCCTCTTTGACCAGGGGAAGGAGGGACGACGCTCGCTAGCTATTAATATTCTGCTCTCCTCATTAAATCCCCATTGACCTGCATCTTCTTCCTACGATTTCTTCTTGCACTCTACTCTACTCTACTCTGCGCGAAATACCCTGATAGGAATCCCCTTCTTCTCGCCTTTCTCGAATCAGGTTCATCTTTTGACATCCCAGCACAAGAACTCTTCCTACTCATTGATCCTCACAATGAGTCTACCTCAAAAATGCGCTGCGGTCGTCGTGGGCGCCGGTCCTGCTGGTCTGGCTGTTGTTGGCAACCTGCTGGAGAAACAGGTCGGGAAAGTCGCCTGGGTTGATCCCTTCTTTCAGGCAGGTCGCGTAGGCAGAAAATACCGCGAGGTTCCTAGGTGAGCTGCACTCTACGCTCTTGCGGGGGTTGAGTGAGGTCAAGCTGGAAGTTCGCCTGGCTCACTGTATATTGTCTTGAACAGCAACACGAAAGTCTCTTTCTTCCAGGCATATGCCACGGGAGTCCAGCCGTTTCGCGCAGTCGTCAGCAGCTCACGCATTCCGAACGCCTTCACAACGTTAGCCAAGCTCGATCAGGATAAGACCTGTCAGCTCGAACATGGTGCAGAGATGGTTGAGGCCCTTACAGAAGGCATTGTCAAGATGGATCGCGTAGTTCAATGTCGGGGCCTTGTCGTTGCAGCCAACTTGGCAGAAAATGTCAGTTTGGGACCATCCGCGCGCTTCTCAAGGAAGACGTTTTGGAGAAAAGCAGATCCTCGGCTAATATATTGCGCGCATCTCTAGACTTCTTCTTGGACAGTACGGATCAAGAACCATGAAACCTCGGACGAGTTTGAGGTTGAGACACCCAGACTCATCCTGTGCACGGGATCATCCCCGTCGACAGGGCCAATTCCTGTGCCGGGGCACAACATTCAGAGGCTGGACCTCGATGTAGTGCTGAAGCCCAGCGAACTCTCCTCGTACCTTCCCCGGAACACACCGGTCACAATTGCGGTAGTAGGAGCCTCACATAGCGCAATTCTATCGCTCCTTAATTTGGTCGAATTGGCGCGCAGCTCCCACCCTCAGCTTCGGGTCAAATGGTTTACCCGCCATCCTCTTCGGTATGCCGAATTCATGGACGGCTGGATTCTCCGAGACAACACCGGCCTCAAAGGTCTTGCTGCAGACTTTGCCCGTTCGCAGCTTGAAGATCAAGCCCTGCCGACCTCTGAGGCAGGTCGCTTCATCACCAAGGTTGACTGCGGTAATGGAAAGGAGATGGCACAATTCAAGTTACAGCTACCGCTATGCTCTCACATCGTCCAGGCCATTGGATACACACGGGATCCCCTGCCAGAGCTGTCTGCGAACGGTGCGGCATTGGAGCCAGACTTTGACCACGAGACAGGTGGCTTCTATGACCAGAATGGACGAACCATCAAAGGCTTATACGGAGCCGGCATAGCATTCCCAGAGCGGACGGTTGATCCACATGGCAATGTTGAGTATGCCGTCGGTTTCTTCAAGTTTATGAAGTTCATCAAGCGGGTGTCTCCTCAATGGGTTTCCGCATAAAGGGTTCGGTTTCTTTATTTCTGCTGCATGGTTACTATTTCGTTTTCTGCTGGTCGGCGATACCAGTCAAGCTGTTTAGTTTGTGATACTCCTCATACCATTCCTGGAGCTGTGCTCCTCCTTTTTCCATTCATAGTCTTAATGAACTATTATCATCCTCCACTTTCGGCTACTACTGGAGTTCATGGATGTCAACTCCAGACATATCCTTGATCCGTGATTCTAATACAGACGTTCTGGTTATCTCTGATTACAAACAGTTATCACTCGAGCATGAGTGCTAAGAACCGACGCTAATCGACTAGAGTATCTATTGGCTGTTATTGGCTTCTACTCCCTAGCTCTGCGATAGACCAAAGCACCGTCATCACCAGGCAAACAAGCACGTCATTCTAGGCTGTTTCAACAGGGACGATAAGACCTGGCCAGACGGATATTTGTCTGAGATAGAAGCCCTAGTCGGTTTATCAAAGAGCTTCTATTCATCAAGGGTATGCGATCCAGTCAATCTTCAAGGCAGGCTTCCAGCCTGGGTGTACGGACTCCGTAACATGACAGTAACCCATGTATCAAGGTACCGACCCAACCATACATGTACCAGATCGTCATTACATACATCATCGATCCCGTAACAGCAGTGTAAAGATTATACCTGGGTCATAATCATGTATGGTAAGACTGCATACACAATCAGAACCTATCAGGTTCCATCTTTGTATTCCACCTGCAGTATGCATACATCTACACATGTGAACTCCAACTCTCGTGCATGAACACCTGTGCAACCTGCATCTTCCCCCTTTTTCCCCCCCCCCATTCCTGCATGAAAAGGGGACAAGACTCGATAATGATATCAACAAAACAGTTAGCAGGATTCAGGAGCCTTTTTTTTTGTCCCACGCCACTTCCGTGCTCTGTACAACTCCATAGGGGTAAGTTGGTGGTCAATGCTATGGATCAGCCTCAGCGAAACCCCCGTCCTTAGTTAGAATCAGGATACCAGGACCCCAGGTCCCAGATATATTGGATATGAGGATCGGCTCGTCTTTGTCTGAGTTGGAACCTGGGGGGGTTAGGACTTAGGGGTCTTGTGTATGAGCTGGGCTTGGTTTAGTGTTGAGCTAGCTGGATATGCTATATGCTATGGAGAATAGAGATCTGGATTCTTCTTGCTAAGATTATGGAGTACTCCGTAAGAGTTGAGTGAGAAGAACTAGTACAGAGTAGATCTTTAGTATCTAGTCCGTTGCCATGATTTCACTCAGACACAATTCTTACCTACACAGTATCATGGTATCACCTTTATCCATCTACCTTAGTAAGCGCGGCTGGTGCTACGGAGTACTGCAAAGTACCTAATCTTCCATCCCCTGCAGGGATGATGACATGGAAATAGACTCACTCTGGGTTCAATTGACCAAGGCATTTTCTTTCATTCATATAGAATAGCAGAGATTATTTGTTCATCATCTGTTGATGAGCTTTCATTTCCATTGCAATGGATCTCACAGAGGACTGACAGTGTTGATTGAGGCTTGAGATGGTGGGAAACCCCATAATAAAATATGGTGCCTGATACCTACCAATTACCCCCAATTTACCAGGCTGTTTCAGGGGATGCACCACATGGAGATTTCCATCTCCTCCTATCTCAGTCTCACTGCTGTTCAGTGCATTTGGATAGAGACCCAGGGTCATCGTCTCAGCAGAAATTGAACAATTTCCACTCCACAGTGGATAGACTAGTGGATGAGAAGCTGTACACACTATGGAGGTAGGGATGGTATTTTAAAATGTCAGAATGTCAAAATATCAGGCATTTTGACTGTTTTTATCTGACAAAGTATTTTTGTTAGAAAAAGTGGATTTTACTAGTGAAATAGGGGGTGGATTTAACTTAGGTAACTTACCCCCTATAATACAAAAAGAAGTACTCCGTAGTAGAAATTACTAAAGATAATATAGAAGATATAAAGATAATAATAATATAGATAAAGAAAGGAGGAAGTAAGAGGATGATCTAAGCTGGCTATTTCAAAATCACTGAACACTGCTGCAGGATATATATCTGGATGCAGTTAACATCATCAAGAAAGGGGGCACATGGAACTCCTTGCTTGCCACTATCAGAAGCCAGATGCAGCTCCGACAGTTATCTATTGAAAACTGTTTTCAGGATGAGGAGGATATCATTGTTCAGGGAAATGAGATGATTCCCTTGTCGATACGCTTTTGGTTTCGTCGGCATTATCGTCCTCAGAGTTCGCTTTGAAGCGCTGGGTTCCATACCTTTGATCCGGCAGCTAAGCCAAATTCAAGGAAGAAGGCAATCAAAATTTTGACCACGCCGACCAGTAATGTCCTCATTTTATGTTTCGTACAGTATCTCGGGAGCTCGTTTAGGACCAAGCTTAGGATGAACTCAAATATAAGGAGTTTATGGGCAGACCGAAATTGCGCAGGAGAGAAGCCTTTTCTTCGTCCGAGTTTTCTACATATTATTCGGCGTACTCACTCTGTTATGATATCGAGGATCAATGGATCATGGGCCAAGCGATCTCAATGAACAAGGGAATAGTAGCGAAATTCATGACTGCTCAGCAGAGAAGAAATAGTTACAGCCCATATTGGAGTGGTCAATCTGGGATCTTAGTCAGCATGCTCCCCAAGATGGAGACGGCGAATGATTATTCCGTCTTCGAGGTGCGCCCGGCGACCTCTGTCGCTGCTCCCTCACAACTTCACACGATGGTACAGCGATGTGACGGTGCCAATGCTCGCAAGCAGGCAACCTAGTCGAAATGGCGCTCTCACTTCGCGTTCGCCGGCATCGCTCGTCTTTGGAAGGAGTTATTGTTCCTTCCTCACAGCCTTTGGCCCTGGAGGAACGGGATCTTGCAACCCGCATTTTCGACGAGATTATGTTGCAATTTGAGCCTTCTCAGCCAACTGACAGCGGCTATTATCCGGTGACTCTGATCAGACTCATGAGTGTCGAGATTTCTGAGAGAGACGAATTTTTGAGCTTCTTCTTCTCTTTTATCCATCAAGACTTACTTGACGAGGATGATGGGCGAACTGGTCTCGGCCAGGTTTTATCAACCCTTGCTCCTTTCCCTCACTTGCCATCTGAACAAACAGACGCTTTAAAGGAAAGTCTTGTTGCATTTGCGAAATACTTGGTGGATAATTTTTTCTTGCCCTGTAAGTTCCAGTCTCTACGTGGGCCCAGCACACTTACCGTCCTCAGTAAAAGCGTCGGCAGGTAGAACTCCTCAACCTACCCCAGCTCTTTCCCGGTCGACAACATCCGAAGTTGCCATTGGAACTCCTCAACGGGTCTCGAACCTGCGCAAATCCTGTCTCATTCGTGACCGGTACCGATGTGTCATTACTCGGAGGTTTGACGCCCAAGAAGCGCAAACCCGATACAAGAGGGATGGACGCGATGTGAAGGATGATGATGGCAAGTCACTGCTTCCGGAACGTGACACCATGGCCTACTTGGAAGTCGCCCATATAATACCCCACTCGCTCAAGTCATTCACGGGCGACGGAGGCGATAGGAAACTTGTAAGGGACATATCATCGCCAATCACCCGTCCATAGCTGACCTGCGGAGTCGAAGCAGATTGCCCACAGAGTCCTAACGATGTTCAACCCTGGCGCCATTCACTTGATTGATGGCGTTGATATTGATCGACCAATGAACGCGCTCACCCTAACGCATGATCTTCATAGGCTATTTGGTAACTTTGAAATCGCCTTCGAACCGGTTGGTACCCAGCCGCATACCTACAAAGTTGACTACGTAGAGTCGGATCGCATGGGTCGCGTTGAAAAGCTCCCCGTCACCGTTAGCCTTTTCCTCACGCCCGATCGAAGTGTAGATCCGCCTTCTCCTCAACTTCTCGCAATCCATAGTGCTATCGGACGTATCCTTCATCTCAGCGCTGCTGGTGAATATATTAATGATTATATTCGGGATTTAGAGGAGATGAAGGGTGGTGAAGTGATGCAAAACGGATCTACACGTCTCCATGATTATGTTTGGTTCAGGCTCAGGGAGACGTCTGTTTACTAGAATAATGTTGAATGCTCTCCAGGCAAAATTGTGGTGTTGACTCATCGTGACGTAGTAAAGTATAGTCCTCAGCAACCTCAGCCTACTCATCTGGACCACTTGCCTTGAACAAAACGGCCGAGTGACTCTCGAGAAGAGCTTAAAGTAGTTTTGTTTGCACTATGAGCTTTTCAAATCTTAAAAACGTGATGAAAAGCCTTCTGGATGACGGAAAATATGCCGACATGACAATATCTTGTCAAGGACATGACTTCAAATGTCACCGCGCCAGTATCTGCTCTCAATCACCCTTCTTTGAAGCCGCTTTCAACGATGGTTTCAAGGTAAGTACAATCGTGAATCTTCCTGCTAAGTCATGGTCACACTCCTAACAAACATGATCAGGAAGCAACGTTATCACGAGTCAACCGACCGAGGGAGGATGGATTGTTGAGTGGCAGGCAACCTGTCAGGCACAGAGGAGAGTTTGACTGGTTTGCAAGGAACCTTCCAGAAACCGAAGTTCAGTCGTACAGCGGCCGTACATGACTCATTGTTTGATACAATCACAGTCCTATACCGTCCTGTAAGATACACGGGAATATTATTATTCCGCGGCTAGTCCATATTTGTACTAGCGTCAGATGCGAGAAACAATCGAAAGAAGCGAGACCCTGGCGGCGGTGTTGAATTCTACTGTAGAATGGTTAAACGCTCAGTCCATGTCAAAATGTTCATCCCGAACAGTGCCTGATTATTGTCTATCTCAGTCCCCTGGTCTCCACGCGAACCACGCTATCTGTCTCTTCATCTTGGCAAGCAGATCACTCGGCTACATTGGTCTAGCGGTCTAGCCATCAGCCTCAACGCCTCTTTTGCCAGTAGAACAGGAATGGCTTCAATAGTCGACACACATGCCAGACACCTAAAGATTTTCTACTCCCCTCTCCTCAGGCGTTGCGAAAAATCAAGTCATTCATTACAATGTACACATATCTACATACCATACAAAAATTTGCCCAAACAGACAGTTTCATCCGTCTGATCCAAGACTAACGACGATTAGGGAACGCGATCAAGAAAAAAACCCGAAGCATTGCCCAAATGGAATAGAAAAAATAAATGGACAAGAAAAAAGATGTCGCGCCTTTTTCCGTTCCGCGAACCGAGCAAAGTCACAGCAGATTCCCCAAATGGTCATCCGACATGCTTCTCCTAGCTGGCCGAAAGAATAAAGGAAAGCAACGCGCCCGAAGCTATATACTAAAGCGTAGCGAACTGATCGCGGTAGCGTGGCCCAAACCGAAGATGCCAGAAACAAGTGTTCATTTACACAACAGCAATGACACCCAGAATGAGGGCCATCATGCCACCGGAGATCCGGTTGATGACGCCGCCATTCGAATTGGGGACCGAGGTAGGCGGAGAGGTGGAGGTGCTGGAAGCAGTGGTTTTCGTGGAATCGGAAGTGGAGCTCGAAGAAGAGCTGGTGGAGGTCGAAGAGGAGCTCGAGGTCTGGGTGGTCATGGTGGTGGCAGTTCCAGTGGTAGTAGACTCGGTGGCAGTCCCAGTGGTAGTAGAGTCGGTGGCAGTGGTCGAGGCGGTCTTGGTCTTGGTAGCGGTCGCAGTCGCAGTCGCAGTCGAAGAGGTTGCGATGCCAGTAGCGCCAGCAATGGTGAAACGGTTCAGGTAGTTAGACTGGGTGGGGTCATCGTCGGAAATGATCTCGACGGTGTAATCAGGGCGAGCAGCAATATCCGAAGGGACAGACCACGTGTAAGATCCCGAGTTAGGGATGCTCGCTGGATTAGTCAGTCTCATATGCACGACGCAGAATCATGCCACTGGAGATACTTACAGACAATGGTGCTGCCAGAGCCGGAGGTGAAGACAGAACCCCATTGAAGCATCAGAGTAACAGTTCCCTTGGTGGTGGGAGTCCAGGTCAGAGCCGTGGACTCACCGGCAGAGAACTGGTAGCCGTTGTTGGGGATGTTGAAGGGGTTGGCCTTGGAAGCAGCAGCTGCGAGGGTCGCAAGAGCGCTGAGAGACAGGAAGAGAATGGAACGCATTTTGACAAAGAGTGAAGACGCTTCTATAAGGGTTTCCTGAAACGGTAGTAGAGTGGGAGATTGCTTCGGCGAGAAGAATGTAAAAAAAAATCCCACAAGAATGAGCGATGAAGATGTAAAGCTGAATATATAAGTATGGTGATGAAAAGAATGGACTCTGACTAGAAAGACAGATAGGTAAATATGATGCAGCGATCGACTGGTATGAACGACAGACAGGGAACAAAGAAAGAAAAGAGAAGAAGAGGAGGAAGAAGAAGAGAAGGAGAGAAAGAGAGTAGGAGAAGGGGGAAAAGGAGCGAGTAATAATAATAATCATAAGCAGCTCGATCAGCGCATCTTTGCTGGGTATCAAAGATTTCGCGCCAGTGAGGAAGCCACGAGCGATACACTCATGGGGGACAGCCAATAGGAGGAAGTCGTTCCCAACGAAGTCCAACATGAGTTAGTGGGCTGGAAATAATGGACTAGACGGGGCAGAATGGGAAAATAGTGCTGGAAAGGCGTCCGAGTGTATCAGTATAACAGACTGGAAGAGAGGCCATATCATGGAACTAGTCCGTGTCAGCCCTTAGTCGTCACTTAGCCTCAGGCACTAACTGTCCCGCAATATCCAGTCATCCAGTCATCCCAGTGAAACGCCCGGTCCGGACTCCAACAGGCGAAGCTAATTGTGGTCGATAGTCAACTGATGGCTTGAAGTTGGTGGCGATGCGCCGAAGAGCCATGGTAATGACGGCCGAGGGTTCCTGAACCTCCCTGCGCCCGGGGAATCGGATCAATGATCAGAGAGGAACCAGAGGAATGGTTGGAAACGAGAAAAGTGGTCAAGATGATGGTTCGTTGGAGGTGGGCGACTCTGGATCTTGATATTTATTTTTGGATGCAATCTGGATCTGAAAGCTGGGAGCCTGGGACAGTCCGTGAGTCCCTTAGTCCCTTAGTCCATTAGCCTGTTGATATACAAGATGGACGGATGCGTTATCTATTCAGACTTTAGAAAGAGGACTGAAGTGATGTCTTGGAGATCTGGGGGAAGTTGATGCAGTATGGGGTACAAGTGTGGAATAGGGATGATTTGTGTTTTCCGCGCACTGTGCACATGATTTAAGATACACAGATACACAGATACAGAGATACATATGCTGATGATCTTTATGCAACCAAGTTACTCCATACTAGGGCGTATCTAAGGTGGATATTGTATCAAATTGGTTTGTATTTCAGTACCTGTTTCCAGAGTTCATAGAAAATGGTATCATTCAGTATTGTAACATTACCAAGCTGTATGTTAAATATGGTTTCCTTCCATACACCGTAAAATACTGACCAATATCACACAGATGGATGACTGAGGATTTCTCCAGCTCAAGGGCATACAGATGTTGAGATGGCTCATAAATCGTAACGATTCTTTCCAAAATGCCTGCCAATCGTATACTTAGAGAAATTACCCATTGAAAAGAGAAAAAAAAAATCTTCACATCTCATGGAGTCATTATGGACATCCTGCTTTAAAAGCAAGCTTTATATAGGTCAGTACCATGATATGTGCAGGGACCTTGGATTATTGTGCCAATTGTGAAGCGAAGAACCAAGGTGCTGGTGGCTATCAGATGCTAGCCGCTGCATCACTTGGCCCAGGCTGAAGAACTCTTTAGTTCTCAGTGCCGGTCTCAACGGGAGTGGGATTTTGAATTGCCTCCGTGGCTTCGGGAGCATTGAGGAAACCATTCTCCCCCAGCCACATAATCACATCCATGGTTCGTCGATCCTCCTCATCCTTTTGGCGCTCGACAAGCTAAGGGTAGTGAATCAGCGATGACACAAATAGAGACATGGGATCCATTTAGAACTGTCAAAGAGCACTTACGGCCTGGAAAAGCCCCTTCCGTCCCTTCTTCTCGATGGGTTTTTGTTTAGGACCACGCCCCGACGTCTCATGCGAGTACTGACAATTGTCTCCTCGCGAACATCGCCCATACCGAGCGAACTGGTGACACGGGTTCTTTTTGTTCGCTCGGGGCGGTGGTGGTACTCGCTCGGGACCTTCTCGCCGAGAAGAAATCTCCTCAGGAGCAGAATCATTGTCACTTTCGTCCGAATCCGAATCCGAATCATCGGAACCGCTGGATGACGTCCAGTCACTGCTATCCGACGTATCAGAAGGTGACATGGCAGAATTCTTCTCCTGAAAGTCTACCAGATCGCCAGGTTCTGGTTTCGTCTCAACAGCAATAGGTACAGCAACACCATCTGCCAACGCTAAACCTTGATCAGGATCAATTGAGGTATCTGGCTGCTCAGTTCGAGCAGCAGATTGCTGCAGTTGCTGACAAAGTGCTGCGTCCGTCTTCGTTTCGATGACATTTTCAGACTTGACCTCTTGGATGGTAGACTCTTTGCCCACGTCCATCGTGCCCTTCTGAAGTTCTTCCACCCTAAGCCGAGCCCGCTCAGCCTCCGCTTCGGCCTTGGCTACGCGTTTCTGCTCTTTCATGAGCCTGAGTTGAAGTTTCTCCGCCTTGCGCTTGGCTTTCGCAACCTTATCGTCGGGATCCGTGAGATTGCTGGGTCGATCACTAGGTTTAGCTGCATCCTTTTGTAGTCGTCTTTGCTCCTGCCTCTCGGCCTGTTTCTGGCGTAGAGCTTCTTCGCGAGCTTTTCTCGCCTCTTCCAAAGCCTTCTTCTTTTCTTCAATCCTTGCTCTGGTCGGATACCGTTTCTTTCGCTCCTCAATCCAGGCTGCGATATCCTCGGGTGACTGAAGGGTAGTCGTCCGTCCCCTGTATGTAAATCGCAACGGCGCTGCAGCACCGGCACCAGCCGGTGCTAGCCTGGACTCTTCATCCACGTCATCTTCTTCCTCACTCGATTCGTGTTCTTCCGTTTTAGGTGTAAGGCCCAATTGGTTGTGTTTTCTCTTCTTCTTTTTCGGTTTCGGTGCATTATCGGCTGCCGGAGGTGGTTTCACGGGCAGGGGATTACCGAAGCTTGGGACCGCGGGCGGTGCAGGGACTCGTGGTGCCACTGGTTGCGGCTTGCCCCCAAAGGCCGAAGCACGATCACGCTTGGCACCATGCTTGGTCGGGGCCTCACCAAAAGACGGTTGGTTTCCATAAGCGTTAAACTGTCGTGGTGCTCGTTGGTTTCCCCGCTGTGAGCCGGAGAAAGACTGGGCAGATGAGGATGCATCAAAACCCCAACGTATAGGCGGGCCCATCATCGGCGTCTGCATAGATTGGGTCGCATGCTGATTCGGAGAACCGAGGGAATGATATGCGGCGGTGGATTGTACATTGGGAGAGGCGTAGGATGCATCGTAGCTTGCTTGCCGTTGGTACGGAGATCCAAGTGCTGTCGAAGGTTGCGAAAATTGTTGCGGGGAGGGAAAAGAGGATGCGTTGGAAGGATGTTGATAGCCCGACATTTGAGGAAGAGGCATCTGTGGTGTCGAGATATTGTGCGAAGCAGTAGGAAGCGGTTGAGGTGGATAGTTGGTATAGTTCATCGGCGTATAACCAATACCTGATGATGTTGTCGTAGAATAGGTTGGTCCATGATTGACATGAGGGGCAAAAGAGCCTCCGCGACCAGCACCTCGATTCCCATGTCCTCTGCCGCGACCTCTATTATACCCACCAGAGCCTCGTCCCCCCCGCTGGCCATAGGGACTCTGCCCGTACTGTGAGGGCCCAGGCGGAAAAGTCCGCTGAGACTGTTGCTGTTGCTGAGACGGAGGAGGCGGGGGAGGAGGAGGGAATGAAAATCCCTGGGGACTCATTGCGGGAAGATCTCTGCCTACCCTCAGACGAGTGACAGCATTAACGCCATCATTTCACACCATCTTGAGGATCATCCGAAAAACTTAGTTCGGGCCTTTTGATGGTTCGGCTGATCGCCTCATTAGCACCGAAGCTCAAAGCTGTGTTGTTCCGTTCCGAAACCCGCACTTGACATGTAGTATCACGTGATGCTGGATCTGTCTGTCAAGAAAAATTTCAAGAGAGGATCCGTAAGCTACGATTGGTTGAAACAGACTTCAACACAGCATCAGACAAATTTGTGATTATCATGAACCTGATATAGTTGGACGCAGGACTCCATAGGGGCGGTATCAAAGTCCTAAGCTGTTAATATGGGAATTGAGTCTCGTCTTCATCTTGCCTGTGGAACTGTGTTGAAATAGAAACTACTTACCTACCTACCTCACTGCTGCCCACATATTTCAACATGTTTATTCTTGTCAGTTGCAAATATCCCTCATGCTGTAAATTGATTCTTGCCAGGACAGGGGAACTGACGTCGAGGCAGACAACCGTCTCGGATCTCATTCAGATCTCTCCTGAAGACTTCTCCAAGTACAGCGCTGTCGCCATAGAGGACAACATCAACGAGAAGTATGCAAATAAAGTATGGTCGTCACTCTTCTGACTCCATCAATCCCAATCATTAACATGCTCTATTACTGTAGGTCATTCAAAAGATTGGTCTCTGCATTGGGTTCTATGATCTGTTAGAATCATCAGACGGATTAATCGGTCATGGTACCGGCTTAGTTAATGTCAACGGTACGTCTACATTGTCTGTCAGATGAGAGGAATATCGTTCTGATTGATCCGCTACAGTGAAGTTTCGACTCATTGTCTTCCGACCTTTCAAGGGTGAGATCATGCTTGGAAAGATTTCCAGCGCCACCCAGCAAGGGATTAAGAGTATGTATGGCCATAACTCCGGTCATCTGACACCTACTGATCCATGACAGTCGGGGTTGAATTCTTCAATGATATCCTTGTCCCGCCAGATCTTCTGCTAGATGGTGCTCGTTTGTAAGCTACCCTCATTTTGTGGAACTGTGTATGGACCCTTGTTGACTCGGGGCGAAACAGTGATATTGCCGACCAAGTTTGGGTCTGGGAAAACGAAGACGGCTCGACATTCTATTTTGACATTGGCGAGGTTGTCCGATTTAGAGTTGAGATGGAGGAATGGCATGATCAGATCCCTAATGCCCCAGATCTCGGTGACGGCGCGGCAATTGAACGGAAGCCCCCTTACTCCATCATTGTAAGCATCGTCTACACCCTCTTTCATATGATACACCCGTCATCTAACAAGAATACAGGGATCTATGCAAATGGCTGGTTTGGGACCTGTATCCTGGTGGTGATGGAAAACCGGATGGATCAATCCGCTGGCGAAAAAAGCGCGATTGGGATGCTCTTCATGCGATTTATGCCTTGCTTATGTACATAACGATTAGCCTACTACTGGGCCGGGTTGGAGTTAATGATAGAGGTAGGGGTGGTAATTAAAATGTCAAAATGACAAAAAATGATGTGTCATTTTGACTTTTTTTTTGACGAGGTAATATTTTGTCAGAAAAAGTTGAATTTTACTAGAGCCACTACCGCGGCACTGCCCATGTTGCCATATGCTGGTGGATAACTATCTAAACATGGAATGATATACTCAAAGTATATTTTGATGAGGTGGTCTCATATCCTAGTCAACTCTACTTTACCTTAGCTGACTTCTAGAATCAGGTGACAGAGAAATCTATATAACCTGATTGGTTGAATTTTGAAAAGCTGCTCTCCCATTACCTAGTTACAGGGTGGTGCCCTCTTGTTTCACGTGACATTTTTTATATTATGGCCAGATATTTGACGTACACCACCCCTAGATAGAGGACTACCGCTGAACACATGACGACCATGAAATGACTGCCATTCAAGATAACCACCGGTATGGTGCTTATAAGCAAACATCAAAAGAATGGCGCGATATCTCCTGCGGATGAGGAAATGACAGTAGAGTCGTACTGGAACAATCACCTCATCGGAATGTACGCCATTTGTCAGGACCCAGGGGGTACCGTGGACATGGGAGCCATAGTAACTACTCTATGGGCAGTAAGCTTACAAGCCGCCTCCCCATTTGTCATCAGTCATCACAAATGCATTGGCATGAAAAGAGGCTGAGTTGCTTACATAGCGATGGCTGGAAGATTAATTATCAGCTTCTTTTTCATTCTTACTTTCTTTCTAGAGTGACATTCTCTGCATAAAGATTACCAATTGAATCAATGATGGCTCGGTTAGTACCGGAAACGTTGGTCAGATGGGTATGAGATCCGCTCTGTCATCCTATGGTTCTTTGCAATTGTTGCAGTGTAACGTAAAAGAAATTCGGCAGAGTTTAGTTAGGCTCTGAGGGTTCAAAGACTGTAAATTTAGGAGACCGAAAGACAAAATAACATCAGCATTATTATTAGAGAATCATTGTTGTACAAATGAAACAACTGTCAATAATCATCAGGACAGTAGGTAGGAGTTTGGTTGATTATTAAAAAAACACGAGGAAGTCAATGTGGCGTTTTTTAAGTATCAGATAGCAGGAGTGATCTCACATGGATTAGATAAATAGTAACAAATTTCCCTTGCCGATATAAATTTTTTAAACTCGGTGCCCCTCTCTTATCTTTTTCTTCAAGCGCCCGCGGTCTCGAAAAGTCATAAGTAGATAGATATAGCCTTGTTGCTGACCTATTTTTATTGTTTCTTTTTTTCTCTCTTTTTTTTTTTTACCATCGCTTGTGTCAATAGACTCATCATCTCACAATGACTGCATCCTCCGATCTTCCCTCCCAGAATGGCGCAGGTGCCCAGGAGCTTCGCTTTGGAACATTAGCTGTTCACGCTGGAGCGCCTCACGACCCTACCACTGGCGCTGTCATTGCTCCTGTGAGTGCAAATGGATCGCGTGGCATCAATTGCCTCGTTTTGTGAAGGAAACAGACTAATTGCGTTCTCAGATCTCTCTTTCCACAACCTTCGCTCAGACCAGTGTCGGTAGCCCCGTTGGTCTTTACGAGTATACTCGCAGCTCTAATCCCAACCGGTTAGTAACGCCCTTGGACACACCTGAAGGAATTGTGCATTTGTACATGGGCTAAAACTCCCCCCCAGTGATAACTTCGAGGAAGCTGTCGCGGCTCTTGAACACGGAAAATACGCTCTGGCCTTTTCGTCCGGATCTGCCACCACCGCCGTCATCCTCCAATCCCTCGCTGCCGGCTCGCACGTCGTTTCGGTGGCCGATGTGTACGGCGGAACCCACAGATACTTCACCAAAGTCGCGTCCGCTCACGGCGTTGACGTGTCCTTCACGCCTACAATCGAAGCGGATGTGGAAGCGCTGATTCGCCCCGAGACTAAGCTGGTCTGGATTGAAACTCCCTCCAACCCCACATTGGGCTTGGTCGACATCAGCAAAGTCGCGGCTGTGGCGCATCAGCACGGTATCACTGTGGTGGTCGATAACACTTTCATGAGCCCTTATGTCCAGAACCCATTGGACCACGGGGCCGATATCGTGGTGCACTCCGTCACCAAATACATTAACGGTCACTCGGTACGTCCCAGTCTCTAATTGTGGACCAAGCCGCTTACTGACGTGATAACAGGATGTTTTGATGGGTGTTGCGGCCTTCAACTCGGAGGCTCTGAAGGAGCGTCTCACATTTTTGCAGAACGCCATTGGCGCTGTTCCATCCCCATTCGACTGCTGGCTCGCCCACCGTGGTCTCAAGACTCTTCATCTGCGTGCTCGTGAGGCGACAACCAACGCTACTTCCGTCGCTAAGGCCCTTGAATCCTCTCCCCATGTTATCTCGGTCAACTACCCCGGTCTGGATTCCCACCCCCAGCGGGCCATTGCGGTCAAGCAGCACCGCAACGGAATGGGTGGCGGTATGCTGAGCTTCCGCATCAAGGGTGGCCAGAAGGCGGCCCACCTCTTCTGCGAGTACACCAAGGTCTTCACCCTTGCTGAGAGTCTGGGTGGTGTCGAGTCTCTTTGCGAGGTTCCCGCCAGCATGACACATGCCGGTATCCCCAAGGACCAGCGCGAGGCCGTTGGTGTCTACGATGACCTCGTCCGTATGAGCTGCGGTGTCGAGGACGTTGAGGATCTCACCGCCGATACCCTCCAGGCGCTCGAGAAAGCTGTTCTCGCTAGCCAGCAGGTGGCCAACGGATCTGCTTAATTAATTTTCCTTTATCCGGGAAATAAAAACATAGACGACATTATAACGCTGAAATGATAGATTTTGGAGCATATAAAAACAGGAAGCAGTCATGTCAATGCAAACCTTCGTTCGAGCTTGGGGGCTATTTAGCCATCCCTGCCGGATTATCATCATCGTTACCTACGTTACATAGAGAAAGGAGATTAGATTCTAATGTTACTTGCATACTTGCATTTCTAAGAATGATCAACCATTGATTGCTGTTGGTATACTGTACATCTGCTTAGTCATCTGATTGCTGCATGGCGAAAATTTTGAATCACGAAGTGATATACTCAATCAGAATATGGCTATTATTCTTCAAAGATTGCAAATTGGAAATATATGTCTTCCTCTTCGTTCAGACTCACCATTAAATCTACTTCTCGGCTCGGTTAGAATATCTAGACTGCGTTGCGGTTGTGCCCATCTCGCTTCGGATATGGTAGTTGAAGTGGGATGAAAGGCTAAGAAATATCCAAGAGAACAGCAACACTGCGCAAGAGAATTACCATCGTACATCAAAAATACAAAAACCTATCTGATTTTGATCCTGCACAGTTGGCATTTACATATACTCACAATGGCATCTGCATTCAGTTTCGGCTTCGCAGGTGATGACATTGACGTCGATGAGAATGACATGAGTGGTGTTGAGGGAACAGAGATGAGCAATGCTGCGCAATCCAGTCCTCAGGTCACTGGGAGTTTAATCGAGCCTCAAAAACATGATATGGCGGAATGGGTAAGTTCTAGTCAAAGATCTATGACTTCCCCCTTCTTCGTAAGAGCCTGAATACAGAGATAGCTGTGGTGGCTGGCTTCAAAGAGAGTAGATGGAAAAAAAGAACAAGAAAGATGACTGAGAAGGTTTCTGGAGCCGATTGACCATGTATCTAACCATATCCCAGGTCGCAACTTTGCCATCGCAAATATCGTACAATAAACTCGTGATTAACACATCGCATGGCGGACGTGAAAGGACTTTTTTTACCCTTGCGCGTCGCGAAGTCTTTGACATTCGAACTCAGCTGATGGCCGAAGATGGCGCCGACCACGAAAACGAGGAGCTCATCCTCGGGTTGGAAAAGGGCGACATCAAACCCACTTTCTACGAGGGCGGCTTCAAGACATGGGAATGTGCCTTGGATTTGGCCAAGTTGGTTGTCAGTGAAGATCTGCCCCATCAGACAGAGGATCAGCACATCATTGAGGTTCGTACTTATATCCTGCGTCCTCCTATCGGAATCTGTGAAGTTCCGTTGTACGATCAGATATTGATATTGGAGACTTTATAGCTTGGTGCTGGGACCGCAGTGCCGTCACTCATTCTCTTCGCACAGGCACTATCGCGGCCAGAGCCAGCGAAGAGCAGGATTCACTTCACACTGGCAGACTACAATTCCGCCGTTCTTCGACTGGTCACGCTCCCGAATCTGCTCCTGACCTGGAATCAACTAGTGAAGCATCGGGAAACGTCCTCGCCGGAAGGTACCCCGTGCGACGAGCAGCCCGACGAAGAAGAATTAGACATCACGCCGGAGCTCGTGGAGAGCTTCCAGAAAGACCTTGCAGCTCGGAATATCACTCTCGAGTTCATTTCCGGCGCCTGGTCTCCTGCCTTCGTCGATCTAGTCTTTTCATCCTACGGCGAAGGTAAAGGCAAGACGTTGATTCTGGCGAGTGAGACTATATACTCACCGGCCTCGTTGGCGGCTTTCTCTGAGACTCTGATTGCATTGCTTCGCCGGTCTGGGAATGAGCAGGCGCGGAGCAAGTCTCTCATCGCTGCCAAGAAGGTTTATTTTGGCGTTGGAGGGGGCGTTGACGAGTTCGTATCAGTGCTGAGGGGTCTCAATGGAAGTGATCTGGATGTGGAGGAGCAGGTGGACATCGACTCGGAAGGGGTTGGTCGGGTCATACTGAAAATCGAGTGTAAAAGTACTTGAGCAAACAATTCAAAATCATGAGCGTGGCTATGATGAATGACTTCTAATGATCCAGCCATCGGGACTTATAGAGATAGATATAACAACAAAGCAATTGTTGACGAAGCTACCTGAAATATTCCTGTAATATGTACAACGTGCCTCCTATTCGTGTCTAACACCGACCGACATTGTCCGAGAACGAAATGGAAGAAAGAGTTAAATTCTGTCTAGTCATATAGAGACACAACCTTGCCGTCCTTCATCCGTGCGACACGAGCCTCTTCCATCTGCTGGTGTTCCCGCTCGTAGTGCGCAACGACAGCGCTCATGTCCACGGAAGAACCGGCAGGGACATTGTAAGGAGGGGAGGTGTTGAAGCTGACCCTGTGGAGCAGAAACCGGCATATTAGCTTTCGCTCTTTGGGGGAAACACAAGCAATCATGAATGTACGTACTCAGGCTGCTTCAGCTCAAAAGTGGCTCTGGGGCCCTGGGACAGGAACAGGTGGCGGTCGTGAGCGGCCTTCTCCATGAGCACAGTATGAACAGCGTTTCTCTCTTCAAACACTCTCTCCGAGGGAGTCCACTTCTCGATGAGGCTGGAGATCCACGACTGTGACCCGGACTGCTCAGTGGACTGGCTCACACGATAGAGAGCGTAGGCAGCGGCAAAGGTACCAAAGGTCACATAGAAACTGCGCTGTTAGAAACCCAAGCAGTGGGAGTCAGCGATTGAATGATCTCTGCCGTGCATAGGGAGATCCAAAACGTACGCCGAAGCTCTCATTGACGGGCTCGGCATGAGCTGCGTGCGAGGCAAACCGGCGGGGCTGCTGGTAGCGCAGCGCCTGCCGTGCCGATGCAAATGATTGTCTAGCGAAAGACATGGTGTGGTGGGAGGCAATTGGCAACGCCGAACGATAATGACGATGATGCCGTCGCCGGATGATTTGAGGTTGGAAACAGCGCGAGGGCGGATCGATGATTATCACGTGATTATATCTGAACTGGGTTTAGCGTGTACCCGATGCCTTCTGACTTGGACCTCATCATGAAAGTAGGACAAGATAAAATATGGTGATATTCAGGAGATATTCTTTCTATACCAATTGAGAGTCGAAAGAACGCGCAAAATAATTGATTGAGTCGATATCATGAGAGGAAATCTATGATGCATGTCTTGGAGGATGGTTTCGACATCGACTTGCCTGCTCAACAAATGCAGAGATGATTTACCTCAAGTGGTGCTGACATTATTGGAATACATCTCATCAATGGCAATCACAAGAGTGCACAACCTAGCGATACTTTGAAAAAAAAAAAAAAAACCAATACTGAAGCGGGAGGTTTTCATTTGGCCATGTTTGTACGGATAGATGCCATAGCCTCCCGAAAGTCGAGCGTGGTGCAAGCCTACCTTAGATCTGGCATGAAATGACCTGCTATGGCACCATGCCGATCTGACATTTCGTCTCTACCTTATTTACCTAGGGTATTATATGAAGCACATAAAGGTACAGGCCCTAGCACTGGTACTCCTGATGGACCTTCGAGCGCTGATGCCCATCTGTATCTGCTGTCCAATGCTTCTGATCACCTTCTGACGAACAGGGCCTGAACTATGACCTGGCGTTACCTGAATCTGATGTATGACACAAGTAACAAAGCAGTAGTACAAAAATTTATGGCGACATAGCTTATCCATACACCACGTATCCTTTGACATTGTGCCTTACATGACAGTTCTTCCGGAAGCCTGAACCTGAGTTAAGGAGAAGTATGGCTGATACTCAGATTGCAAGTTGACACATCCATCGCCAACAAAGCCTCCCGAATTTTCTAGCATCCAAAATAGAAGGATTTTGAACAGCCATCCAACTCCCTGGCCTTAAGGGGGCCATCAGGTACTGCAGGAGTCGCAAGTGTTTTGTAGTACTTCCAGACTGCCCTAACCTTGGGCCCTAACACTAGGCTGTTCTCGTGCTAAGTCACCTGATTCTCCTGCCTCTGCCCAATTAGGTAAGAACATCATTGCTGCCAGAAAGTCTTTACGACGGAGTAGAATGATAGTAATCATAGTACTACTACGTAACCTGAGCGTTCACCCTTCACTCTCCAGCCTGACTTGACTGAATGTTGAGTTCTAGATCAGCTGATGGTCCAATGGAGTTTCAGGTTAACAATTATTAACTACCCGACAGGTATCGTTATTGCTATTTTCCATCAGATCCAGATGGATGACCGGCTTGTTGTGATGCCCAGCCACCTCGACCGCCTGAAGGTGTTTACCATGTTCAGTGCTGAGGGTCCGAACTCACATGTACGGAGTACAGAACCTAGTCATGTCGGACTTGTGAGCTTCATGGTGATTGGGCTTATCATCTCGAGTCCTGCTTTTTGAAATATGAAAAACCAAATGGCGGGTCGCTTTGTTGTCGACTTGTCTCATCGACAATGGCTGCTCTAAATTCCACACCGCACTATTTCTGTCCAGGCGGTCCTGCAGTGATGCACTGCGGACGAACTAACTGCCTCACATTCAAAATGGCGCTCCCCACTGTTCTTATTGGGCTGAAGCTCATTGGGTTTCTTCCCTGTTGCCAATCAATGCGGGCCTCTGATGTTCAAACGTCTGGATATCAAGGGGGACATGTCATCGATCTCCAGTGCGGTAACCCCCACATCCCTGCCTCCGACTGAGGACAGTTACAACCTATCTACACTTCTAGTCTTCTACAGCATCCAGGCTTCTCGCCTGCAGTTTCACCATGGAGAAAATCATTTTGAGCTCTTGACAAATTACAGCGCTCTCCAGCTTATGTCGCGTGGATACTGTGCGCTTTGTCGTGTGGATTCATGCTCCTTTTCTTTTTTTTCTCCATACTATCGGGTAGGCACTGCGTTCTGATTGATCCTGTGGCCTTGGAAGACCGGATTTTTCCTTTTGATGCCCAACGCTTCTCAGTGCCCCAAAGATCCTTAGAGCCTGCATTGGTGCGAAACCGAGATTACTGACCCATACTTCTTGTTGCTGTTTTTGCACCCAAAACTGCGGTGTTGAATCGCCTAACTGACGACTGGCGGGAGTTATGAGTTGTGACTCGAACAACCATGGATACTGATGGGAATCAGTACTCGACTAAGGTTCGGTCCGTCATTCCGCCTCGTCCAGCCTCCCTGAGGCTGGATAATGGACTCTCATCGTGTGCAACCGGGTACTTTGGGCTTGAATCCAGTCGGTGTTATTAGCTGACCTGTTTTCCTGTTGACGGCTCTTCCATTGATGTCTCCTTCCACTCACACACACACACACCTCACTTACCCCAAGCCCCGCGAAGTGGGTGTCGGCCCTCGTTTCCAAACCTGCCTACTTGCTTTTCGAAACAGACGCCTGACATCGGGTGACTTGTCTTCGTGGACTCAAACTATTTGCGACCACACGCATGCTTTGACTGCGCTTCGGAAGTCTTTTCTTTTCTCCCCGAATGCATGATTATTTTTACATCAGCATCATCATTGCCTGATCATTCATCACTCGCCTTCCTTTTCCTGATTGATCGATCCTGACGCATAACCTTCTGTAACCATATCGAGCCAGAGTATATCTTCAGGCCCCGCCGGACGCGCTTGCAAACGTACAGTCTTGAAGTAACAGCGACCCAATCGAGAATTTGCTGACACAGTTATCGCTTCCACATCAGAATCCAGCTTACTGGGAACACGTCTACTAGTATCGCTCACACTTGAACTCGCCTCACTCTACCACAATGGCGGGGTCAGGCAAGAAGAGCAAGGGCAAAACTGGGGGCAAGCAAAAGAATAAGAAGGGAAAGACCCAAGAGACATCTGAGAACCCAGTCGAGCCTTCTACTCTTGAACAGCAGGATCAACCACAACAACCAGAACCAGAACCAGAACCAGAGGTCGAAGTCGAATCTCAACCAACTCAGGCTCCTGAAGCCGAGCCCAATCCTCCCTTAGATCCTGTCCCGGAACAAGGACAGGACCCGGAACCAGTCCCAGAGCTGGAGCACCCTCAACCCATTGCTGAGCAAGCTCCGGCTGCACTTGAGAATTGGGATCTTCCTCAAGCATTGACAAACATCGATGAGGATGGCTCCCTCCAAGTAGCTAGTCCAGATGCTCCCCCAAGCCAGCCACAGACATTGAGTGATGTTCAACATATCTTTGAAGCGGCTCACGAGTCAATCCTAGAGGAATTAGCGGCACCGGAACCCGTGGCAGAGCCTGCAGAAGCGAACCTTGAGAAGAACGACACACTGGTTGAACAGAGTGACGCTGTGGAGCCTGCAGAGCCTACCCTAGTAACAGCACCCCAAACCCCTTCGTTCTCAACAGCAGGGGATTTCTTCCCACAGCAGTCCCCTTCTTTGACCGAAACACCGCACGTCGAAACTGCCCCGCGCTCGAATACCGCCTCTCCAACGCTAGACATTTCCGCTGAAGCTGAAGCTGAAGCTAGAGCCCAAGCTGAAGCTGAAGCCGAAGCTTTGGTTGAAGCTGCCAAAGCTGAAGCTGCCGAAGCTGAAGCAACCGAAGTCGCCCAAGCCGAAGCCGATCCATCGCCACTCCAGGAAGAGCCTATTGAATCCGCAGAGCAGACCAACCCACCAGAAGCAGCCCCTGCGTCGCCTGCTCCACAACCTGCTCTGTCTTCACGAGCAGTATCTCCTGCACCTTTCGCAGCGGAGCCTGCTTCGCCCGTCGTACTGCCGGCCTTGTCTCCACGTGCTGCATCCCCTGCGCCTGTGACAGCAGACCTTGCCTCGCCCGGTACACAGCCTGACTTTTCTTCGTGGGCTGCATCAGCAGACTTCTCTGAACAAGACGCATTTTCCTCTGTTTTGCAGACAGCGGCGCCTGCCTCGAAATCACCATCCCCCGCCCCGCAAGCTGCTTCCCCTGTGTATCAGCCCGCCTCCCCTGCATTCAACTCAACCTCGCCTGATTTCAATCCCTCATCGCCGGTTTTCCAGGATATACCACCTCAACATCGAGCGGGGTCTCCATATTCTGCTTCGCCGGTGCAAAGGATGGCGTCTCCAATGGCCAATCCGGTTTCTCCTCTGCAAAAGTATGCGTCACCTTCTGCAAAGCCAGCTTCTCCGGCTGTAAAGAATAGCAGCCCGCTTACTCGGGCTTATATGTCTCCGGCAATGTCGCCAAATGCTATGCCACTAGGACCACCACCGCCAGCTCACAGCGTGCCTCCCTCGATCGCTCCTGGCTATGCCCCCGCTTATCACTCACCTGTGTTGAGTTCTGCGGGCTACCTGCCACCATATGCTCCTCACTATCACCAGCCGTCTCCAAATATGCTCCCGACTCATCGAGGCTCGATCGACCCCCATTACGCCTCGACCTTCCAAGCACTTCGAGATATGGGGCTGCCAAATGGACATGGTGTCAACGACAAAGGGACCATATCTCCTCCCCATGAGCATGACGAGCCTATTGAACTTCTGCAGAGGATTCAGGATGCCATTCCCGACATCAACCGCTTGCTCAGTGGCTATCGCAATACGAAGACCAAACTCGTCGCTCGCGAGGCAGAGTTCAAGCAGATGGAGAGTCAGCACGAGCAAGCATTGATGCACAAGGACTTTTACATCGAAGCGCTGCAGAATCAGATGAGGAAGGCGGCAAATGAGAGTGTGGAGGAGACAACGAAACTCAAGAACACGATCAATGAACTGCGAATGGAACTGGGCAACCTTGAGGAGAAACGAAAGGACCTGGAAGAAAACCTCGCCGAATCCGAGAAGTCCAACCAGGAGCTTTTGGAAGTCAAGTCTGACCTCGAAGGACAAGTCGCCACTCTCAACACGAATATGCAAGAGGCACAAGAAGCACACGAGAAAGAATTGGAACGTCGAGAGGTGGAGAAGACTGAAGCGCTTGCGAATCAGAAGCAAGAATTGACTGAACTTTTCGAAGAAATCAAGGCTGAGGATGAGAGGGCTGCAGCAGAAGCTCTGGAAGCTCGCGAAAAAGAACTACTTGATCAGCAAGACGCAATGAAGACAGAATATGAAAACGAAAAACAACAGATGCAGGAATCACGCAATGCACTCCAATCCGAGTTTGACGCCAAGGTAGTCGAGCTTGATGCGAAGGTTACGGAGTTGGAGGCAACGCACAATGAACTGAACTCCACGAAGACTGCCCTCGAGGACAAGCAGAAAGAGCTGGAGGAGACCCTGGAACAGAGTGCTCAGGAGATCGAACAGCTCAAGAACAGCCATGAGGAGAAAGTTACTGAGATGGAGAATCAATTCAACCAGAAGGAACAGATTTGGGGTGAAGAACGCACCGAATTGGAAACTCGGATATCTGAGAAGTGCGCTGAACTGGACGACAGCTTACGTGAGAACAAGAAACTGGAGGAGGATAACGTGCTCAAGGAACAGCAGCTTCAGCATGCAGTGGGTGGAATGCGCACCACCATTGACAACCTGGGCCAGGACTGTGATAGACTGAGGAAAACCCTCCACAGCCTGGGAGAAGCAACTGACCTGAAGAGCACGAAAGGAGACACATTCTTGTAAGTGACCTATTGTGTTGAGAGAGTATCTCATCTCGGGCGCCACATTTTCTTTCATTGATTGAATTCTATGATCATTCACATTTCATATTCTTTTCTCGGCTTTTTTCTTCTTGTTTTACCCTTCATACATTCATTTTCTTTTCCTTTTTCTTATGACCAGACTGAACCAAATACGCTCTTTTGCACTTCTCCTTTGTTTTTTTCTTTTCAACTGATATACATATTCTTCGGCTTCTATAATTTCTGTTCTTCTTTCTGCTTTTCTCTGTTTTTGTTGCTTCGCCTATAGAATGATCACGATGATATGTCGATAACGTTATAAATGTACCTGTTCTGATAATTATCTCCAATCTAGTTTGGACTGTTTCGACCAGCTTTCTCGTCTTATTGTCTCCTTGTCCAAGGAACACTTTACGTACCTTCCAATTGATCCTCCGAAAGACATCTTGTCTAAGATTCCCCCGGAGCTGCCATCGTTCCTTGATAATACGCCAGCGTCGCGCGAACTGCGGTCAGCATATGTACAACATGTCGTTTCGAAGACCTTGACCTACCGGATTTTCCAGCCGTTCCTGTTCACCTTGGGCAGACGATACGACAAAGCGGATACCTTCTTCCAGATGCTCTCTATGGATATCCGGCGTAAATCCGTGAGGCGCGAAGCTTTCTGGCGACAGCAGACCCTCAAGGCAGCATACACCACATCTGACGCCAAGCAGTCAATCAACGTTGTGGCAGGCGTGATTGTGGACGAGATCATCAATCAAATCAAGCATTTCGCCGACCCTCGCCATTTGGACTCTCTGCTCGTCAGCGTGCGCAAGATCGTCAAATTGGCGGCCGAGACCTGGAGACTTGCCCGTGTGGAAAGAGAATTGATTCTGGCCACCCTCCCGGCCCCGGACGCTGAAGAAGTCTCCAACGACGGTTGGGGCGAGTACGGCACCGCCAAAGAAGGCGGAAGTAGTCCTCGGGCTGGTCCCAGTCGCCATGTCATCCTGCGAACGTTTCCCCAGATCACTCGGGAGGCCGCGCACGAGGACTTCGCTGAGGATGCAGAAAAGGCCAGCCCTTGCACATACTCCCGAGGGATGGTGCTGTACTCCGACTCACCGATTGTGATGGCACGCCTCCAAGAACTCGCTAAGAAGTCCACTGAGACACTCTCCGGCGGCGAGGAGTCGCCCCAGACTGGCTCGAGAGGTTCACTCCGTTCTCGCAAGGATAAGTCTTCCTTTGAGGGGAATGGATCTCCGGACAAGGCTGTCGATGCTGACGACTTTGTGCATGTCTAATGAGCGCTAAGGTGTACTTGGTTTTTTAAGGTATCTGTCCGCATACTGACATAGAGGTGTTTATCGGGTTGAGTATTCTCATTTTCCTTGGCGTTAATCTGTCTTTGCATTACACATTCTCGAGCTTGATAAAGCCGATTCACTCTTTATTGAATTCCTTCCCTTTGTCTTCGAACGAAACCCGTTGATTCTTCGATTCTGACTCCCATTTACTTTGTGTTCATGGAGGTTGCTGTGCATTTATATAATATATCTTATGTGTCCGCTTCGATTTGTATCTTCTCCTACTGTTTTTCTTCTTTCTGGTTTTTTTTTTTTTTATTTTTTTTTTAAATCTTTTCGGGTAGAGGCAACCTCCCGTCTTATCTCATATTGTAATTACTCGAATATTCTGTTTTGATGGGTTTTTGATGCATGGTTTATACGGAAGCAGCGGACATCTATTGTTTTCAAGGCCAGTTCAGGATATATTATTTCCATGGTTAGCGCGGATCAGACATGTATACTCAAGTGAAAATGAGAACTTTTTTACCCAGATCAATCCAAGCATACCATGTGCTCCCTTCGCCAGCGATAGATAGAGAACTTAGCCATTAAGAGGGCCGTCCCTTTCTCCACAGCACAGGATCATAGATCGGGGGAGGGAAGGGAACTACACAGAGTACTTACTCCCTGCCGTGAGCTGCGCAGTCTCAACCAAAGTACCGTTGGAGGCGACAAACTGAGACATATGTAGGGCTCAGCAGTCAGCAGCCAGCACCGCCACCTTTTCTGTGATGTCAAGAAGCTGGCGGCCGAGTGGACACTGGCGGCCTCCGGGACCTGATTTTTCCCATGTTCGTCTCTGGTGCGCAAGAACAAAAAAAAAAAGCTTGTTTTGACTTCAACCAGCGATGCTGACCTGCAGCCGGTGCAATCTGATGGCTTCTAGGTCTGCATTGAACTCGTTGTGTGGTTGGGATCTGGCTACGAAGTTCAGTGTCGCCAGCGACAGTTTCTCATGGTGGATATTCAGATTCGAGGGAAAAGGTTGGGAGTGTGGTTGTTGGTTGTTGGTTTTGGGGGGGGGGGGGGGGGTTCGGATATGCCGTGGTAACAGGCTTGCTTTGAGCTTAGTGAAACGTGGCTTAGAAAGGAGGGTCCAGACTTGGAGGGAGGTGAGGCAGTACACTGTACCGACTGCAGAGAGAATGTTGTACTCCGTAGAATGGGGTGATGGTGACGATGCACAGCCGCAGACAGGGCGGACTGGGCTTGATGTGATGAGTGGACACCTGAGGCATCCATGGTGGTAGGGATTGTTGGGTTTACTATGGGGAGGTGATTGGTGGATATGCCTGGTATGAGAGCCGAAGATGTTCTATCATCTCTCTATAGCTCTTATGCAGTAGCTCTTGTAAAGAAGGAATGTTGTTTCTTATGATTTGATTCTACGGGTATGAACCTCCAATCTCTCTAAAGTGTCTAAACATCTCTGACTCTCTGTGTTGTGCACAGGTAAAATCAGTGGAGCTCGTAGTGGAGAGAGGATTTAAGAATAAATAAACAACAGTCGCTGATCCATGGATGGGAACATGGCGATGTCCACATTAGTTACAGATTACACTTTTACCGTTCCTGATCCATTGGGTATATGATCAGTATCTAGAGCATCAAAGGAATCCTAAGGTATCTTCCTTCGAGTCTGGGAATAATAGATCGCAAGTCGGTTAACTGCAGACAGCCTGAGAATCCAGGCTACAAATCACCGGGCTGCCAAGAACAGCCGAACCGGATTACTCAGCCGAGATTGATGAAGATCATCCAAGTTAACATCTTCAACAATCTTCAGCCCACCACCCCTCCATGTGTGGTTATTGAGAGAGTATTGAGAGAGAACAAGAGTACATAGATATCGTGATGATGCGGATGTTGTGAACTGGCTATGATAGATACTGAAATGAAACTGTTTCTCCCTTGGTAGTTATCAATAATTATTTCTGCCGTCTCTCTCGTCTCTACTCTGTACCGAGTACATACGGAGTACATAGTACATACAGAGTCACCACCATCTCAACCCCGCTCTACGCTCACTGGCCGACGATGCGCCCAAAGTCTGACGCCGGCGTCCTTTTTGCAGTCGTCTAAAGAATTTAGGGTGAGTCCAGGAATCAGACTACAGTAGAAAGAATCACCCATCCTTGATAGTTACAGGAGGATAATAACCACTGCTACTCTGTTATTTCCAAGGAAGAAGAACCATCCATGCCATCCGGACTTCATTGACTCTCATCATAATGTCCTTGTGCTGCTGCTGCTAATAATAATACCAACCTAACAATCAAACAACACGCCTACTACTACGGAGTAACTAGGTAGATAGGTATCTCTCTATCGACTAAATACGCTTCTCCCTCAGCCGCAAGGCTTTCTCGAGTCTTGACCAACTCTTACTTTTATTAATACTCCAAGCTGTCTATCTAACTATTCATTGTCGTCTGTCTTGTGATAACTGGACAAGACACTAGAAACTAGATGGACTAGAGACATTATTATTCTTCTTCTTCTTATTATTATTATTACAATATCGTCTGTCAACCACTCTTCTGCTTTCTTTCTCCTTTTCCCTTCCTCCCTCTTCTTCCTCTTCTTCATCCTCCGTCTTTTCCCCTGCCAGGCACAGTCTCACAGAGCACGCCTTCCATTTCCCCGCCTGTCGCAGCAAGCCATTCCACTTACAATCGTATTTCTCTTCCCTCTCTGGTGTAACTCCTCCTCTTCGTTCTTCTCACTGAAGTTGATCCAATTTACCGATGGCTTAACTCACACAGAACAGCCGGATTACAGAAGGATAACCACTCCGCTGGCTATCATCATTCTAAAGTATCCCGATACGATTCACCTACGCTGGTTTCAATCGACATCCGTCCCAATAGCTTCCGCCATGCACTCCTCATAATAAGCTAAGACAAGTTGCTACTTCCAGAGTCCCCCCCCTCCTCTCCCATCTCAAGTTTTATTCCTGTGGCTCTTCGACCACGATCCAGGAGTGGACGCTTGTGATATCTTCTCTGCAACCATGTCGACATTATCTCCCCAGCTGGTTGGCAGTGATTCCCCGACCAACATGGCTTTCCCTCACTCCAATTTTTCCGATCCTTATCTATCCGCACCGATAGACCCTGAGCAGGCTGCCTTCAAGTCGTCGGGTATCAGATTGACCCCGGAGCCGACCCAACAGGACCTGCGCGAGCTGTCAACGTCTCCTCTCAACCACGGCGGGAACAACGATTCCGCACGGGGCGCGGATACCGCCTCCTTCCATACGACAGGTTACACCACTTCCTATTCGGATTTCCTGAGCCCGGTGGACGATCTGTCGAGCGATCTGAGTGCTCATGCATCGCCCAAAGGCGAAATCACCACCACCACAGGAGGTGTGAGCATGGAGCTGCATCCCGAGTTCAGTGGATGGCGGCAAGATATCGTCGCATCACATCTGTTGCACGCTCCCCTTGACGAGCAGTCCGTGGCAATGGATGTCCCAAATCTTGCACAGCCTCATCTCCTGACTCCGGATCGATCGAACAATCCGAGCCCGGATTCGGTTCAAGACAATGGTGGAGAGCAGAGCGGCCCAAACGCGACGCGACATCCTGCACAGATGCTTACTGTGGTGACGACTTCTCTGAAAGACACCCTGGGTGTATCTCCCGTGTCCGGAATGACGAGGATTAGGAGTCCAATTGTCATGGTGGAGAGCTACTCACGCGGCGATTCTCCCGTGAGAGAAACATTCGCAACAGCGCGACGGCCAAGCCAGTCCTCTACACATCTTTCGCCGGGCGGCGGCTCGGAAGATGGAGACGTCGAGGGCACGTGGCACACATCTACCTATTCGGTTCCACGGGCAGATGATGGTTCTTGGCTTCGCAACGGAACTACAGGTCACGCCGGTGTTGACCCTGCTGCCCGAGATGATACGTACATCCTCAGTCCAAATGAGGTGGAGTCACAGCGACGGCTGGAAGAGAAGAAGGCAGATATTCGTGCCTGGTCTGCTTCGGTCAGTGTGGCTAATAGCGAAGCTGGTGATGATGCCCCTCACCCTCGAGGTCGCAAGATCCCGGTAGGTAACCGTCGCCGGGCGAGGAGCGCCGGAGACCCTGCCCCGCAGCAGGATTTCTTCAACTTGCAGTTCGCAACCCAGCAGCCTGAGCTCCCGGGACCTGGCGCATTGCTTCACGTAAGCAGCGACGACGGGCTCAGCGATAACGAATCCGACACCGATGCCAGCCGATCGGAGTCACCCGCAGCGAGTGTAAACGAAGCCAAATGGGCTGATGGGGATCTCGCAAGTTTACCGTCAAATGGCCAGCACAAGCTTGAGGATAAAGAGCCTGCAGCTCATCAATTCCTCGCTACTCGCCCATGGCAGGATCCAGTGCATGATCCCACTCCAAGCTCCGCTCAAACGCAGCCTCCGAGCTCGAATGCGGCCATCGCAGAATATCAACGACGCGCTCGAGAACTGGATGAGTTGTCGCGGTATGCCACCTGGGGCACAAGACCTATCAGTGAGGTGGATGTGAACAGTATCATCGGGGCAGGCGGATCTTTTGCCAAGATGTCTATCAGCAAAGACTCGAGCCAACGGCACACAAGGCGAAGTAGCCTCAGAAAGTTTTTCGAGCGAAAACCATCGATCAGTGGTCTCAAGAGGCCGTTGTCAGAACTGACCATCAGTCAACCAAACAATCAAAGCCCCACACACGAGGAAGGCATTAAGAACCCACCCCAGAGAAAGGACAGCTTTCCCCCCCGAAAACTCAGCCTGGGAAGAAGCCCCAAGTCCCCCAGTCTCAGCACAGGCGGGGCTGTCATTGCAATTGCCGGCCAGATGGCTGCCATTGGAGGTCGTGATCCATTGAATGCAGTATCACCGCGCTCGACATCCAGTCCGTGGACCAGACTCAATCGAGGGCGAAGCCGTAGCGAAATCACACGGGCCCCTGCGCCCGGTCTGATAGACTTGATGACGAGTCACGGGGGTCCGCCTGTTCCAAATATTGCATACTCCCGAGCCATTACCTCTAACAACCGTGGGATCCAGCCGGTGGCATCCCGACCGCAGAACGACACAAGGGATGATGAAGATGACGATGATGACATGGCCGATGAAAAAGGATTGATGATGGACTTTCCGGTCCTCACCCGTCTGCCCGTGCCTACAATGGAAGGGTTCAAGACTCAAATCTCGCAATTGAATCCTCGTCTGCAGCCGGCATTGATCGATCGTCTCGCCAATGAGCAGGTTCGACGCTATAAGAAGTTGGTCGAGAGCAAGGCCAACCATGCTCGTGCCGTGGGCAAAAACAAATGCTCCGCTGGTAAATTTTGCTTCTCACAAGGCGGCGAGGCTGCCATGTTGCCTCCGCGTACTGTTGCCAATGACCCCGATGGCGCGTACACCCAATTCCAGATTACGGGTCACGACGGAGAAGATGAAGAACCCCCTGCGCTGGGGGAAAATGCCGTGACCGCGGCTCAATTCCCCCAAGGGGTCCCATTACCGCCAGTCAAGCGGCTTCCAGCCGAATTCGAGTGCTCAATCTGTTTCAAAGTCAAGAAATTCCAGAAGCCATCCGATTGGACCAAGCACGTCCATGAAGATGTGCAGCCGTTCACTTGCACGTTTCCCCACTGCAACGAACCCAAGTCCTTCAAGAGAAAGGCAGATTGGGTCAGACATGAGAACGAACGGCATAGGAAGCTGGAATGGTGGACCTGCAATGTTCCTGATTGCCACCATACGTGTTACCGTAAGGATAATTTTGTGCAGCATCTTGTCCGAGAGCATAAGATGCCTGAGCCCAAGACCAAGAAGGCCAAATCCAAATCTGGAGGGGCCAGGAGTCAACAAAATGCGCTCGTATCTGGCACAGGGGAGGAAAGTTTGTGGGATCTCGTGGACAAGTGCCATCACGACACTACCAAAGGGCCCATGGAGGAACCCTGCCGGTTCTGTGGCAACGTCTGCAGCAGCTGGAAGAAACTGACAGTCCACTTGGCCAAGCACATGGAGCAGATTGCCATGCCTATCCTAGCGCTTGTACAGGAGAGAGAGCTTTCTTCCAGCACCGATGCCGGGCTCGCTCCCAAAGCCGTCTCATACCCTGGTGGCTCAGTCGCCAAAGGAGTCGCTGCTTTTGCACCTGCGCTGGAAGGGGTCAGGACTGAATCGGACATGTCAATAGGCTTCACGCAGGCACCATACACCAGCAGCGAGGTCGAAAGGCCCGAAAGCTTTGGAGCGCCGTTGCACCCAACATACCCACCCGCATCCACATCCACCACCTTACAGGGAGAGTACCTGTCGGCGGAACCCGAGTCGATGATTGACAGCACTATGAGCTCCCCATATGGATCCCGGGGCGATATCCCGGGGCAGTTAGGGGTGAACCCACCGCAATTCATGCCTGTGCATCAGAACTCAGTAACCTACCCGCCCCCTTTCAACGCTGGACCCCGATCTAGGCTGTCCGCCCAGGATCTAAGCGTGTTACAGAATCCGTATCACTTTTCCGCATCACCCACGGAGATGCACGCGACATATGATCCTCAGGGCATCGTTCACATGTCACCCTCCTCTGTGGAGCCTGACCATACCTATCAGGGGCGTATTGGCCAAGCCACATCGTATTCGTACGATCCTTCCGTGCGCTACTCCCACCAGTTCTAAGGTCGAGTGATTCGAGTTGTCACTTTTCAGCCGCCGGCGATGATCATCCGCTCGAGATTGGTTTTTATTCTGTGGACATGATTGATGGTCCCATTTGCATGATACCCGACCGCACCATGTCGGTCCATCACCTGCTATTTTTTTTTGTTTTTTTTTTTTTTTTTTTCTGTCTCTTTCTTTTCTCCCCTCTGTCATTCCTGTTTATCTGATTTATGGAGTTCGTACTTTGTACTGCCTTGGAGTTCCGTCTCTTGTTTCCACTATAAATGTATGTTCTTGTTCCTGCTCTGACTGACTGTCTTATTTGCTTTGCTTGTGTTGTGGACGATATGTGGAAAATATGGGCTGTGTAACATGAAATGAATTCGAAGTCATGGGGTTCACTTTTCAGCCGAAGTGAGTCTCGCTAGCATTATCCATCCCCAAGAACAATGTCTCTTCCTCATTGTCTGGTCGAAAGATCGATCCTCTGAGGATCTCTCTCTCTCTCTCTCTCTCTCTCTCTCTCTAGACAGCCTGACTGTGGGTCGAACATCAGCCAGGGTTAAGTGACGTGATATGATGAGTCGAACTAAGCACAACATGGGAGGGGGGATTCAGCTGGCGTGAGAGACTGGACTTGGACTTGGACTTGAACTGTATGAATGAATCCGTGGAGATGAGGACTTACGAACCTGAAAAGCTTTGATGAAGCAGTGAAACAATAGATAGATGTACAGGTACATAGATAGATAGTCAAGGAGGGATTCTCATGATCCGCGTGAGATGAATGCATTCTGCTCTGTTTCGACTGATGGATCGGTTCATTCCTTACAGGCACAGCCACCATGCAATCCCTCGAATCAACTGGACTGAACTCGTTCTTTTTTCCTTTTTCTGTCCCCTGTGGTGATCTTATTCCTCCTCCAGCTCTGCCTTTTTATTTTTTTATTTTTTTTTTCTGAGTTTCTTTTTGCAGCCTGCATCGTTCAAATTCATTTCAATTCGTTTCGTCTACTGACTCCGCTGGAGATTCTTCCAATTGCAGGTGGCTTCGTCTTTCTCGTTGATCATCCTTTGTCTCACCTTGCTTACGCTGACTCTCAGACATGACACAGACAGAGAGGAGGAGAATGCAGATGACGAAGCTTGTATGCGATCCTTCGTCTGTAATCTGCACGGTCGGTTGCAACTCGCTTAGATGGGGAAATTGGTGATGATTATTCATTACTGCAATTTATTGACGGCAGCCAAGGAGGGAAGTCTGGATTATCGGTCTAGTCTATCTATCTAGACTGTGGTATGTATGTATGTATCGCTTTTTTTAGTGCAGATCCATCCTCCCCTCCCCGACACAGCAGATTGCAGAGAACGCGTTCTTGTCGAGTCGCTTCTCCTGTCTTTTGTCTTTGTCGCTGCATTCAAGTCGACCATGTGGGAATGACAGTCCTCCATCTGCTATTGATCAAAATCATTTTTCATACAAAGGGACGATCCGTTTTCTATCATTTCTTGATATATCAATTTCCTATTCGTCTTGAAAGAAGCTATATTCATCCCGTACGCAGACGGGGGGGCTTCTCTATACTCCTTCATATTCACAGTTCACAATCCACAGTTCATTGTTCACCTATCCCATTGTACTTGCTTCTTGTCCTTGATGAGCGAGAATCGTCATCTATCCTGCTGCTGACCCTGACCCTGACCTGCAGGCAATAAGCTCTCTGTAATATCATCATCATCAGCAGCAGCAGCAGCAGCATCACTTCTACAAGCGATTGGGGTTTTCGCCGCGGAATCTGCGCTGGCTTGACGAGACACTGGCCGATGCCGTGCAGGAGAGTGGGACACCAGCAGCCTGGTCAGTCAATCCTCAGTCAGTAACGGAGTACTTTGCACATAGCACTGTGCACTGGACAGTAAGTATACGTACTCTCGACGGCCAATCTATTGACATAAAAGGATGCCGACGTTTCACTCCCCAGTCTGAATCCTTCGTCCTTCTCCTCTCCTGTGCTCATATCGCGTGGGGTTTGCTTCTGCCTCTGCCTGTGTCTTCCAATCCGTGTTGCGCAGTGACATTTCGACGGCACTCTCTTGTCCGTCACGTTGCTTTTTCCTGTCGTCCAGCCCAACGCATCTATCTGAGCGTGGTTAATTGCGATCGTTGACCGAAATCGCCTCTCTGGACTTAGATTAGTGTTCCTGCTGGGATTTCTTTTTCGTTTCTTTTCCTTTTTTCTTTTTTGGGTGTCTCTACTTTCTCTTTTCTTTCTTCCGTCTGTTGCGATCGAGACTCTTTTGGCGTGTGTGTTCCAAACTATATACCCATTGTGAATTCCACCTATACGACTGTCCTCGCAGTCTTTGCTTCATTTCCCCCCCCCCCCCCTACCTTGTTTTTATAACCTTTCCTTTCTTTCTTTCCTTTTTCTCTAATTTTTTTCCCCCCCTACCCTGCCGTCGAACTCAAATCTTCTGTCTTTCAGAAAAGAGGAAAATTAGCGCGTTCTGGTGCGCTGCATCCCTGCATCTTTCAATCCACCGTCACGCCTCAGGTTATATATGAACCCAACGTTGCACGGTCTCTTACCTGTCACTTTGACTTGCCGGAATCAGTGATCTCTCGGTGCATCATCCCGATCGAGTGATCCGGTCCGCAAATCGAAGCCATGAGTGTATGTAGACTTAACTGGATACCCATGCTCAGTTAACTAGTATCCTTCTCTCGATGAGTGAGGAGTGTGAAGGATTTGGGGACAATACAGGCTGACTGACGGCGTGTCAAAACTCAATATAGGCTTCGAATCCGACAAGTGATGTCCTCCAAGGCATCATGGGATCTCGGATGATGCCGAATCCTTCGCACGGCGATCATCCCGCAGACCACTTGACAGCTCCTTCTCATTTCGCATTAGGCGACCCGGCCTCTTTCCTGGGGGTCCAGTTCGGCTCTGATCCGGCGGTCCTCCCCCACGAACCCTCATCCATCCTAAACCCTTGGTTACCATACAGCAGCAACCATGCCTCGTCGTCTCCGGCTCCCCAACCGCTGGAGTATTATCAGTATCACCCACCGCGGGTATCGAATGACCAGGATGCTTGGAATCCGCTGCAGGTCACTGGAGTACCTATGAGCCGGGCGTCTTTGAATCTTCAGCCCGGGGAGAAACCTTATCCGATCAATGAATACATCGACCGCAGATGTTCCACCGGCCAATACAGCGACCCTTCAGAAAGTGACAGTCAATACAATGGTCTCCCATCAGGAGATTCAGGCTATGGTAGCCGAAGCTGTACCACGCGCTCCATAGCAGCATCATCCTTCGCTGTAGACTCGGCGTGCAGTCCCCATCTGACGTCGCATGAACGGGAACCAGATGAGAAGGGATCGATCTTTGAGCTGGGCCCCTCCGGCTATGGCACACTTGCGCCGAAGACAGAATACCTCTCTTTGCCTGGCCCCGACGACATGAAGTGCCATTATCCTAATTGCAACTGGAAGGGGAAATGTCCCTCCGACAAAAGGTTTGTCATCACTTGTTTCAATCTTTCTGGGGCATCTGTCGCCCCTGTCGAATGCTACAAGGACTGACGGACATAGAAAACATGAGGCAAGACATAGGAAGATGTTCAGATGCGACGAGCCGAATTGCAGTCGCAAGGAGGGCTTCGGAACCATCAATGATCTCGCTCGGCACAAGAAATGCGTCCACAAACAAGAACCCGAGCGCGGGCCGAAGATTCTCTACATGTGTTTTGGGCACAATTGTCCCCGCAGACAAAAGCGGTGGCCTCGATTGGATAATTTCCGTCAACATCTCTCCCGGATGCACAAGGATGAAGATGCGGATGGATTGCTGCGGAGGTAAGTCGAGACCACTTCTTCGGCTGGTTGTTCGAGCGTCGTGACATTGAGAGTCTATTAGATCGCAGGAGTGGTACGAGGCTACTGCTTTGAAACTGCATGACCTGCCAGTTCCTGTCGACGACCAAATTCCCCAAGAAGTCTCGACCCCACAGACGCAGCTGTCATCCGAATCCGATTGTATGTTGGGAGATCTCGAGCAAAATCCTTGCAGCTTGGCCTTATCGAATGGATCGGTATTTCGATTACCAGCGAATGAGAGCATTGATTCGAACTTCGAGGGAATTGTCGAAGAGCAGAGCACAGGCAACGAACCTACAGGCCCTGCAGTCGTCGCTTCGCATTCAGTTAAATTCCCCACTCTGAACGCGCTCAACCTGACCCCAACGCTCGATCAAACACCGCCAACTTCCCAACTAGACAGTCTCAGGAAGGATCATGTTGAAGAATTCATAACAGAGGCGGCGACGAACATGCTCAGTGCATTGACGAGGATGATGAACTCCAACCAACGACGGAATATCCAGCCCCCGTATGACGGAAACAACCTGTCAAATCCGACAGCCGAGCTGTGTGGGCCAAAGAAGGAAATTCTCCAAAGGATTCTAAGAGCAGCGTTAGACCGACTATCGGGGAACACAGAGTCTCCTGCGGACAGCGGCTTGAAAGTGCCTGAACCGGAACCCGACAAGAGAGGCTGGATCAAATGCGAATTTTGCTCAAAAAGGACGCGTTTGCGATGCGAGATGAAGTATGTATTTGAATGATATTCTCCGTTATGTAGCTGTATCTGACCAGATGGCCTGCTAGGAAACATCAGAAACGTCATGAGCGGCCGTACGGCTGTACATTCAAACGTTGCGACAAGACCTTCGGCAGCAAAGCAGACTGGAAGAGACACGAGAATTCACAGCACTATCACCTTCAGAGCTGGCGCTGTACCCTACAAGACCCTATGCAAGGAGACTTACCGTGCGCCCGGCTGTTCTATCGCTCGGAGATCTACATGCAGCACCTGCAAAAGTATCACCACGTGGACGACGAAGAGGTGCAGAATGCCATGTATAAGAATCGGATCGACCTGAACGGCCAGTCTCGGTTCTGGTGCGGGTTCTGCAAGGAGATTATCCCTCTTCGCAGCCAGGGTCTGGCCGCCTGGAATGAACGCTTCAATCATATCGATGTCCAGCATTTCCGCCGCGGAGAGCGTATCGGAGACTGGCTATTACCATCGGGGCATTTGACCAAAGAGCGAGAGTGGGAAGAGGCGAGGAAAGGAAGTACAGCTTGCAGTCGCGGAGACCAGAGCCCGTCATTCGCCTGTGACAACACTGAGAATGACAATGATGACTGTAGTGACAGTTCCTCCGACATCGATTACCGTGATGAGAGTATGGTCCTTAATCAGGACGAGGACATCCGACAGACATTAGACCAAAGTCTAAACGAGGCCTCGCTCCTCCCACAATCGCCCGAGCTGCAAGGTTCGCGGAAACGAAAAGTTGACACACCAGATCCGACAGTAGCCCACTGCTGGCCCTATTCGGCGGATGTGCCCCTTGCAAAAAGAAGATTCAGCGTTGATGACTCTATTTTACAAGCGCGAGATCCACGCATGGCCCATCTTGTCACGTATGGCTGCCCCGTAGAAGATACGCAACCAAGCGATCGCGCTTTAGTGGACTCTCATGCACTGCCCCCCTATCGCGAGTCTCCTTATCATATTCGTCGCATGCATTGATGGCAACGTACACAAGGTCTCAGATTATGTTCAACTTGTGCTGCATGAGAGAAGCAAGGCATCAAGATGGTGTTTACCCCAAGAACGAATCAAAGGAGGCATTGCAAGTATATCCATCAGAGGCATGTAAGGTATATAGTACAGTTACAGTGAGCAGTAAGTGCAGAGGAAAAAAGAAGAAAAAAAGAGTAAAAGAGACCATCACTTTTGGGCATTCGTTAATTCCTTCGCCTTCTTTTCTAAAGCGGCGACCTCTTCTATACGGCCATGATCAGAACATTCCTGCATAGACACAATGACCCGAGTCACACTTACGGTTCTTCTCGGCTTTCGTCTCGTCCATTTCGAGCTTCAACCAAGTCCAGTAGATCACCTGGTAAGTGAAGATGGCTCCTAAAAAGACCTTGGCGAAGGGACCTGCAAAGGTCTTGTATTGAGCGAGCTGCGGGATTCCAATTAGCAATTTCGGATGCAAAAACATGCTGTGTAGCTCATTTGCATGGACTGCCCGCGGCAGCCACTATATACACAGGCCAACTAAACTGGTACATCCCATCTGGCAAGGAGCTAGGAATCAGCACGTAAACTCACCCCGTCCTTGTAGGCAGTAGAAGCACTGAGCCTGGGGCGAGTGGATGTCAAGGTTCTCCGGCTGGAAGGGACAGCTCGCGGACGGAGCATGGGCGCTCCCAGAAGACGCTGGATGGTTGCTCGAGCGAACATGTTGAGTGAAAACCAGGGATGACCCCAGTGTTTTTTTTTTCTTTCTTTTTTCTTGAGATACGAAAGAGGAGAGGATATTTGACGTTCAACACGTTCTCAGCTTCATCCAGTGCGAGTTGATCGTGGACATGCCAAACTGCCAATGAGGAGGATGGTGCTGACTCAGCCACTCACGTGATATCAAGCGCTGGTCCGTCCCGAGCGGCTCTGGGTCGAATCATGATGGGTGTTAAGCGATGACGAACGGGCGGGGAGGACGATCAAGGGGACGATAAGCTTCGATGTTCTGGGGAGAAAGATCCATGTTCCTGGCATTGCTCTGGTGCGCCTCTTGGACCGGTTTGTGTGAGCAGTCCGCGACCCTAAACCGGGGGGAAAACGGGTGCCAAAAAGGGCGAAGATACGTGATTCGGTTGAAAATCACACAATCCCTACTTTTTACGGCCGTTTACTATGGGTTTTGGGCGTGGGAAAGCCAGGTGCTGGCGAGTCCCCAAAAGCCGTCAAACAGCGACTCTTTTCCCACCGCAAAGTGAGGTGGTGCGTGGAGCCAGTCAGGATGCGGAACTGCACGTGCTCTGCCCAATCGGGGCTAGTGGGGGCGCAGCAGCGCGGCTGTCGGGGGAGCTAAGCCTGCTGTGGCTGGTGCCGGCAACGCAAAAAGAAAAGGCGTCGCGAAGTCTTTCCGCCCTGTTGCTGTTGCTGTTCCCACAGGTCCCGTCGTTTCGTTCGAGCGGACATGGTTTCTCACAGCGTCCTTGCTGTTCTTCATCGCTCTTGTGCCCGTTTCTCATTGTGTGTTTAGAAAAACCATTGTTTTATTGCTGTGCTTCGTGCTCGGAGTGCTTGCCGTGACGCGTCCCCCCCGAGTCGGCTGGGAGATTTACCTCAAACCTCACCTCGACGGTCTCACCTTTGCGCATCGGCGCTTCGCCGTCCATCCTCCTCCCACCTCCCCCGTGCGAGAACAGAACCACCTCTGTTGTTCAGACCTTGTGTTCTCCCGCCCCAACGACGGCATTGATGGCCCAGTGTGTATGATGGAGATTTAGACAGCTATTGATTTTCATGAAATTATCTCCTTGATCCTGGTTCAGCGGACGGTGGCTGTTTGAAACCCGTTGTCTCTGTATCTCTTTACACTGCTCTTCTAAGTACACTGTTATCGGTAAGTTCCGTCCACGATCCTTATAAATATGTCACTGGCAGGAACGTGTTCCCGATCACTTTTTGCTTTTTTTTTTGTTGTTACTTTTATTTTTTCTATCATGTATTCTCAGACTGGATGTGCTGACGCTGACATGGCGGCCGTGGAAAGAACCCGTCCTTTACTTCATCTATCGCACTTCATCATGCCCCGTCCAAAGCGCTCAATTGAGGAGCTGGCGAATAAGTCGGACTCGGACGACGAGAACTACAGCGACCATCCGGTGCGCTCCTCGCGACCGGCCGCCCGATCGAAATCGCAAAAGAAGTCCAAGCCTGCGAAGAAAAAGGCGCGTCGAGATTCTGACGACGATGACCTTTCTGATGACGATGGATTATTCGATGAGATCGACGATTTTTCCGCCCAAGAGTCGGAGGAAGAGGAGGAGGATCCCGACGCTCCGAAGAATGCGCGAGGGCTGACGGCTCGCAGAGCTGCGGCCAATCGGCCAACATACAACGCGGGCGACTCTAGTAGTAATGAAGATGATTCCAACGACGATGGGGAACCCGAGGTCGCCCCGTCGCCAAAGAAACCCAGGAGCACCGTTGTCAGGTTGAAATTGAATTCTTTGAAACGCCAACCGTTCCCGGAGGGCAACCGACGGGTGACGCGCCATACTCGTGACCCGTCCGAGGAGATTTACGCGCTGACGAATTCGGGTCGCCACGCTCAACTTGTCGAAAGGGGTACAATGAGTCCGGAGACAAAGGCGAATAATGGCCGCCGGGAATCTCGCGCCTCGAAGCGTCTCACTGTCGCAAGAGAGGAGGAAGAGGAAGAGGAGGTGGAGGAGACAGAGGAGAAGCAGGAAAGCTTCGAGGTCATAGAAGAGACCACCCTGGAAGTCAATGCCTCGCAACCTGAGATCATGGAGAGCGATCATCAGGGTGATTTCGAGGAAGGGGTTCCTTCGGGTCAGAACAGTGCCGAAGTCACGGCTGAAGCCGATGAACACCGATTTGTCCCCGAATCTGAGAATGGCGACGCGAAGCATGATGACGAGGAGGATGACGAAGATGAGGGTCCAATAACACGGAGAAGGTCTCGGCCCACTCGGAATCAGACAATCGAAGATCCCCAGCCAGATGAAGAAGAGGCAACGCAACCGCGCCGCTCAAGCCGAAAGAAACCGAGAGGCTCTCAACGCAAGCGACAAGAAGACGAAAGCGACTTTGAGCCGGAGGAGGAGGAGTCCAACGATGAAGATGACGACCTGTCTCAGTCTGGCAAGTCACAGGGCTCGCCACGGAAAGGAAGTCGGGCGCGCGATGACGAAGAGCAGGACAGCACCGCTGGTCGGCGTCCTGGTCTGCGTAAAAGAGCGTCCCGGTCCCGTGGACAATCGGAAATTCGAGGCGACATCGCTGAGGAGCTTGCCGAAGAACTGCAGGATCTGAGGGGAGATCGCCCACGCCGGCGACTGCAGACAGATATCGTGTACGAAAAGCCAAGGCGCAGTCGCAAGGACGTTGATTACCGGATCATTCGGCCCGATCTCATATTACCCATCGATGAGGCGGAACAGGAGGTCAACGAGTCCCCTTCCCGCCGAGGTCGTGGTGGGGGTGGCGGCGGTGGCAGCTGGCAGCGTACCTTGTTCCCGACGTATGGTCCATTCGGGGGTGGCGGGCCGCCAGCGATTCTCGCACCGCCCGGCGCACCTGCTGCAACAGGGGGTGTCGACAGTGACAGCAGTGATGACGAAGTAATGCAGCATCCCAAGGGCGCTGCAGCTGGGGGTTCTATCTCCGGTCCCCCAGGCCTCCTTGCTTCAACGCAGACTCATGGGGCCGATGGACTGCAAGGTCCGTCAGGAACGCCTGCCAACCTGGGGAAGATCAAGGATAAGCAAACGCTTGCGGATGCCGATCCGTTAGGTGTGGACATGAATGTCAATTTCGACAGTGTTGGCGGCTTGCAAGGACACATCGATCAATTGAAGGAGATGGTGTCCCTTCCGTTGCTATACCCGGAGATCTTCCAGCGTTTCCACATTGTGCCACCGAGAGGTGTTCTCTTCCATGGACCTCCTGGTACAGGTAAAACGCTATTGGCGAGAGCTCTGGCCAACAGTGTCAGCTCCGAGGGTCGCAAGGTCACATTTTATATGAGAAAGGGTGCGGATGCATTGAGCAAGTGGGTTGGTGAGGCCGAAAGGCAGCTGCGTCTGCTTTTTGAGGAGGCCCGGAAGACCCAACCCAGTATTATCTTCTTTGATGAAATCGATGGTATGTATTTTTCTTTGGGTGTCCAAATGGGATTCCCGTGATTTGACTGACTGTTATGTACTTGACAGGTCTGGCTCCCGTGAGGTCAAGCAAACAAGAGCAGATCCATGCCTCTATTGTGTCGACTCTACTGGCGCTAATGGACGGTATGGACGGCCGTGGACAAGTCATTGTTATTGGAGCTACAAATCGACCCGACTCCATCGATCCTGCTCTGCGGCGTCCCGGTCGCTTTGATCGCGAGTTCTACTTCCCGCTGCCCAACACGGAAGGTCGGCGGGCCATTCTCGACATCCATACTCGGGGCTGGGACCCGCCTCTCCCAGACCCCATCAAAGACGAGCTGGCTGAGATCACCAAGGGTTATGGCGGAGCCGATCTTCGTGCGCTTTGTACCGAGGCTGCTCTCAATGCAGTGCAAAGGAAATATCCCCAAATCTACAAATCCAACCAGAAGCTTCTGATTGACCCCAAGAAAATCGACGTCACTCCGAAGGATTTCATGATAGCGATCAAAAAGATGGTTCCTTCTTCGGAGAGGTCCGCCTCTTCTGGCGCTACACCTCTACCAAAGACAATTGAACCTCTTCTGCGACAGCCACTGGTTGAAATTAGGACTCTGTTGACCGAGGTTCTTCCACAAAGAAAGAGGCTTACGGCTCTCGAAGAGGCTCAATTCGAAGAGCCGGAAGGACCGAAGGGTTTCCGACGCGAACAGATGCAGCACGAATTCGATACCTCTCGTGTATTCCGGCCTAGAATGCTACTTCGTGGGCCTCTGGGCATGGGTCAACAGTATCTAGCAGGTGCAATTCTCCATCATTTTGAAGGGCTTCACGTTCAAGCGCTCGACCTTCCAACCCTCCTGAGTGATTCAACCAGATCTCCCGAAGCAGCTGTCATACAGCTCTTTCAAGAGGTCAAGAGGCATAAGCCCAGCGTGATCTACATTCCGAATATCCAGTCTTGGCTAAATACAGTTGGGCAGACCGTAATATCCACATTTCTGGGTCTTCTACGGTCGATCCCTCCTTCGGACCCAGTCTTACTATTTGGTGTCCTGGAGTCTACCGGCGATGAGATGGATCACGGTCTGCTAAACAACATGTTCGGGTTCTCGAAGAAGAATTTCTACGACCTCGAAACCCCCGATTCTAATGCCCGGCATGAATTCTTCAGCAGAGTGATTGATTACGTTAAGACATCGCCATCCGACTTCCCAGATCCTGAAAACCGCAAACGAAGAACGCTCGAGACTCTGGAGGTCGCGCCGCCACCTGCACCGAAGGCTGCGCCGCCTCCTACTAAGGAGGAGCTCAAGGCACAGAAGAGAAAGGATCATCAGACTCTGAATCTACTGAAGATCAGGATTCAACCAATTATGGATCAGATCAAGAAGTACAAGAGGTTTAGGACCGGTGTGATCGACGAATCGCAGATTCGCTACCTCTGGGAGGAAGAAGATCCGAACGTCGTCACTAGCGACCTGCCCATCGAGCAAAGAACGATGTTCCGACCTTTCGAAAAGGACTTTGATAAACATGGCGTCCCAGGTCTTCGTGAGGCTGTGTCTGGAAAGTTCTTCTACAATATGGAGATCGTCACCATCGAAAAGCGACTATCCAATGGTTACTATAAGCGACCAAAGGACTTCCTAGCGGATATCAAGCGCTTAGCGAAGGATGCACGGCAACTTGGCGACCAGGAACGCTTGTTGCGAGCCAACGAACTACTCTCGAATGTGGAGGTTGACGTCGCCACAATTGAGCAGGCAGAGCCGGCCCTTGTTACGGAATGCGAGAACGTCTATCTTCGGGAGCTGCAGCGTGAAAAGCTCGCGGCTGAGCAAGCCAGGAAAGCCGCTGACGAGGAAAGCTTCGCCAATATAGCACCCACAGGCAATGTCCCCCACGGTAATACTGATTCTGCCCCTTCCAGCGGACCCGTGGTTCTTGGCGAATCTTTCCTGGGTGGGCCAGCTCGGCCGCACACTCCGACACGACGCTCGGCGGTCAGCTTCCTCACCAACGGATACCACGAGGGCGGAGGTTCAGATCTCAACGATCTTAGCAACCATGCCACCATCAGCAACGGATCCCACGAGTCTCGAGGAGATATCGATGGCGATATTTACATGACGAATTCCGAGGATCACTCGGGTGAAAGAGAGACGCAAGGCAGCTCATTCGGGCCGTCCGCTCAGCCCAGGCCGCCGTATTCGCACACGGCCCCTTCACAGCAAGTGAGACGGGAGTCAGGCTTCTCGAGTTTGTCACAGAAGGGACCCATGACCCCCATGGCGCCAGGGTCGCAACCACACGACTATACCAACGAAGCATCGACCACGCAGACAACCTCGGACAAGAAATCATCAGAGCAATCTTCGGTGCCGCAGAATTTCACACAAAGTCCCGTGGCGGCGCACGCATTGCGGCATGAGTTTCCAGACCTGACCCAGTATCCCGACCGTGTGTCGCAAGAAGAGCATCTCCCAGACACCCAGCAGCCTGAGAGCAGCCAGCTCTCTCCGCATCCTCGTGAGTCGTTGCCAGGACACACAGAGCTTACGCACCTGGAGATTGCAGTGCCTGGAGGCAGTCAATCCCAATCTAAGCACCAACCCCCTGTGCCTCTGTTCGAGGCAACTACCAAACAAGCTTCCCATGCCCCCTCAAACCTCCAGTCGTTGCTGAACAACGAGGACCTGTCCCCGAAAGTCATCCTGGAGCATGAGTTCATTGAGGATCTGCACAAGCAACTCACCCAGAAGACTAGTGGATGCTCAGTCGAGCAGCTCGAGCAGATCAACAGCAATTTGATGGACTACATTTGGCGCATGCGTGGCGAGTGGAACCGCAACAAAGTGGCCGCTGGCATCCGTGATACTTTCAACGAGGTGTTGGAAGACATGCAGGGGATGCAGGAAATTGGACCCATTAGCCAGCGTACAAAGGAACAGCTGAGTGCTGAGATCTAGCCGTCTTAGAGTTGCACTCGCATGTGAAGAGGCGTCGCAAGATTTCGCCTCTCGTCTTCCACCATATCTGCTTACTCTTCTCCTTCTTCTCCTTCTGTTCTCATCTCTTATACCTTTTTCTGTCTGTCAAGTACCTAGCATTACTAAAGAGTACCCCTGTGTTTTATTCCAGTCGATATCATTGTTCAGAATGGTTGTTCTTGTTTGTGGATTGGTTGGTTATCTGTTGTCATTTCTTAGGGCTCACGAGGGGTCTCTACATGGAATTGCATGCATGGATCTCGTGCCATATTTTCTTTCCCGCTTCTCTTCTTCCCAATTACTGTGGATATGATGGCCGTAAATAAATTCTTTTCTTTCCATCTTGACCAGCACGATGAAGTGTTGGTAGACATGGTACGTATATATACTGCAGTGCAGACTAGAGCGGTGGCCATGTGATCCGCGCCTAAAAACACCAGGCTGGCCTTTCCTAAAGGGTCCATCACAATTCCCCCATACTGTTCGAATCAGCTTCCGCTTCTCTGTCACTCTCTCTCCCCAATGCCCATACATACATTCCATGTTCATTTCTGCTACGCTTCTCAGGGCCGGCTATTAAGGGCTGTAGCGTTTATTTCTTTGATCTTCTATCTTACTCTTTCGTTTTTCTGGCGATCGCGACAAGAAGCTGGCCTAAACAATTGTTGACGATACTATGACCCACGTCTGATTTGAACAGCTTTCCACATCCGCACAAATTACTCCTCTCGATACAACTATTCTCTCTCTTCACAACTCCCTGAAACATATCAGACTCCCCTCAACATGGTAGATTGGCTCAGTCTCGCCGTGCCGCTCGCCTACCTCGGCGTTCTGCTCGGCTCTCTCGCGACTTTCTCCTCGCTATACCGGAAACGCAAAGCCAGTGAGTTCACGGATTACGCATCTATTCTCATGGCGAGTGAATCACTAACGTCAGTCGACGCGATTTTGTAGCAAAGGCCACCTCGCTAGAACCATGGTTCCCTCCTCACCTCCAACGAGACATCTACTTTTCCCTCCTCCACCTTGACCCTCCAGCATCGTCTTCTGGCAAAGAGAAAAAGGCCCCTGCAGTACCAGAGTCGGTGCTGAAGGCTGCTCTCCTCAGACGCGCAACCGAGGATATCAAGCGGGTCATGGCGCTCCGGAGCCAGAAGCAGGCGCTGGCCATGCTTCTCCAACGGGGCAGTGTCGGTGACGATCTGTGGCAGCGCTTCCAAAGAGCTGAGAAGGAAATGGAGGATGAAGTACGGGATGTTGTTGCGGAGGTACGTTTTGCGTCGCTTTTCTTTTTTCTTTTTTTCTTTTTTTTTTTTGGTTATATTTTTCCCTTCCTCTGTTGCAATCGATGGCGATTGCTAACTTGGGTGCTTTGGAACAGGCCAATGCGTACGTTCCCGGTTGGGGCCAGACGATCTTCCAGTCAGCAAATGAGATGCTCAACAACGTCATCTTCCGCGAGCGGATGGAGACCTATCAGAGCAAGGTGAAGGAGGAGCGCGAGTGGTGGGATAAGAAGAAGGCGAGCATCCAAGAGGGTTTTATGAAGGAGCTGGATGCAGAGGGCTCGGGCCCCGCCAAGGTTGAACAGGCAAGCTCTGTCACAACGACGACGAACTCGACCTCTGGCACAATGACCCCCGAGTCATCTGCGGCGCCTTCCACCGTCGCTGAGAGCGACGATGAAGCTGTATTGGTGAACGCTGATGACACTGCAGGGGGGTCAGGGAGTGCCAGTAAGAAGAAAAAGAAGGGGAAGAAATGAAGAGCCGATCCAGAGACGGGATGTTCATCTTTCACTTTCTTACGAGACTCCATTTTGAAGAAACAGTTTAAATGAGGAAAAGCATTTGCGCCTCCCGGATTGCGCCAGTTATTCTCCATCGTCGTGGAGCCACCGATGAACTTGACACGTACCGGTTCAACTACTTGGTCATTTCCCTGGATGTATTAGTACTTGCCTGTTATTGTAAGGATTTGACGAGATTAGAATTTCACGACCTGTCTGAGACGAGATTCGGGCTTTTATTTCGTTCCTGGACATTTAGGGAAATGGAGAAATGGAGGAATGGATTCAAGAGAAGTGGACAAATGCATATATACAGCAAGACTAATTGTACAATGAAACCAAGTAGATTTTCCCAGTCACCCGGAAACGCCTTTCTATATGCCGGTGAGAGCTCCCCCGCCATTAAAATAATACAGTCCTGGTGGATACCACCGTCACAGGAGTGCTTGATCAAAACTCAGAATCTACAAGGGTAGATTGTCATCCTCCATCGACGATCCGATATCAGCTGGCGAGACGCCCATTTCCGCGGCGACAGTCGTTATCTCGTCTTCGATCTGGCTCGGGTCGGCGGCTGTTCGGCGCATTACAACGCGGAGCAGGTCGGCCATGATCTCGAGCTGGTACTGTTGCTTCTCGTGCGGCTCGAGATGGTCGGGATGCAGCCCTTGCGCCTGCAGACCGGCTGCCTTGCGCTCACTCAAAATCTCGACGAGTCGGTTGACTTGGGCAATGTTCTCCTTGCTCCTGGGGGTCGTAGACAGACGGCGTAGACGGCGCTTGGGCGTGTCTGTCGGGACGGCAGCCATGCGCGCGACCTGCAGGGCGATCAGACGAGCAGTCACCTCGTCGGGAGATGATCCGAAAATCGCCCCCATGGAATAGAGTGCGACAAGAGTACCAGGCAGGTCCTTGGAGAGGCAGAAACAACGGATGATCTGGTCATAAAGTTCCTTGGAGAATTCATCCCGGGCCGTCGACTTGCCGCGCGGGCTGAGGTGAGTATACCACTTGATCATCTCTGCGTACAGCTCGCGTGCCGATGGAAACCCAGCGTCGAAGGCTGTGCGGCCCCGGTCGTACTGAAGCTTGCCGCAGTCCCACAGGCAGGCGAACGTTTCCAGGTCTGGTTTGATAGAAGCAGACATGGTCTGGTATTTGCTCCAGACAGAGTGCACATCTTGTTTCCTAAGCTCGGCATACAGGAGATGATTCATGAAATACGAATTTGGCTGGATTCGTGCATCTCCCAGGCATTTGACCAAGTATTTGACCATGTCGTCATCAGTCCTTCGGCTGTAATGGAGGAGAAGAATCGAGAAAGTCTCGATGTTTGCTGGAGGCATTTGCCTCTGCATGAACTTCGGTATCGGAACACCATCAGACTTCTGGCTAACAAGAAGTTGAGGAGATTTTTCTGGTGATGCAGTCCGAGCCCACACCAGGTCGATTCGTTGTTGAACCATGGACCATCCCAGTTTCTCAGCTTTGGCTCTCGAAATAGAATTTCCTTCACGAAGCCACGCAGCCATTACCCCATTGAGGTGCTTGGGATCAGGCCTGACTCCTCGTTCATACATCAACTCAATTACCATCGCAGCAGAGTCGACCTCACCCATTCCTATGAGCTTTTTCATCCAGCTAGCGTAGAAGAAGCGATTCTGGAACCGCCGGGGTAGAACAGTCAGGGTGGAGAGTGAAATTTTGTTGACGTCCTGTTCTCGAATACTGGACGCCTGAAGGTTTCCTACAAGTCCCAAAGCTGCCTTGTACAGGGAAGTCGAATCGTTTGTTGGATCCTGGCCAGTTACCATCATATCCTTAAACACCGCAATAGCAAGATTGAGCCGGCCCGCTTTAAGAAGCCCGATGCTGACATAGTCGTATTCCTTCATGGTCATGTTGGCGCCCAGAAGCGTCTTCAGCTGTAAATATAACGCCCACGCCTTAACTTCAGCCTCCTTTCCAGGTTGTCTGCCCCAGGCTGTGATAACTGGGAGAAGGATACGAGGTTCGCGCGACTTGTCGTTGGATAGAAATGCCAAAGCAATATCCTGTGCTCTTTGAGGATCGCCTGCAGCAGCGAATAGTCGCACGCCGAGCTTCCAATAAGTCTCGAGATCTTCCTTGCTCTGGCAAAGGTCTGCCTGATGTGCCTCCCACTGATCCAGCGCAAGATTAATATTGCCACTTTCCTGGAGTGACTGGATGTATGAAAGCATACGAGGCGTAGGAAGTAGTCGCCCAGCCGTAACGGCATCTTCAGCCAAGGTCTGCAGGCGAGTCGCTCGAAATGCCCGCCCCGACTCGCCATTAGCTTGAGAGTCCCAGATCATAGTCATCGCCTCTTCGGGTATAGATTGCAGAAAGTTCGGTATAACCTGTTTGGAACGACGGTACCATCTCCACAATTCTTGCCCTGACTGTTCATTGGCAGGGTCGTTTGCAAACCGTGACAGACAAATGTTGAGCTTGTCCACGTAGGGATGTGACTGCGATTCGTGTAGAATTATTTCGTAAGGTTGCCGAGAGACTGGAACTTTGGGAGAGATCTCATCCTCCGGTTCCAACTGCCAATTCTCTTCCTCCATTGCCAGACCCTCAAACTCTTCCTTGAGCATGGCATCTAGCTCACCATCAAATACCTTATCCAAGTCAATGTCGAGTTCGGTTTCCCCCGTCTCCTCTGCATGTTTGCGAAGAGCTTCAAGAGCGATTTGTCTCTCTTTTTCGGGTAACTCTTTTATAAAAGCGCTGTTTGGACCAAAGGGGCCTTCCTTCAAGATCTCCAACTCCCTATCGAGCTTGGAGAGCTCATTCTCAACATCTTTTTTGACGGCACTGTCTTCGGCCTCCGGATCAATTTCCTTTCTAATCTTGCTCCCTCGGGTATCCTGTTCGTAGAAGCGGATCTTGTCATCTTTTCCACCATAGTGTAATGAGCGTGGCGTTACGACGGAGAAGGCTCGCGATCGCGAAAGCGACATAATCGACGGGCTTCTGTGGGCCACATGCTGATACCACCGAGCTCCTCGGACGACCTGGCGGAGCATGAAGTATATGGATCTATAACATCGGACTTAAGAAACTGTCGAGAATGGAAACACTCAGAGTCATGAAGTTGAAGGGAAAATTGATGGAAGAGGATCTGGAGCTCCGCGGCGAAAAAGCCACTATTACCTGATTTGGCTTAGCGGCAGGCGCGAGATCCGCCGCGGATTTCGAGCATCATCAATCAATCAATTGCCCTTGCGAGCTGTCTGGCACCCGGGGGAAAAGAAGGCATAATGGAGCAGGATCAGCTGGAGACAGATGCGCCGGGTATATCCAGAGATGGATTGAGCAGCCAGGTATTTGCGAACAAGACTCGTTGAAGTACCTCAACTAACTCCTTCTACTATTCCAGGGAGTTTACATCTATAAACCTGTCCACCAAACAAGAACGACTGGGGAAAGACCCTCGAAGCGACGAAAGGTGCAGCCGGTGAATGCAAAGGAAAAGAGTGACACACCCTTTTGTATCATTATTAAATGGTGATGAGCCTGAGTCCGCCATCGAGTTGAGATACAAGACATACCTTCAACTATGGTCCGAACAAGAGGCAAATGTTCAGGTAAGGGCCACCAATTCATTACTTTCACTTCGAATCCCCTAACCTGGAATAGGAAGTTCTGGATGATATCGATTCGGGCGTCTTTGAAAGAGTCTCATCATTTGTTAGATCTGCTTCACCTCAAACGTATGGAGGCACCCAACCCGAGGTAAACCAGGTGCACGGGAACTGACCTAAAACAGCTACAACGGATGCATCCCAGCAGCCCTGGTGACTGTTGGATCCAACGTCTCCTCTCTCGGCCGACTGCTGGCTAGATTGAATGGCCAATTGACCGAAGCAAGCGAAGGAGGAGTAGTCATTCTGGAATCTGGTGATGCGCCGAACCTCAAAACAACCCTCAAGAATATAATTCGATCTGCTGTGGCGAACACCGAGGGAAACGATGGTTACCAAAAGCTTCTGACGGATAGAGAGGTCCGGCGGTCTGGATTCCCGTGCCGAAATATTGCAGGCAAGCTAACCGATTGAGCGTGGTGTAGGGACCCCGGCTCCTCGCGTATGATCTCGACCTATTGAGTGACTATGTGAAAAGAAAGGAAGTCAAGCAGCTGGTGCTTGCATTTCGCGACAGCGAGGCTTTCGATCCTAATATTCTAACTGATCTCCTCTTGTTGCTCAGGTGAACCAGCACCTTCCGTACTCACGATCCAAATCTAACTTGTACTCTAGCTCCTGGCTTGACAGAATACCTTTTACATTGTTATTTGGCATTTCAACTTCTGTCGAGTTGTTCGAAGGGAGGCTCCCACGGTCCACTGTCGCCTTGCTGAGAGGCAAATATTTTGAAATTCATGAAGCGAGCAATTGTGTTGATCGCATATACGAACGGTTACAGGCGGATATCTCTGGTCGATTCTGGCTTGGCCGCAATATCACGGGCGTTCTATTTGAAAGATCGCATGACTACTTCCAAACCCCAGAGGCTTTCAGTCGATTGATCAAGGTATTTCCGCTACTCCGGGTTAATATCTTTGGTAACCCAGATCTCTGACCGCTAGACAGTATTCCTATATGACCCATTTCTTCGCAAATCCCTTGTCTGTACTTCTAGCCGACGATCGGTCTGCCAAACTTCGAACTCCTCCAGTGTGCGAAGCGATTAGGAACCTTCCGTCGTTTCGAAAGTAAGTATCCGGTCCTCAATGGTGATTTGCACATCTAATTTTTGTCTCCCAAGGTACTCTGAGCATCTCCTCGATGAAGGTCTCTACGATCAAACGCGCAGGTTGCTTAATGACGACGAATTTCTCTTCGAAGAATCTTTACGAAATCTTGACTATGGGCAGCAGAAGATGCGTGACATCTTTCAGGCAGTTAAATGGATCCAGACATCTCGCAGGGCTCTTGATCTTACAAAAAGAACGGATATATCGGAACTCTCGATCCGCGCGCTATCAGGGGAATTACAGAACTCATCATCTGTGGAAGACATGTTCAAGATCCTGAAGACTCTGGATTCTGCAAGATTGAGTGACTTCATGGGCAATCTTCCCGAAGGCGTTATTAGGAGGGAGGATTTCCAAGAGCTGAAGAGAGACTTTGATGTGTTATTGCAAGAGTACCCAGGCGTGGAACCGCTGCGGAGCGAATATGATGGCCGTCAATCCGTTGTGGCAACAACCGTTGTGCAACAACGGGTCAAGCTCAATAAGGGGAAAGCCAAGGCTACCAAGCAAAGCGTTGAGTATACGAGGATCATGGATCGTTTGTACGTGCTCCTGGAGGAATATCTGGCAGGAGATCTACTGCGGCCACAGGATTTGTTCCTGCATGAGGTATTCTTCATCGATATGAAGAACCCTCTGAAGGAAACATTCACACCCAGGCCTCGTTTTGCTATAGAACGAGCACTTTCAACCCCGTTCGACTATCTATTATCAGCATCGGACACAGCCGAGACTAAATTATCCGCGAAGCAACCCGCTACGGCAATCCTCTATCAGTTGTACCTTGAGTCTGGTTCCTTGGTGAATGTCAACGATATCTGGCAGGCATTCTATACCATTTTTGAAAGTGAGCAAGGCGATAAGTGCAATGAACGGATGGTTATGGCACTTTTCTACCGGGCTCTATCGGAACTAAAGGCATTCGGAATGGTCAAGAGCAGCCGGAAGAAGATTGATCATGTTGCAAAATCAGCTTGGGTTGGATTATGAATTATATATGCAGCAATTGTAATGATATGGCAAATTTGTAACATAGTCATAACATCGTAAGACTCTATGGGTATCATGAATATAGAACGAAATAACTGTTGAGGGAACACGCAGAAATAGGTTTCACAAAGGACGCCGACACAGCCTATGAGATAGAGCAATCTTTGTTGTAAAAGAGCATTGAATGCCAGAGTGTTCCGTTCATTGGGTGACGGGGTTGTGAAAGATATCATCATTGTTCAATGGGTGCCCACCGTCGTTCAAGACCATGGCCTCCCTCCTGCGCCTTCTGATAGCTTGTTCTTCACCGGTTCCACCGCGGAACCTTCTCCCAGAGAGTCGCCTTGAGCTAGCTGTGTCGTCGCCATCGACCATCCACACATCGCTGTCTTCTTCTTCGTCGTCATGGTCATTTTCTTCCATGAGGCTACCCATTAACCCATATTTTCGTAGTTGTTTCTTTCCGCCAGGATCCGACGAAAGTGTGCTGAAAATTGAACTCATGGTTCTGTCATCAGACCACCAAGCCTTCATGAGTATCACCACATCCTGACGCCGGGACGGCTCCGTTAATGCACATGGAAATGGGTATTTGGAGAGCCAACGGCTGATCACGCCAGCTTCCAAGGCGGCGGGTATGTTCTCTTGTAGGATCAGGTTGAGAATACTCAGCGCCTTGTTTTCGCCCAATGGCCTTGTCTTAGGGAGGATAGGCGAGTCAGTCGTAGAGGTTTCTTCAACATGATCTTCAAGAAAGCTGCATAGACAGTCGACCAAGGCAACGTAAGTGGGGAGGTCTCTCAGGCGGGAGCAGACTGCAGTTCGTGAGACTGGGGTTCTTTGATTAGTTTACAAACAGAAAAAAGTGCAGGTGAATGCAGTCCATACGTGCTCTATTGGATACTAGGAAGAACATCGCTGCTAGGGCTTTCCCTCGTCGCTCTTTGTTTTTGCTGGCCAGGTCTTTCAGAAGTAAATCCCGTGTCTGGCCTTTTGTCGAACGCTCTGCAATGATGCGCAGTGCACTAGATAAGGTGTCAGTTGCGTCTCTGGCCTTTGCGAACAGTATCTGGCATGGTAGCATACGCAGCGCGAAGGTCATAGCTTGTGCTATCGGACAGCTTCAAGAGTGTATCTAATTTGAGAGCTGCGAAGACAGTCAGCTCAGGCAACTGTTAGATTCCATAGGTTGAACAGACCGTCTTCTGTACCCTCGCTGATCATCTTGTCCTCCTTCTCAACTCGCTTGATCTCCGTCAATTCACTAACTCGGCGGAGATCCGCCGCAATGCCGCGGACGGCGAAGAAGAGAGAGACGCCTATCAAGACAGCAGGTTAGAAACACGTATAAGCCGTTGGAGCAAAAGGTAAATACCTAGACATAGCCAAAGAAACTTGTCATTGAAGTGCGAAGTCATTTTTGGATTGCAATACTCAGAGGGCATATCAGCTTGCTACAATGCGGAGAGCTGATGATCTCAGTAGCGGTGCGGCAGAATTTCTCCGACGGGGGCGGTGAGCATACTTTTTTTTTGCGGGCAATCATTGAAATTGTGTCGCCCTAAAATTTCAGTGAAGCAACAGGACATTTTCGTTCTAACACCAACGCATCATCATGCCGCCTTCGCAGTTGAAGCAACTGAAGGCGTCTCTCCGTGACAGCGGAGTCATTCGCCAGCAGCAATCCAAAAAACAAAAACGCCAGAATGCAAAGACCGGCGCCGGCGCCCAGAACCGCCTGCAGCGCAATGCTGCCCTGCAGGCGATCCGAGATCGATTCAACCCTTTCGAGATCAAAGTGGCATCGCGCAGCAAGTTCGATGTGACCACTCGTGATGTGGGTTCGAAGACGACTGCTGCCCGTTCAAGACCTGGAGTGACCAAGTCAATGGGCGAAGAGAAGGTGAGTTGATCAGACGCTCTAGTGCGGGTCAATCATGGACTGAACATTCTGTCTTAAAGAGACGCCAAACGCTCCTCCGAGAGATGGAGAGAAAAAACAAGGTTGGCGGTATTGTTGATCGTCGGTTTGGTGAGGACGATCCCACCATGACGCCCGAAGAGAGAGCCGCCGAGCGGTTTGCCAGAGAAAGCCAGAAGAAGCTGCGCAAGGAATCGATGTTCAACCTGGAAGAGGATGAAGAAGACGATTTCAAACTAACCCATATGGGTCAATCGTTATCTTTCGGCGACGGTGCTATCCAAGACGACTTTCAGGACGATGTGGGCGGTCTAGAGGAGGAGGATCAATCCGACTCGGAATCGCCACGGAAAAGGAAAAGAGATATGGACGAGGACGAAGAACTGGAAGACTATACCTATGATGACGACGAGGAGGGAGAGGATCAGCCGGAAAGGAAGAAATCAAAAAATGAGGTCATGAAGGAGGTCATCGCCAAATCTAAGTTCTACAAATTGGAACGGCAAAAGGCCAAGGAGGAGGACGATGATCTTCGCGAAGAACTCGACAAAGGACTTTCCGATCTCTTCGACATGCTTCGCGGGGTGAAGGCTCCAGCGAAACCCGAGCCAGCCAAGGACGATCTGGAGGCGATGAACCCGGAGCGCGCAGCCTTATTGAAAGGAGAGTCGAAACCGGATGCCGAGAGAGAATATGATCAGCGCCTGAAGCAGTTGACTTTCGATAAACGCTCTCAGCCAACGGATCGTACCAAGACAGAGGAAGAGAAAGCCGAAGAGGAGGCGCTGCGACTCAAGGCCCTCGAGGAAGAGCGCCTTCGGAGAATGCGGGGTGAGCAGCTGAGCGATGAGGAGGAAGACGAGGAGGAGGATAGCGAGTCAGAAGAAGGTTCCGAAGACGAATCCATCCCCGATGATGCGATGGCCTTTGGATTGCAGCAGCCCACTGCTGAGACCAGCGGACGTCCAGAGCTTGGCGTCGAGGATGAGGACGACTTCATTATCGATGACGACCTTGTTGAGACAAGGTCCGATGTGAGTTTATCATTCGATGAAAGCGAAGGAGAGGAAGGGTCTTCTGAAGTAGAATCAGATGAATCAGATGAGGAGGAGGAGGACGAGCTCATCAATGGTTTCACTCTACCCCAAGACAAAGCTGGAGCATCCGCAGCCGAGGGTACACCCCAGTCCAATGAAGAATTGGCGTACACATACCCATGCCCCAGTGACCACGAAGCTTTCCTGGAGATTGTCAGGGATGTTCCGATGAATGATCTCCCGGTTGTCGTTCAGCGTATTCGTGCCTTGCATCACCCCCGTCTTCACGCTGACAACAAGATGAAGCTGGGGCGGTTCGCTGCCATCCTGGTACAGCATGTCGCCTATCTGGCTGAGCAGCCCGAGCACCCTCCTTTCAGCATTCTCGAGAACATCTTCCGTCACGTCCACTCTCTCGCCAAATCTCACCCCGAAAATGTATGCATGGCGTACAGAAGCCATCTCCGGGAGATGTCAACCGAGCGTCCTCTCGGTCTGCGTTCGGGAGACCTTGTTATCCTGACAGGTATTGCGACCACCTTCCCAACTTCGGACCACTTCCATGCCATTGTTACGCCAGCACACCTGTGTCTTGCTCGGTTTTTGGGTCAAGGCGCAGTCGATTCACTGGTCGAGTATGCCACTGGTGCCTACGCTGCCAGTCTTTTCCTGCAGTACCAGACTGTTTCGAAGAGATATATGCCCGAGTTCATGAACTACGTGCTCAACGCGCTCTGCAACCTTTCTCCGGAAGAGCCCAAGAGCAGCCTTGGACTCTTCCCAGCAAGAGGCGCGCAAGAAGCCCTGCGGCTAACCCCATCCAAACAGCTGTCTCTCCGCAAGCTTCAATTCTGGGACATGGCCGACGCGCCCTCCGACCAGCACGCACAGGAAGAGCTGAAGCTCTCCCTCGTCAACACATTCGTCACACTTCTCTACTCCGCATCCGACCTGTGGGCAAACAAATCGGCTTTCTGGGAAATCTTCTCGCCGGCGCAGCGAGTGCTCCGCCACGTCAGCAAGACCTGCAAGGGCAAGCTCCCACTCGCCGTGCAGGATAACCTGCAAGCCACGCTCGACCAGCTGGACTCGCACCTGGCGCGCGCGCGCCTCGCCCGGCGCCCGCTGCTGCTCCACCACCACCGCCCGCTGGCGATCAAGACCGCCATCCCCAAGTTCGAGGAGACCTTCAACCCGGACAAGCACTACGACCCCAACCGCGAGCGCGCGGAGCTCAACCGGCTCAAGGCGGAGTTCAAGCGCGAGCGCAAGGGCGCGATGCGCGAGCTGCGCAAGGATGCCAACTTCGTCGCGCGCGAGAAGCTGCGCGAGAAGAAGGAGCGCGATGCCGAGTACGAGAAGAAGTACAAGCGGCTCGTGGCCGAGATTCAGAGCGAGGAGGGCCGCGAGGCCAATGCGTACGAGAAAGAGAAGCGGAAGCGTCAGGGCAAGTGGTAGATGCTCGCCCGCGGTGTGTGATATCCTTAATGCGCGGGTTGTTTGTGAATGTGGGGTCTTGGGCTTTTCTGTTGACATTGTCAAGTTGGACGGCGTATGTGGAATACTTCAAAATCGTGTGTATATACATTTGTGAAAAGGATTACAAAACAACATTTTTTTCTTTCTTTCCTGTTTACTTGTTTCCTGTAGGAAGCGGCTATATACCACACACCCCCAACCAACCATCCGCGGCTCTTTCTAGTCAAGTTAAGAGTATCGAATCTCCCCGGCTTATTGACCCAGAGCAACCCCAATACCAGTCAGATATTTACATCTCTCCCTCTGGTCGGCCGGAACCTGCTCCATTTTCGTCTGGTGCGTCTTGATGAAAATGCGGCTATAGCCGCCCTTATCACCCCAGGTCTTCCATTCCGGACTGTCTCGGGCGCGATGCGTGTTGGGGTCGAAGGTCTTGATGAAGCTCGTCCAGTAGCCCTGCATGACCGGAACGATCGGAGCGTTCGTGGTGCTATAGGACTTGGGCGCGCCCCCGTTCACATACGGCGGTCCCCAGATGGCGTTGCACTCCACGGTATGGAACACGCCGACGCCGGAGGTTCGGGCCTCCTTGTCGTCTACGGCGTAGTGGTAGTTCCAGCTCTTGACTCCGGCCTTCTCGTAGACGGCAGACATGTCGATGCCGGGGCAGATGTAGCGCAATTCGCCGTAGGCGTTGCTTGCGGGTCTCCACCAGGAAGTAGCGTTTGGAAATGGCCGTGTCTGGTTTTCTTTCAGATACAGCTCGTTGATCTTTTTGAGGTGGTCGGGTGTGAGTTTGGGAAACTGGGATTGGAGAAATGTGTCTGCTTCGGCGACGTCAGCGACGTGTTTGGGGACGAAGATGGTGCCTTCGTTCGTGTCATCGCCGAAGATCACGGGGACCTTGATGAATTTGCCCTGGTGGAATAAACGATATGTATAATCCGGCACGAGGTCGTCATCGATAGTTGGTCCGTACATGTAGAGCGGTGGCTTTTGCGCCCCTGGCAATGGAGTGTTGAAATTTTGCTTTTGCAGGGTGTCTATGTCGAGTTTCCGCAGACATGCGAGGGTATCGGCATCTTTGCCACAGCCTGTGCGCTTGACTAGATTGTCGTATGCAAACTGGCTCTCCTTCACCGTGAGCATACCGCCGAAGCTTTGCGATTCCGCGGCCGCAGCGTGGAATAAGCCATCGTCCCTTCCACCATGAGCTGACAGCAGGAGGGTAATCGAGGCTGCTCCCGCACTGTCACCGCCGATGACAACATGTTTGGGGTCGCCGCCGAACTTTCGGAAGTGGTATCAGCTATAGAGACCACGAGATCACCGGAGATGTGAGGAGAGATACCACCTACCTTGCTGATATGTTTCTGGACCCACTTCAATGCCTTAACCTGATCCTTGAGACCGTTATTCAGGCTGCCGCCTTTCACGACCTCTTCGCCAGCAAGAAAGCCGTAAGGGCCGACTCGATAGTTGAAAGTGACCACAACAATGCCCATGTCGGACGCCTTGATCAGACCGGTGCCATTATAATTGGCATTGGAATTCACATTGAAACCACCCCCCTGTATCCAGAAGAACACGGGCAGCCGAGACGCGCCCTTGGGCGCGAAAACATCAATGAAGAGGCAATCTTCAGATATCTTTTTGGAGGTCACGGAGTATTTTCCAGTTGGAATACATATCGAGCCATGCTAAGCCACAGTTGGTCAATATGAGAGAGAGCAGGGAACTGGGGCCAATGACTGTACCTTGTTGGCTTCTTGAACCCCCTTTGCGGCCACTGGATCCTCTGGTGCAGCGAAGCGCAACTTACCGAGTGGAGGAGCAGCGTAGCGCATCCCTAGCCATTGCACGATGCCATTTGAGAGCTCACGACCTCTATAGTGCGTATATCCAAGGTCTACAGTGGTCTCCAATGCAGATGCGACGGGTACGAGCAAAAGCGCCGATCCATAGAGTATGTTCAGCCGCATTTTTTTCGTTTTATTTTTGATCGGCAGTAAAGAAAGGACATAGACAGCATAAGAAGATTGGGCTCATGCTCCAAACTCGGAGCGACCAACGCCTATTTAACCAGCTCGAGAACTCAGGCCTCCCATGGCTGAATTTTGGGGCTCATCCCTGACGTGAGCCAACATAGGGCTGATCGAGTGCCTGTTCAGGCGAGTGAAGTTGGAGATGGGACAAACTAGTTGAACCTAAGCCACCAGCCAAGGCAGTTGCTGGTAAGCCCGAGGATAGATCAGTGGTGTGGATGGAGCAAAGACGGTTGGAAGCATGGCCGCGATAGGGCCGAGTAGGGGGATCGGCATGTTTCGCTTTCCACCCTGTTGGCTCCAGGGCTGAGGGAGTTTGAATTCCCCGAAGGCGGAATATTCGACGTTGATGGCCGGAAGAATTCTGCATTTGCTGCTAAAAAAGGGTGTGCACCGGTAGATAGTTAGTTAGTAGGGTGACTGGGTGAGGGACGGGTTGAAGATGGAGGTCGAATTTCCCCGCAAGACGAGAAAATGTTTCCCTCTTCATCATCTGCAGCAGTTTCGGGGCAATTACCCGCCCCAACCTTTACCTCAACTGCAAGTCTGCAACGGAGGCTCTATCTGCAGATCATCTCTCTTCCATTTTTTTTTTTCATTCCTCCGAGAGGATATCGAACTCTCACCAAATTGCCGCAACCATAGCCGCCATGCCCCCTCATGGCTCCCCCGCACAGGAAGACGAGGAGGACGACTATATGTCGATGGTGATCGAAGAGCCCCAGCAGAAGGAAACATTCGCGCAGAAGAAACTGCGCAAACAACGCGAGGTCTGTTTTTTTTTTTGCTTTTGTTTTTGTTTCCAAAATCCCCCCAAATTTGACTCGACCCCTCCCGAAGCTCACGTTGAACGCGACCAGGCCGAAGCCCGCGCCAAAGTCCCCTCGAAAGCCGAACGCGCCGCCGAAGAAGCCGCCCGTCGGGAGGCCGCGCTCTCCACCAGCACACTAAACCCGGCCAACAAGGGGTTCCGGATGATGGCCAAACTGGGTTTCAAGCCCGGGCAGACGCTAGGGAAACCGCAGGCCGCGCCGGAGGATGAGTCGCAGCCGGAGCGGGTGCGCTCGGAACCGCTCAATCTGGTGTTCAAGGAAGGGCGAGGGGGCATTGGGCTGGATAGCGAGAAGAAGCGCAAGTTCCGAGAGGAGGCGGAGGAGGCCGTGAAGAAGATCAAGCAGGAAGAAGGCGACTATAGGGACCGGGTGCGGCAGGAGCGGGAGACGCGACGGACGGAAGCGCAGGTCCACGCGGCGCAGAAGGTCGCGGAGCGATTAGACGCCGAGGCAGAAATGGAGGCAGCAGAGGAAGTACAACCGAACGCTGAAGGGTCACCAGCAGAGTCCCCCGACCCCGTCGGCACGCCAGGCCCCGCGCGCCCCAAGGTGAAGGTCAAACCGACCTCCCAGATCAACATCCTGTATCGGGGACTGGTGCGCGAGCGCGAAGAAAAGGAGCGGTCGCTGCAGGCGCGTCATGCACTACAGACTTCTCTCCCGTCGTCATTCTTCCCCACTCCCCAATTACCGGGGTACGATGATTCTACGCTGGAGCGGGACGACCAGCAAGCGCTCGGGGCCGGGCCCGATACATCCACCATCCTGGAGCAGGAGCTCGAGGAGGAAGATCCGGAGCTCGATGAGTTCAATGCGCTTGAGCCCAGTGAACGGCTGGCCCGGCTGGTGCAATATCTGCGCGAAAAGTACCGATATTGTTTTTGGTGCAAGTATCGTTACGAGACTGATGCGATGGAGGGATGCCCCGGGATCACCGAGGAAGACCACGATTGATTATTACGACAGATTCCCCCTTAATGTTGCTGGGTGTTGACGAACGGGGAGGCGAAAGTGTTCATTTGAGAAAAGCAAATAGAATTGTACAATAGCTCTAGAGCAAGGCATATAACTATAAATATGAACGAGCGGATATCATGTCAGATGACGTATATACAAACAGACGCAGAAACTCCCATCATAGCACATCTAAGCAGTCGCATCGCAATCAAGTGATGTCCCCACATCGGGAACAAGGGTACATATACTCTTTCGTTGTCGTAAATTCGCATTCCACTCCGACGGCCACAGGGCCCCCGTAATCAGGCAGAAGCGCAAACCATCGGGATCTCGTCGATCCATCATCTCTCTCAGATCTCAAGGATTCCCCGGCATCGAACTCATAAACTCTGCCAGCGAGCGATTCGGACACTTCTGCAGACCCTGGTGGCAGGCGGCGCAGATGCGCAGACAGCAGAAGACACACCGGTAGCGCATCTCGCGGTCAAACTTCTGACAGGTCATGCACGGAAGCGAGTACCAGACGTTGTTGGCGGGGAGCATTTTCTGGTGCTCCTGGTAGCAGGCGAAATGCAGCTTGTTCAGCGGCACGATGACGGGCTCGATTTCCGGCGGGGTGAAGGGGCCATTATTCTCCTCGCAGGACTCGGAGTCGAGCGGCTCCGGTTCGGGCTCGGGATCCGGGATGAAGTCCTCGAGGGGATCGCCTGCGTCGGGTTGGACGGATTCCTCGCTGGAGGGGGTCCGTTGCGAGGAGAGCGAGGCCGGAAGTGGCCTGTTATGAGTGTTTCCGTTGGGAATGGGTCCGTATTGATGGCTTCGCACGGCTGCGATCTCGTTTCGGAATGCCGGATGGATCTCTTCTGGTCCTAGAGGGCCCGGCGCGGCGGGGAGAGAAGATAGCGGACTCGGCGGCAGTTCTCTGTCATGTTGCGGCCTGGGAGGGCGACTCGGGGCCGAGTCAGTGCGGACAGGGTAGTGAGGAGAGGTAACAGGGGCAGGCGCCGGAGCAGCGGTAGCAGCAGGGGGAGGAACCACAGGAGTTGGAGGAGCTGGAGGAGAAGGAGAAGATGAATCGGAATCGACGGCTTTTCTTGATTTGAACGCGGAGAGAGACGGAACTCGCAGTCCTCGCGGACGATTATCCTTGTCGAGGATGGCCATTTCTTATTTTTTTTTTTTGCGCTCTTCCTTCAATCAAGAGTAGTGAATTGATAGTAGAGGATCAAAAGATTCAAGAGAGAGAGAGAGAGAGAGAGAAACGACGAAGAAAGACCTCTGGGCTGCGATCCGAGTTTAATGAAACACGAAAGATGAGCGAAGAAGCAAAAAAAAAAAAAAAAAAAAGGAAAGGTCCCAATCATCAACACTTGGGGATGAATGAGATTATGATGAGTAGACTAGACTAGACTTCGGACTTGAATGGTATTATTTGGAAGGTCGAATAATATAATAGAATAGTCTTGATACCCAGTTCAACTAGTCTTGTCTAGCGAGAACGTCCAGTAGGATTTGGGCGCAGGAAATCCGGGCATCGTTCGTTCGTCGCATCAGCACGAGAGAGATTGGTATTACTCCGTAGTAGAGAGAGGCAGTGGCTGGCAGGCTGCATCCCAGTTCAGGTCTCCACTGCTGGCCCAATTCTTGGGTGGAAGCTAAAGATTGGGTCAAATTCAGGCACAGGGACCGAGACTAACTATGCTATGTAGTTAGTTAGTTAGTTGGTAGATACGATGGAGTTGCAGTGATGCAGTCATTACTCATTAAGGGGGGGGGATGTAAATGTCAAGGGGATCTCAGGGACTAGGTAGTTAGTTAGTTAGTTAGTTAGTTAGTTACTGAGGGTCAGGGTCAGGAAACATGGGAATATTCGAGTAATTAATTGGTCTCTCTCAAGTCTCAATAGAATAACAGAATAGCAGAGAATAGCATCCCTTTTCCTTACTGTCTGTCTGTTCTGTATCATCGAGAGACAGTGGGGCAGGCAGTGGATCTCTGGGACTCAAACGAATGCAGGTACAAAACAACTACAAGAACGATCAATCAATCAAATTGGCATTGGGTCAGTAAAACTACGTAAATCTACCAAAATCCAGGAACCATGAACCAGGAACCATCTCAATTATGTAGATACCCACCCCATCACGAGATAGATATACACTAGAGAATTTCATTACGAGACCCTGGCTGTCGGGGTCAATTCTCTCAAGACTCAAGACTCAAGAGAGGGAAGAAAGTGGCTGATCCGCCCAGTCAGAAATAAAATAGCTTGGTTCCCAACCCCTGATCAAGTCTATTCCACCCATTCATTCATCCTCTTTGGCTCAACCCCCAAAGGAAAAGGAGAGAAAAAAAAAAAAAAAAAAAGGCCGTCGCAACCCATAAGAAAATCAAAGATGCAATCTCGCTGTCCACCCGCGCTAGTACACAATCACAACCAAAGAGAAGAGAGAAGAGGATGAAGAAAAAGACCAGAAAAAAAAAAAAAAAAGAGACAGGTCTACTGCACCGTATATGTATATAAAAAAGAGGTCACCCCGCCAATAGAATATTAAAGAGACGAACATGAGGAGCAGAAAGGAAGTGAGCACCCAATATCCTCATCCCAACCTAGAAAATCATCGCTTCTTGATCAGAAGCCAACAAGCTATGGCTCCTTCCATTCTTCTCGAAAAAAAAAAAAAAAAAAAAAAAAAAAAGAAAAGAAACAAATCGGAGTACGCGCGGATCGGTCCAGGTACCGGACCACACAATCAAGAGGTGGCCTCCGTATTCGGTGCAGTGTGAGTGATTTCCACCGACCGCGTCTCCAGCTCTTTGGGCATCAGACAATCTCCATTCTCGGTAATGGTCTCTACTGACACCGGCTCAACCCCGGTGGCGGGTGCGCCGGATGTCTCAGTCGCCGAGGGTGCAACACCCGAAGCAGAGCTCGCTACAGTGGCCCGGGACGATGTATCCTCGACATGCTCGGTGGACTCAACCCCTTTGTCCTCATCGCCAATCACGGCCGCTAAGCTGCGGAAGTTGAACATCGGCTCCGTGGCTGTGGCACTCCCATCATAAGCCCCAGTGGGGTCGTCCGGTGTTGAGTCAACGAGCGACGAAAAGGATGATGATGCGCTGGAGACGTGCCGCAGATGAGATGGTTTCGGTAGCTCTCGGGCGAGGGACTGGGTGGTAGCAGCTTGCGCGCTCGAGCCGGGTTCGATGACATGAGCGACCGGCGACGAATTGGCCGCGTCAGAGGGAATCTCAAGGCTGCTTGGCGACGCGGTAGCATTGGTGGTAGAAGGAGGCATGCGCTCGACTTCCTTTCCCTTACCACAAGCCGTGTCCTCGCCAGTCATCGAGGAGGAGCTGCTACTACCCTTGCCGTGTCGGGGGTCGGAAAGGACGTCCAAGGCGGAGCTACTCGCATTGTTACTGTAGACCCCCAGCTTGCGCGCAGCCTTTTCAGCCTTCTTGCTCTCCTTTTCTCGCCGCTTCGCTTCTTTTTTGGCTTCTTTTTCCTCTTTCCTGCGCCGCTCCTCTTCACTAGCCAAGCTCAACCGGATCGCCTCCATCATCATCATCTCCTCCAAATCATCAATTCGATTGCGTCGCGAACTGTTGCGTGGGGGCGCCATATTGCCACCGCCTTCTTCCGCGAAATCCGTCTCAGGCCCCACGGCACGTCGGTCAGTCAGGAACGCAAGCGCCTGCAACGCAGGAGAACCTGATCGATTCGAGACGCTCTGGTTCTCTGACGTACCCGTCCTTCGCATCACACCTCTTCGGCCCAAACTGAAATTACGGCTTTCGTTTCCAGACGAGTTTGTATTCATCAGGTATGCCGCGGTATGCAGAGCGGTCGCTGCAGCCGATCTTCGTGCCGCATGGGCTCGGGCATTGGCTAGCTTTTGCGCCCAATCAGGGCGGATTCGATCTGTTGTAATGACCGTTGGGTCGTTCGCAGACAACGAAGTAGCGCGTCGACGGCCAGTGATGGCAGGTGGGTTTGCAGATGACAGAGATGACGAGGACGACACGGGGGAAGCGAAGGTTGGGCGAAGACTGGAATCGGTCGCGTATACCAGGCCACGGCGGAAAGGCGGAGGCGCATATGTGACACCGAATTCAGGCTGCACACAAAACGGGCATGCGGCTGGCCCAGATACTAGTTGGCCGTCTTGACTCTCCTGGCGATCCCTATCCGACGTTGAGTTAGCGGCATTTGAGTCGGTCTCTCCATGCTCTGGCGGATGGGGATCCGGGCGTTTGATCTGAACAAAGCACTCAGAGCAAATAGGTTGATCGCAACATCTCGTGCGGTTGAGATAAGGCGGGTAATAAAGAAAGCAAATCGGACACTCCGTGGCATCCTTGTAAAGGTAAGCCTCGATGGGCTGTCCATTGACAAAGGGGTCCTTGGGGAGTTGTATCTCCTTAGGGCCCGCATCGACTTGCGAACCGTGTCTAGATGAGGTAAGAGAGGCCAGAGTTTTGGCGCGCGTTCGGAATAATGGTGAACTTGAAGTACCGGAAGCGAACGGAGATGTGGGAGAGGGTAGGGAATGGGTCGGTGTGGACGATTGTGAGGCTTCCGATCCATACGATTGCGACCTTGACGTGATCGGCACCATCAGGTGTTGGATTGTCGACTCTTTTGCTTCTTCGGTCGATCTTGGGGGATTCTTATATTCCAGTTCTGGAGGAATCTCATCGGGGGGCGGAATGGGTAGACCGCGCGCGGCTGCCATGAGTTGATGTTCCGTCCATGAATCGGAGAAGTCATTCAACCCTCTCCAGAAAGGTGCTAGTCTTCTTTCAATCTATTCGCCAGGCCATCAGTATAAGAAGATCATGTAAGACAGGGAGGGTGGTAGATGTACCATCAATTGTCGAGTCACAGCCTTGTTGAAATCCTCAGTGCCCACATATACGCCCTGGGTCACCAAATACCCCCCATCGACATGCTCTTCCCTCATGCTACGCTCTCTTTCCTTAAGCCGAGCCACCCGTTCCTTTTCCAGCCGACGAGCTTCTCGTTCCTGTTTTGTTTCTCGCCGATGCTCCAAGGTAGCCACATCCCTGTCGGAGCTTCCGCCAATTCCGAACATCGAGAGATCCGGTCTACTACCTCGCGACCGTGAGCCTTCCGCATGATGCCGGTCGCCATATGGGGATCGTCCATGACTGCTGGAAGAGCCCCATTGGTGGCCCCGGCGATTGGAAGATGAAAGCGACGGTCGGGATTCTTTTGTTTGTGAATTACCCATCCTGGCCCGAGCTGAAGGGGACAATGTTCTGAAACAAGCTTATCAGGGACGGGGTTGAGGATGGACGACGGCAAGAGCTGTAGTGTCAGTCGGATGACCTGGATGTAGGACAACAAGATGCGAGATGTGTGAACACCAAAAACCCCCACTCAGTAAAGCGGAGTGCATTGGGAGAGAAAAAAAAAAAAAAAAAAAAAAAAAAAAAAAAAAAAAAAAGAAGCTTCAAATGCCAGAGCGGGGATGAAAATGATGTGGTGACAATAATAAACCCGATGTGGCCATGGGAGCGACAAGAGAGTCCAAGAGATTCCAAGAGTCGAGAGTGGCTGCTGGAAGCGGCGATGAGATCAGAATGCGGGCTTGATTATTAGCCGCGGGAGGGTGGATTACGCCGGATCAGGGGGGAAGCATTCAAACAACAAGGACTTATGGCAAGAAAATTGGTCAGAAAGACGATGAAGAAAAAGGCTCTAACAGCAGCTGAAGAACTACTTTAGAGTAGTAGTATGTAAGATTGGGGGGAGGAAAAAAAAGATAGGAGTTGGGATGGAATCTTGGAAGAGAGCGAGCGAGAGAGAGAAAGAGGGAGAGAGAGAGAGAAGTCCGAGAGAAGGATGAGACTACTGTTAGACTAGTACATACTGTATGAACCAGTCCGTGTGAATCGTGAGATCGATGACTATTTGAGTTCAATAATCAGGCAGGCAAGGACCAGGCTTTACAGTACAATACAGTACCTACACATTAGCTTACACCGAGCACTGACATGTGTGGCAGCTCAAGGCCCAAACTCCCCAAAGAAAGCGGTAACTCCGGTAATATCAATACCTTACTTACTATGACAGGAACTATCAGGTCCTTCTTCGACTACTTCGACTAGCTTGTGGCTACTGGCCAGGCCTCCAGCTTGATCACAGTAGGGGGGCCTAAGCGATCTGTTTAGAATCTAGTTAGTAGTATACTCACTTCCGGGGAGTTGGGAGTTAAGAGGTAAGAGGAGTTAGGGACACATCTCCTCAGTGAATGAGCTCTATGACTAGCGAAGTCATAGCCCATGTTCGATAGATCAATTTACCAGTATGTACCTCAAACAGCGGCATGATTCCAAATTGCTCTACACATTGTGTTAGATGGAGGCAGAGGAGCCTCCCGGTAGTTATACACCATTCTTCTACAACAACAACAACAACAACAACAAAGGTCATTTATCTGCGTTCACCAGTGTCAGATAGATAGGCGTCCTTGTAGATGCCAGACGGTTGATGCTATCATGCTACTATGTCTTGGCAGTGGATATCACATGTGGCTCGTGAGTCGTGACTGATGAAGATTAGAGGCTTGCTGCGCCACACCTTGGTTCTGGGTCGGGCGGTCGGAAAATCCCAAGTGCCAGCCCCAAAATATTTTTCGTTTGATAGAGAAGAGATATCGATATCTTGGTTTGCCAAACGATCTTGCAGCAGCATGCATGGGTGTTTGCTGGTTTTTATAATTAGCTGATTGGTATCATTGACACTGGCTTCTGCGTATCTCACTTTTAATATCTCCCATTACAACCCCGTGCATGGTACAAATCGCAGAACCTCTCCAAATTGCAGTTATTTTTTGAGGTACGGCTCATTGGCTTGAGATATAGCAAATGACTACCGCAACATCGGAAACCACGCGCCTCCATATCACCCCTTTTACCCCAGATCTTGTATCTGCTGTCATACCAGCATCCGTCCGGCCGTCAGCAGTAGATCTCTCTTTTCATTGCATTCCAACATTCCCCGAGAACAACTACGGTTACGTGACACTTCCGACGATGGAGGCCGACAAGATCAAAAAGAAGCTCAATGGCTCAATTCTGAAAGGCAAGAAGTTCAAGGTGGAGGTTGCGCGGTCACCGAAGAAAGTAGAGGTGGATGACGAACCGGCGACCACTGCTGCATCTGCCCCGAAGCCTACATCTGAGAAAAAGTCAAAGAAGCGAAAGGCCAACGATGATGTCCTTGATGGATACGAGCTTCCCGCGGACCGCAAAGTAAAACGAGGGTGGACCGAATCGGCGACTACCAAGAAAGATCGACGCAAGGATGAGAAGAAGAGGAAGGGAAAGGATGAAAAGAAGGCAAAGCCACAAGCAAAGTCCAAGTACACCGAAAAATCAGAATGCTTGTTCCGGACCAACATACCGAAAAACCGATCAGACTCTCCCGATGAAAAGCAAGAAAAACAAGCCAAGAAGAAGAAGAAGTCTTCGGAGGAATCCGTCGTTCATGAGTTTGCCAAAACTGTGACACACCCTAGCTTCTTACGGACAAAAGAGGATGGGGCCGCAACTACCTCGACCTTTGAGGAAGGGAAAGGCTGGGTAGACTCCGCAGGGAATCTGAAGGAACCGGCCAGTGATCGTGTGAGAAAAAATCCAGATAGGCCGGGAAAGGTTGCAGGCGCTAAGGAGAAGCGAAAACCTTTTAAGGTTCCCGCAACCGTGCAGAAAGAGCAGGCTCAAAAGTCCAAGGGAGACCAGGAAGATTCCGCGGATGAATCCGAAGATTGGACATCATCCAGTGGCTCGAGCTCATCTGACGACAGCACAGATTCTGACAGCGAAGACAGTGCGTCTTCCACATCTTTCCAGTCCGAGGTTTCTTCCAGCGAAGAGGAACAGCGGCAATCACAGTCATCATCCACGGATGAACAGGCGTCTTCTCCCAGTAAGCCTGATTTACCGGCGGCGGTATTGGATGGCGGTGCCCCACGTGCGCAAACAAACCAAGAAGCAATTTCCAAAGAAGTCCATCCCCTGGAGGCTCTTTTCAAGCGGTCTGCTCCTGAATCCTCTGAGAGCAATCCCGCCCCGGAAGGAAACGCACAATTCAGCTTTTTCGGGCAGGACGACATCGAGTCCGAGGAAGATGAGGTACAGCAGCCTCATGAGCCACAGACCCCTTTCACGAAAAAAGATCTACTCAATCGAGAGTTGAGGAGCGCAGCTCCAACTCCAGACACTGCTCACGTCGGTCGAACCATCAACTGGAAGAGTACAGATCCCAACATGATGGATATAGACGAAGTAGCTGAAAGCAGCCCTATCTCCAAGCCGGGAGCCGGTTCAAAGGAGGAATCAGATTTTACCAAATGGTTCTGGGAGAACCGTGGAGACAACAACCGTGCTTGGAAGAAGAGGCGACGCGATGCTGCCAAGGAACAGAGACAAAGGGAGAATCGGAGGAAAGGTATGAAGGGAAAGTCTTAAAATCGAAAGAGAATAGGTTCCAATTTAACCTTAAATGATAATAATTGAAACAATCTTCTAGAAGATGAACTCAGGATTGTGTCTATTCCTCCTAGATTGCAGCACATATCACATGATGCCAAGACTCCGGGGTGGCCGATGAGAGTTAAGGTACTCCGTAGTTAATTCCAATGGTTGATGATGATCCACCAGAGATAAGAGCACAAGGAATGACACACATTGCTGTTCGATAGAAGAAGCGAAGTCTCTACCACTTCACAGACTCGGAATCCCATCATGTTATTCCGGATCAGCAACCTCCAGGTCCTACTTCTCTTCTTGTTTCTTTCTTGTGCATCCTTCACTCTGGCTTCCAGTGAGTTTGGCCTCGTGCCTCTGCATCCTGCTATTGGTATTCGAGACCATTGGCTAATGTCTATCCCATTCGTATAGCGCCAGCATCATTCTGCAAATGCACATGCTTTACCAATAGCACAATTATACCTCTGGACTCCCCAAACCCTGAAGCGACTCCGGCGACCAACACCTTCGAACTCCGCATCCGCAACATTCTTTTTGAAAACAATGATTCGCAGAACGAGAAAAGAGCCAGCAATTATCGCTCGCTGACATGCAACGATTGCAATCGCAAGTTTTGCTTGGATTACGATCTACCCATGTGTAAAGGCGCAAAGGAGGATGACGTCTTTACCACTTGTTTTCGTACGTACGCCGTTACCCTGCCAGGTATCTGTTTTTTGGGGGAACAAGAACGGTCTGCTAACTTTGCGATATTCAGAGAGAGATTCTAAGAAAGACCAGGCCATTGTGTTCATCTTCATCATTGCGACCAGTGGTCTTTTGGCGTGGGCTGCTTGCAAGCCGTGGGTAGAAAAGTGGCTAGAGGTACGACATTCTCAACACAGATCCCACCAGGCGTGACATCTAACTCTGTGGTTCTAGGCAGCAAGAGAAAGGCGATCATATATTCCCATGTCAGAGCACGTTGACCGATGATACTCCATACGTGTATGTGATGATAATCAAACGGTTTTTCTCCATCGACAATTTCGTGCACGTCAGACCTTACTTTGTGGTGCCCTTGCATTTTCGCCGAGACCCCGCCGCAATTCGGTTCCTATATCTCTGCACAGGTGTACAGTCTTCTGAACCATAGGAAGTCGACGGTTATGAGGACCGCTCACATCAGAATGTAGAAGTGATTACGATCATGCAGGAGCGTTTTCTGACCTCTGAGACACAGAGCCAAATAAACATTGTGTGGGTGCAACACAAGCCTCCAGTCTTGCGTTCATGCGGCTCTGGGTAGCCCGGCAGATATTCCTGGTATTGTACGACTGGGCAGGAACAATGGCATGAACCAGGGTACAGGAAGGTGAACAGACAGGATGGAGCTGAACCTAGCGAGGTAGCCAGATGATAGACCACTTCGAGATACCTGGCTATTCTAATATGCTGCAAAGTGCGATGTCAACAAGAAATCTGGATGTTGAGTAAATCTATGCTCGAACGATGGAAAAAATGAACCAGTCCATTGAAATCCAATATCAATGGCTGAACTTGATGGTCAAGACAAACTCGCATGGGAAACTGGAAACATCTAGAAAAGCAGCCGCTAATGAAACGCCGTCATGCACCATCCATGGGCTAAACCAGAGTGGATTTAGCGTAGACATCTGACATATCTATCCTACCTTAATACGGACTAGTTCCGCCTACCTAGTCATGTAGGCGTCATGTAGATAGATAGTAACATCTTCCTTGTACATGGGCTTGTAGTAATTATCGACTGGAATACACTGGCCGCCGTCAGGGTTCTATCATCTCTGACCCGAAAGTGATGCTGCGAGTAGGTCATCTTGTGAATGATCCGTTGAAATTGAGCATACTATGGAGTCTAGAGAGTCGAGTCTAATCCATTGTCACTGGATCGCGGAGTTACACATTCTAATTTTATAGATGTAATTATTTGCTATGTTCTTCTAATATCTACATTCATTTTACAGGGATATATATGCATATTCCATTGGACGAGGTAGTCAACGTAAGAATCCGTGGTACCTCATTGTATAGACAGTGGATGAAAAAGTTCACAATGTAGATCCCAATGATGCTTCCAGATGGTGCATGGAGATTGTTCGGATTTCGGAGACAAGATCTGTCTCCCTTTTAGGTAATAGCCAGAGGAACCAGAGAAAACCTGCTGGGCTTGTTCTCATTTTTTTTTTGGCTTTCCGATCGGAAGAGTTTCCCAAGTTCCCCCCTTCATATCAACCGGTGGCTGTCAAATTGTCAAACTCCCCGCTTTCAATCTTTTCTCTTCCTCTTCCTCTTCCTCTTCCTCTTCCGACCATCTTTTCCCCCTACATTCATTCCACTGAGAAATTGTTCTTCCCCATTGCCACTCCTATTGAGGATCTGCTTTCCGCGCTAGGTTCATCTGTTTTTTTTTTTTTTTTTTTTTGTGCCTCAAATAGATACGAAAGAGCAAAACAAGGAATATCTACAAAACAGCCGCAGAGACGGGTAGGGAATATCTTGATCGCTGCAGCTGGGAGCTTGGAAGAATCTGCCATTAAAACGGCTTGATCTCACCTGGAAGACTCGCCAGAAGGCTGGGGGGCTTGCCGTAAGAAATTAAGATTACACTGGAGAAAATGGTATTGACACTCCAGGGAAGACAAACCTCCTCGAACGATGAATTTCCCACCGCTCAGCTGTTCCTTCTCGGTATGTGATGCTCTAGACCTAGTATTCCATACTCTAGGTTGTGATGCCACATGCTAACTTGCACCTTTTGCAGCAATATGCCGTGTCGCAGAGCCTATCGCCTTGACCTCCATCTTCCCATACTCATGGGTTATGGTCAAGGACTTTCGGATCGCCAATGATACAGACGCCTCCTTCTATGCCGGAATCTTGGTCGCCACCTTTTCCCTTGCGGAAGCGCTCACTGGCATGTTCTGGGGAGGCCTCTCAGATCGTATTGGTCGCAAGCCAGTGCTTCTCTCCGGTTGCTTTGGCACCATCCTGTCGCTCCTGCTTGTGGGATTGGCCCCCAACTTCTGGGTGGCCCTTCTAGGTCGTGCTCTTGGAGGTCTCTTGAATGGGAACATTGGAGTCATACAGACAATGGTTGGAGAACTGGTCAAGCGTCCTGAGCATGAACGTAAGTGGGATTATTGTCGTTTCGTTCAGTCATCACAGTGGGTCTGACTAAAATAATACAGCTCGAGCTTACGCTGTGATGCCTTTTGTCTGGTCTATTGGGACTATCATTGGTCCTGCAATTGGAGGGTTGCTTGCGAGGCCCGCCGAAACCTATCCTTCTCTCTTCTCTCACAGTGGTCTTTTCGGAAAATTTCCTTATCTGCTACCCAATCTGGTCTGTTCTCTCTTGCTTCTCCTCAGCATCCTTGGCAGCTGGTTATTCTTGCAAGAAACTCATCCCGATTTGCAACATCGGAGCACTTCTGGAGATTCAAACAATGCATCCGCCGAAAGCCCTCTTCTAGCCACCTCAGGGGCCACCGCCAACGCAGGAGCTGATCTACGAGCAGAATCGTATGGCACTTTCAATCAAGTGCAATTGCAAGCGGATGAGGACTGGTTTGTGAACGCCGACGGTTCGAAATACCAGTCGCCAAAGCAACCGGTCTTTACTTGGCGGGTCGTCTCGCTTGTCATTGCCTTGGCCATCTTTACCTATCACTCCATGACGTACGATCATCTTTTGCCCATCTTCCTGCAAGATCCGAATGGCAGTAACGTTTTGAGTACCCGTAACTCTGGTCTCAGCTTTCCTGGTGGCCTAGGCCTATCTACGCAAACAGTAGGCTTGATCATGTCTTCCGACGGTATCATTGCTCTCATCATCCAGAGTTGCATCTTTCCGGTCCTGGCTCAATCCCTTGGGGTCTGGAGACTATTTGTGATCGTCACTGTCCTCCATCCACTGGCGTACTTGATCGTCCCGTTCCTCATGTTTCTGCCTCAGCAGTTCTTACTCTTTGGCATTTATTCTTGCCTCATCGTGCGCAATATCCTGTCGATCATTGACTACCCGGTATTGCTCATTCTTATCAAGCAAGCCAGCCCATCAGACTCAGTAACGGGGAAGATTAACGGCCTTGCTGCCTCAGCAGGAGCAGTTTCTCGTACTATCGCCCCACCCGTTGCCGGGTTCCTGTACAGCGCAGGTGCCGAGCTCAATTTCACTGCCGTGGCATGGTGGGCAAGCGCCTTGGTCGCGGTAATTGGTGCTGCCCAATTGTTCTTCATTGACCATAATAAGCACCGTTCTGCCACGATTCGCTCTGCTGTGCCATGTCATTGTACACCAGATGAATATCCAGCTCAGAAAGAGACAATCCACATTATTGTGACCGATACTGATGCAGATGCAGAAGATGCCGGTCTATGTCACCAGCAGTATTCGTTTTGGAGATGAAAACCAAAGCACCGTGTACAAATGATACCACGCAGGGGGCCCTACTTCAGCGAGTTCTTTTTCATATTTTGTATTTAAGGGGCATGGCGTTTTTGGGACATAAAGGCGTATAGCAGAATCAAGGTAAAATTCATATCTCTTCACAGGACAAATCTAATAAGAACCCGTATCTACTATCTCCGTACGCAGTCGGGATGCCTCTTAAAGGCGGTGGAAGTGAGCCCACTAATTTGCCACTCTTCACCGTTTTGGGCTCCAATATACTAGGCTCTATCGGGTATAGTTTTGTTTACAGCCTTATCCCAGCAACCGCCGAAAATAATAATCAAACACATCACAGTCATCGCGCAGGACAAACCATTGTCTCTGCTGTGCACATTATCCCTTCGCCTTTTCATTGAATCAACTATCTTGGGAGCTCGAAATAGTACCCCAAGAATATCAAGTCATTGTGTCAACTTAATTTAACTTTCACTCTCATTCTGCGGTACTCTATTCGATACGATTGTCATGTCCACACCCCTCTCCCCGTTAACATCTTCGCGCCAGAATTCACGAGCCCTTTCTCTGGGGCTTGATGAGCTGGGAACAGAGAAGGTTGAGATGAACGAGGACCAGGAAACCCGATACGAACCAGAAAACCTCGTGCAAAGTCCGAAGAGATCGATCGAGACAGCCAACACCGATACCCCGAGTAGCCTGCGCTATGAAGCTGTGCAAAATTCACAAGGCCCCGCTCCAGAAACTGAGGAAGTAGAATCTGTCCGATACATGCCCAGTTCGCCTTTCCAGTATGATGGGAGGGATGATACAGTGGACTTTCAAATGCTTCGGAATCGGCAGACCTCGATGGGACAGACTGAGCATTCCCTAACCCCGAAAAAGCGCTCCTTTGACGATTGTCCTGAAGATTTGGATGCTACAGATTATTCGGACGATCGAAGCAAGAAAGGAATGAGCAGGAAAGATACTCGTGACATCCATGTCTACGCTGACGACGAAGATCATATTGGTGAAGAGAACCGGACGGAAGAGCATGTACCGGATGCCGTCGATAATACGATAGAGGACGATTACGACGAGGGCATGAGCACTGTTTTTGACAAATGTGATGACTACAACGACGTTCTGGAAGACAAGGAGAACGTTGAATCGAACACTGGAGATGATGTTATGAATGATGACTCTCACGACTTTATGGATGATACATGCCTCAGCACTTTCTCCGCTGTTCCCAATGCCGACATGACATCATTTGCGCAACTTCGAGGGGATTCCCCGTTCAAGGCCATGCGGCCACTGTCCAGCAGCCCTGGAAAGTCGGATGAGCTTCAGTTCCAAAGTCCTGGTCCAGGCACCCCTCATTCAGCCAGGGAAACACAGAACGCGCTCATTGAGATCGGTACACCAATCGCATCCCGTTCTCCTAAGAGGTCGGAAGCCCAGGATGGCGAAAAGCCCAGTGGCACACCAAATCTGCTTGATCTCACGGATCATGGCCCCTTCTTCCCACGTCAGCGTTATAGCATTCAGAAGGAGCGATACTCCCCCTCGAGACGCTCACCCTTGCGGAATCTACGGGAAACCATTCGAAGCCCTTCAAAGGCCTCGTTACTCGATTTTGACATTCCTGCGATTCCCACACCCAGGTCGATCCCCACAGTTACACCCCGGGAATTAGAGTCATTGAAATCTGGGTTTCTGTCCGAGATCTCCTCGTTGAAAGCAACCCTGAGTGGAAAAGAGGCAGAGGTTGCCAGCCTAAAACAAGCCGTTGCCGATGCTGAGCGACGGGTTGGGGAAGCCCTGGACGAAGTTCGGAACGAGGCGGCGCGAAAAGAGGCGCTGGAAATTGAGCAAGCCGAATGGGAGCGACGGGGTCAAGAAATGGAGAATGTTTTGCGGAGCGTCCGAGCCGACATCGTGGAGGGTGAGCGAGAGAAAGAGCAACTAGCCATGAAAGTCGAGGAATCGGAGAAAGGCAGAGAACAGCTGGAAAGGCGCGTCTTGGAACTGGAGAGTCAGCTATCAGCCGCGCGGGCTTCGACGTCTAATGAGACCGGCGAGCCTGCGGGGGGTCAACGTGGGCCGACAGCCGAAGAGACCGCACGAGAAGTCCAGGATGCGGTCGAAAAAGTTGCACGCGAACTTCACACCTTGTACAAAAGCAAACACGAGACCAAGGTTGCTGCTCTAAAGAAGAGTTACGAAGCGCGTTGGGAGAAGCGCGTGCGGGAAGCCGAGAATAAATGGAAGGCTGCCAGTGAAGAGAACGAGCGTCTGCAGAACGAGCGCGACGCTGCTTTGTCGGAGAGCCACCGCCCTGATACCAGTATGGTGGCCCACCAAAATGACGAGCATGAGGCGGAGAAGCGTGTTCTAGAGGCACAAATTCAAGGTCTCCAGCAAGAGATGACGGCACTTAAGCAAGACAGCGAGCAACTGCGAGCAGAGTTGAAGGTGGAAAGAGCAGAGAAGGGGGAGCTTGTGGCTGCGGTAGATGAATGGCTGGCGATACAGCAGAATCCACCCCGGTCACCAAGCGCTTCCCATTCTCCTCCCAGACCTGAGGAGTATGAGACTCCAGAGCCGCAGCCCGCTCCGACAGAGACGAATGAAGAACTTAGACGAAGCGTGAATCGCAGTGGTTCCAGTGGAATCCGCCCACCCGGCACCGGGTCTGGGAATGGGGGCGAGAAGAAGATTTCCAAGATTGGAGCACCGGCAACCCGACATGCCAGGGGCAACAGCGGAGGAAAATCCGGCATTGCCGTGTTTACCCCAGGCCGTCCCACCGGCGGTATCCTCGGCTCGATTGAACGGATGGGCCGTGGAGGCGTTTGAGGTTTGAGATGGTACCAGTTTGGTGCTTTTTTTTTCTTTTTTTTTTTGCTTTTCTGTGATGTTTTCTCTTCCTTTGATTCCCCATGAGTAGAGTATAGTTTGAGTACCTTTCTGCACGTCCATGAGTTTGTTTGAACTGCCCCTTCGAATATATACTTCGAGGGCATTGTATGGATTTATGAAGTCTTGTCTGCATTATGAATGAATGAAACAATCCGCAGGGTTATTGGTTTAGTACTTACAGCACTGAAAACAGGACTACGAAGGCCAAGAAAATCATGCCTGGCGGCTCCACCCCCTGTGAAGTATGGTCAACCTAGTCTAACTTGGCTTTAGACAGGTATAAGGGCCAACCAATAATGTTACGCGGAAGGCACCGTTGGGTACGATTACCGGAGACTGTGCAATACCAGCCGAATTGTGAGCTGTCTAATTTTGACCAATGATATAGCCTCAATTCAAAATTACTAATCAGTGCTAGCAATGATCATAATGTAATATGATAGGATACTGGAATATTTCATAATACAAGGACTTTGTCCAAATTAGGCGAACAAGCTTGCTTTGCGCTATCAATGTATTAATGTGTCAGGGTATTTCCAGGATATATAGAACTCATTGTCATGTAGATTTGCCTTTCAATATGTTTTGACCTGTCAAAATAGAGCCAAGCCAAGGATAGCTTAGCGTGTTTTGGAATGGGGTTCAAGAAAGCATCTCTGTGTGCAAGTGATGAAAATGATTTCAATCCATTCTGTAGGAAATAGAATTAAGCCAAGAGCACATCTTGTTTGAAAATTGTGAAGTTGAATGGAACAGCCACTGTATGATAACATGTCTTTTTTCAGGTTAAGACAGTGAGTCTAAGCACCTCAGTTTGTCAAGTGGTACAAGCCCCAACCGATCATCAAGACCAGATCCAGAATCTTCTCTGTAGAAAGCATTGCCAAATAAACATGCTTCTCTTCACAATAGCATGTAGGTATCTTCGCCAGGCCGGCTGAAAGCGGAGAGCCAACTCAGGTCCCAGCAAGCCTTTGCGAACCAATGCTTCACAGGTCTTTGTCTCCTTTGCAGAATCAATGAAGATGTAATCTGCATTCCAGATCATATCCTTTGTCTTGCGCTTGAAGTCGTACGCTAGCAAGGCCATTGTAGGATAGACATTGTACCAACAAGCAGAAATAAGACCATCGAAAACGTCATTGCGGTTAAGTTCTGGAAACTCCATTTCCCAAAATCGGCGATCCCATTCTGCGGCGCTTAGGATAATGTCGTCATAGGGTTCATGGCCATATACCATAAAGTATAGAAGTGTCCCAACCGCAAACTGTTCAGTTCTGGCGGAACAGAGCCCGTATGTGCCTTTCAATGGTCCAGCAAGTATTGGTCTGGCTCGTGGAGGTAAGGTACCCTCAAGTGGCTGTCCAATGGTGGTGGCACGACCAAAATCAGTCAGCTTCAAGTTGAAGTTTCTGTCAAGAAGACAGTTGCTCGCATGCAGATCATTGTGACAAAAGCCCACTTTCTCCACATACTCAAGAGCAGAGGTGATTTGTTGTATCCACCGAGCGATGAGAGCAGGATCTTCGTATTCCTTGACCCTGATAAGACGCCCATAAAAACCATTTGTTCCTGTCTCTCGCTCCTGGCGTTCATAGAAGCGAGGGGCGATTGCCTGATGCGTGCAATATGATAGGAAAAGGTAGTCCGGGAGCATGAGAAAACATTCAACAATATTCGGACATCGGTCACGGCACTCGTTAAGACGTTTGAAAAACGAGATCTCCTTGAGGAAAGGATGCTCCGCTGCCTTTTCTTCAGGGGTTCGGTCGCGACGAACAGTTTTCACCACAATAGTTGGAGTGACGCGGTAGATATAAGCGTCGAGTCCTCCGCCAATCCAGTTATGTTCCTCGAGAGCCTCAGCGTAGTGGAAGCTCATGGCGAATCAAAACACATGTAATTGTAGTCGTAGCCGTGTAGAGTTTTGCCAACGATATACAGAAGTATTAGGGCGGGGTGGCGGTACGGGTGTGAGAACGAGGTGGGGGGAGGAAGGTAAGGGCAACAAACGCGAGGAGAAGGGAAAAAGGAAGAATTTTGGAAGAGATTGATTGTCTTACAAATAGGGGCTCGACTAATGCCACCCACGCTATGCCTTTTTCGTCAGAGCGAGCCCTTCTCTCATTAATTACACAATACTGTAGGGACATTCCTCATTGAAGGAGAATCAATTCTCTATAGTAAAAGTGCACAACAAACGAAGTCAATACCAAAGACAAATAATAATTAAGCATCATATATACAACCATGCGGGTTACTCCGTAATTAGTTGCACTAATTTAGCGCGTCCCAAAATTCTCGCTGGTCGCTCTTCGGGACCGCCCTTTGGTCCACTAATGAATTGTTGACACTTTCGCCACGCAATATCCAGGAACAGGCAAAGTTGGCAAGGAATTCTAGAACGGTCGTCAGATTACAAGGAATTTTGAGTATTCCAAGGTATTCCAGGAGAACTGACACGGAAACTTGAAATCAGCTGTAAATTGCTGAGGCCCACCTGTTGCGACATCGTACCATTTTCCATCGGCTGTCTGGGCCCAAAGACCTCTATCCTTGCAGTCATCGCAAGGAAAATGCGAGGTAGTACTGGCAACGTTATCATTCCTGCCTTTCTCTACCCCACAGTTGTTACATCCATCACTAGGGATCAGACTGCCGGGTGTCTCAACCTTATGACGGCAAGCACGCGTAGTTATATTGTAGGTTCTCTTGCACATGTTGATGTGATCTGTTCTTATTAGTTACTCTCTTTCTAAAAGACCTGGAAGAACAAATACCTTACGGCAGAGGCTTTGTCCGTGCTAGAATCTTTGTGCCTATCAGGTAAGGAGAAGAGGTTTGATCCGTGTCAGAAGCTTGCAGTGTATCAGATCAGAAAATTTGAGGAAGAAGAGTCCCTTTTATAATCACGAGCCTCGCTCGATATGAAAGGGTTAGGACTGCTACTTTTATGAGTTAATGAGCCTTGCTAGGCGCCACCTGTAGACAGGAATGTTCATGGTAAGAAGGATGGTTATTGGACGAGAGACATATCCGGGAATACTTATATTTTCTAAATGGGAATCCAGGCAAGCCGCAATATGCGAGTCACATAGTCATATCTTGTAGACAGGGTTCCCCGCTCGATCTATGCAACTTCATCCAAAATCACATCCAAAGGGGGGTTCCGGTGTTTGTCAAGGCTCCAGGGGCCTGTGATTGACTAAAGGCAGGCATATCTGTGACAGGAATAAGAGGCTCCCGGCGTGTAGGTGACTACCATGCATTAGTAAATGAGTGGCTCACAGCCAGCACTATATTAGCGCCTTGCCCACAATCTAGACTAGCAGGCTACATCAATGGAAGAGCAAACCCAATTGCGGCTCCTCCCGCCATTCACATCTTTTCTGACATGGCTGAAAGATGAATTTGAGGGGTACTTGTACCATCTGTGGGATTGGTGGACCAAGGTAGTGTGAGGCTGCATGGTCTTTTTGTTCAGGTAAGAAATTGACTGACTGCCCCACTTTTTCAAACCTCAGCATGTCTAGGCTGACATGGTAAAGAGCAAGAACCAATAATGAGCGGAGCTATGCATGCAACACTGTCTCCTAAGCATGGTGGGGGCTGCAGTGCTGGAGAATAGTTCCACCAAACAAGCCAGGCAAGGCACTAAGGCCGCACCCTAGCAAATAGTAGGGCTGGTTTAGCATGTGATAGTCTGGTGTAAAACCTCACTAGCAGAGGAAGATTCTATAAACTAGTAATTAGTTCTCCTAGTAATAGTAATATAATCCTATAATCTCTTTATAATAATTAATTACTATCTTCTATTAGATATTATACTACTTTTATAGTTCTAATTACTTCCTAAAATCTGATTAGCCTACTAAGATACTATAAGAATACTAAATACCTATAGCTAATCTACTTTAGGACCCTCCCTCTAGTAAATACTAGACTAAAGAACCTAATATAGTAAAGAAATACCTTAAATTACTAAGGAGGTTACTAAGATAATAGAAATAATCCTAGATAGAAGGAGATAGCCTAAATCCTAAACCTAATAAAGGTAGGATAGTAGTAAATAGAACTTAAGTAGTTAGATTAAGAAAGAAAATATCTAACTTCTCCTAGAAGAAGAATATTACCTAGAGCTAGAAATCTAGAGAATAGAAATCTAGTAATAATTAAATAAGAAATAAGCTTAACTATAAGATTATACCCTAAAAAGTACTAGGGAAACCCTATTACTAGAGAGAATAATTTTAATAGATAAGGATATATCTAAAGTAATAAAAAAAATAATCTATATAGAATAACTAAAGAAATCTATAAATATAAAACTATTCTTAGCTATAATAATATAAGAGTATATTACCTTTATAAACTAAATATAAGTATACTTTAAGAAGTATCCTAGCTAGTTTAAATCTAAAAATAATTAGATATAGATAGCCTTAGTCTAATATATAGATAATTAATATAATAAATAATATATATATAAGGCTAAATTATCTAGACCCCTTTAGTAAGTTAATTTTATAGACTTTTATATATATCTATTTATAGCCCTAGGATACCTATATAAGAAGGCTATAATCTAATTTTATAATACTACTTAAAAACTATAATAAAGTATATAAGAATTTATAATCTATCTAGATAATATTTACTCTTAACTAGCTAAGCTAATACCAGACTTTTATTATAAAGATATCCTATACTTCTATATCACCCTAATTATTTAAGCTAAAGCAGTAAGATTTTTTAATATATTAGAATCTCTAAAAGTCTATACTTTTTATCTAGCTATAATTAAGAATAATATTCTAGAAAGATAAGAGGTATTATAGAAAGATTAATTTAATTAGTTGAAGTAAGCTCTAAAGCTAGAATATTAATATTTATCTAAACTAGAAGACTATAGATTAGGATAGTAAGAATTTTAATAA